TAAAAGATCTTATTTCAGGAATCATATATACTAAAGCTATTATTATTATAAATAAACTTACAAAATATATTATTCTAAAATTAATACTAAAGAATTTAATAGCACAACAATGCGCAATACTAATATTATAAGAAATATTCATAATATTTAGATTACTAAGTAAAATTATATCTAATAGAGACAAGTTATTTATATTTAAATTTTGACAGACAATTACAAAAAATTATAAAATAAAATATAATCTATCAACTATATATTATTAATAGACTAATAACCAGATTAAATAAATAATTTAAGTAGTTAAATAATATCTAAGATATTATTTAGATTAGAATCAAGATAATTAGATAAAATTACTACTAATTACTCAGTTTATAATAAATAATATAATAAATACATTAACAGAATAAGTACTGCATTTTACCAATCTAAAAAGAATTCCAAAGATGAGTTAGGAAAACATCAAATAAGAAAAAATATTAAATAAAATAAATATCTAAGCAATATATATATAATTGATGCATAATAATCTATTAAAAGATATTAAATAGACAGAAATAAGAATAAAGAAATATTATAATAAGAAACGTAAGGATATGTTAGCACTTAAAAAGAGAGAGAGAGTTTATCTTCTATAATAAATGCTAGGATCAAAAGGTTTTAATATCAAAAATATAAGACCAAGCAATAAATTTAATACAATTAAATTTAGACTATTCACTATTAAAGAAAAACTTATTAATAATAATTACAAACTCTAGCTATCAGTAAGAATACAAATACACCTAATATTTTATATCTTATTATTAGAATTAACAATTAATCTAATAAATAAAAATAAAGCAGTAGATAATAAGGAGTATAAAATTAAAAGAATACTATAATACAAATTAGAAAAAGAATATATCTATTATCTTATAAGATAGAAAGGATATAGATCTAAAAAAGACATATAGAAACCTATTAAGCACTTAAATTGCTCTAAAAAGATTTAGGAATAGAGATAAAAATATGATTAAGAAAGATAGAAAGATCAAAATTAATATTAAAAATAAGATTATTATTTTACAAAGTAAAAATAACAGCTAGAAGCTCTTTAATCTCTTATTATTCTTTCACTTATTTTACTTTCACTTTTTCTTCTATCTTTTCTAATCTTTCTAATTCTTTAACATCCTTTATATCTATTTAAAGAAATTTGCCTATATACTTTCAGAGAAGCTTCTTTTATTTTTATAAATAAGAAAGATAAATTATAAGGGCTATAATCTCTTATTAAGCTTTCTTTTTATCTATTTTAATTTTATCTTAGGCTACGATTAAACACTTTTATAAAGACTTAAAATTTACTATTTTAATATACTTATAGTTGCCCACACAAATATAATTACTATAATAAAAAAAACCTTCAGCCTTTATACAGACATAATTTAATTAATAATAATAATTATAAAAAAAAAGAAGGATGACTTTAAATCTTTTAATTTTATTAGTAAGATTACAATTTTTAATAGTTTTATTTTACTTTAAAGATATAGTTAGTATAAAACTATAAGATTATACATTTAGAATATTTAGAAAGTTAAGATTAGTTATCTACACTTTAAAGAATACAGGCTATTTATTGAGCTATTAAGATACCAGCCTTTAAAGAAGAGGATTATCAGAGAATTAAAATATTATAACCAATTAATAAGTAATAATAATAAAATAGAATATATATTATACTACAGATATTAGGATCAAATAAGATAGGGTTACTATCATACCTATTAGGACAACAGTATGACAGGAAATATACTAGAACTACCAAAGATATAAAGGCCTACTCATAGCCATTAGATCCTAGATATAGAAAGAATGATAAAAAAAAGCTATATAAGGACACTCATTTATTATATATTTAATTTTCTTCTATTATCTTAAATTAATTATAATAACTTAAGTATATAATCTTCTATTAATTAGGATATTCATAATCTTATTCTTATTTCTTTCATCTACTGAGACCTTTCAACCTTAGAAGCCTATTAACTTCGCCCGTTAATAGCTATCCTAGCTATACTCGACGGTAATCAAACCGAAGTTTCCGACAGTCAGCCATTATTAAAAATATATTAATCTTGCCTTCTCCTTTATTACCTAACTTTATCTTTATAACTCTCACTTCTTCTTCCTCTATTAGGATCTCTTTAATATTTAAAAAATATTTAACCAAAGATAACAATTTCTTAAAAGCTTATTCTTAGATATATAAAGAGATATATTTCAAAGCCATTCCAGACAATAATTGCTGGGCTCTTACAGAATAAGTGATTAGACTATAACAGGGATTATAAGAATGTAGCTAGGATTTAGCTTTAGCCTAGGAATAGATTTAAATATATATAACATATATATATGTATGCTCAGCAGCTAATTACTGCTTTATGAAGGCCTGAGGCCATCCACAGTTATAAGACGGTATGTGCCAAGCCGCTAGTCCAATTAGCAGCGGGAAGCCGGGCGAGGTCACGTGCCCGCTGTACTTTGAAGCTATTCCCAACTCCATCCAGGATTCCGCCTTACAGGGCCGGTAGTTGTTCTTTCCTCTTCTTCTTCTCTCCAGTTTAGTCTCTTCGTGTTTAGCGACCAAATAGATTTGGCATTGCATCGTCACACACTTCAATACCAAGAAAACGCCTATATCTAAAGACTAAAGAAGATATAAAGAATGCAATAATAGATAGCATAGAATAATATTATATTTATTACATGCTTAATCAAACTTTAATATTAAATAGCTACTATGGCTATCTAAGATTAAAAGATGATATATACTAAGAGTAAGAGGCTATCTTTTCTAATCACTATAAAATAATTTCATCTGACGTCCAGCCTTTTCAAGAATAGGTAATTAACCAATTAGATAGCAGCTAAGGCATAATATACCACTCAGCTTAATAGTGAGTCAATTTGAAAATAATCAACAAGGGCACCACGTTATCTTTACTTCCAACATATTTAATGACAGTAACCTATTCACGGTTTCTAGATTAATAAGACTAGATTTTCCTAAATAATTATAACTGTATATAACTTTTACTATAGCCACTATCCCTATAGCAAAACCCATCTCATCAAAGTTGTAAATATTATTGTCAACAATACCATATTTAACCTTCAACTATTCTAGTTGCTCGAAGAAAGAGTAGAATCTCTTGCAGCAAGCAAAAGATTTACTATATCATAGAGCATATTAGGCCTAGAGGGACATCCCTAGCATTCTAAAAAGAATATCCAATCCTAGAGCAAGGCCTCCTTAGTAGGGGTTAATTTTCTACATTTTATACCAGCTTTTTAGTGTTTAATTAAGTCCTACTGTTGTTCCAATAACATTGACTTACTGACGTCAAAAAGACGTGCAGCTTCGCGCAAACTATCAATTTATTTATTTTTTAACGCATCAATAGCAAGAAGAAGCCTTCCCTCATAGCTAGAATCTATTTTTGCATGTTTTTTAGGCATTTTTAATGTTGTAAAGTTCGTATGAAAATGATGATTTGAAAATCGAGTGGAATTTTTGGTGGGGTGTCGGGTTTACTCGGGAAATACGTTAGGGTTCGTTCTAGAAAGCTTCTGCGGCCCGTTCCGGCCCGCAATACAGAGTCGTGAGTCACAATGCATAGTTAAATAATCCAATCATTTCCCTCTCTAATAAAATCTCACAACTCTAGTCCGCAGACAAACAGCAGTGATACATGGCCTCTTTCAGAGAAATCATCTCGCGATCTCCCTTCCTCCACTCCCTACGACAATCCCGCTGCGTGATACCCGTGCGTCCTGAATTCCTCAAATCTGCTTCCATTAACTTCGTCAATCCCCGCCACCATGTTGTCAGCACGGACCAGGTGACGCAGGTCTTTCCAGCGTCTATAGTTGAGGGGCTGAGTGATGAGAATGTGTTGGCGTTATTCACCCAGGGCATTTTTGGCGGGTTTGTCTTTGGCTTTGAAAGGTTTGTTCTGCGCTGGGGAGGGTATAATGTGTTGCCCGTGAGGTATACTGGTAAATGCTCTTCTTTCCGTCTGTTAAAAATACAGTACGTATGTAGAGGGGGAAATGTTCCAGGCTGACGATCACAGGATTTCAAACCCCTTCAGACGCTATAACAATCTGGGATAAATCCGCGCTGCCTAACGCGTATCTGCTCCCTACTGGTAGCAATCTCTTCGGATCCTTTCAACTACTTGACAAACACATAGCTGCTAATCCATCAAAAGATGGGGCTGCAAGTTATGTAGACTACGGATTTGGCTCAGACCAGTACATATTTGGCGGCTGCCATCGATTCCAGATTACCAGGTTAAGGACGGGTGCAGAGGCAGAGCCGCAAATTCAGCTGGAATTTCAAGGAATAATATGCAACCCGCAGAAAAATCAGCCGTCGGGGGCAGAATATACCAAGTGGTTTCATTATGTTTATGCGAGAGCGCTGTTTGCGAATGGGATTCGGTCTGTGGTATCAAGGTAGTTTTGTTGCGTGGTAGATATTAGAGGGCCATTGGAGGCGTTTGGCGGTGTCTGTCTAGATATGTAAAAATAGATATAGAATATACCCAGCTCTGTTATATAGTAAAATTGAAACAGGTCCTTCATTGAAGTAGAATATTCTACATGCGCTTTTCACTTTTTCCTAGTATAAGATCTATTATATAGTAATCTAAAACAATAACAAAAACCGAAACCAAAGCTCCGAATATATATGCCAAAATACATATGCAAAAATACATACCAAGGGGGTGGATATGTGCATGCAGAAGAGCACTATACAAATATATGCTCAACAAACTGAAACGAAGTATAACCCAGTCCAGACTCCGTTAGTGTGTTTCCAATATTATAATGTATATTCAATTACTTTTCGACGTTCGACGTTCCCTTTCGCAGATATTCCTTGCGGTGTATAAACAATAATCGTTATCGTTGGTATAAATAGCATCAAGTGAGAAGCAGAGAAATCAAGCTTCTGCTTTGGAGGACGCCTCCTTAGCAGCCTTCTCAGCAGCAATTCTCTCCTTTCTGGCTTTCTCCTGTGCTTCGAGCCCAGTTTTGGCGATAGCATGAGACTTGTTCAGTTCGATATGTTTGATGAAGAAACCGAGCACCAAGCCCACTCCGCCCATGGCAGTATAGAAAATCCACGCACGACTTAGCGCAAATGTCATCGCTGACTGGACAGCGTCCCTTTGGTCTGTAGGCAAGGATTTGAGCAGGGATGTGTCGCCGCCGGCCATTGAGTCGGGAAGTTGGCTGGTAAGGCTAGTTCCAAGGATTGCTTCAAGGTGAGGCTTTTGTTGCGCGAAGACGTTTTGGTAGATCACTCCGCCGATGACCATGGCAATTGCGGCGGCAATCTGGCGTATGAATCCAAAGGTGGCAGTGGCCGTTGCCATGTCAGACGGGTGCACGTTGGCTTGGAGAGCGACTAGGGGCGATTGGAAATTGGGGCCAACACCGGCTCCAGCAATGAGTTGGTAGATGATGATTCGTGGCCAGCTTTTATATGGTTTTAGGTCAATGAAAAGTCCATAACCGAGAGTCATAAAGGCTAGACCGATCCAAATGGCCTCTCTGTAACGGCCAACTTTTCTGATGAAAAATCCAGTGCCCGCAGAGACAACCGAGAGCGAGAGAACCTGGGGCAATGTATAGACACCGGAGAGGATCGGAGATGCCAAAAGGATGGATTGGAAGTAGAGCGGCATGTAATAGGAACCGGAAATGAATACGCAAGAGTGGCAGAAGCATACGGCGAATACCACTATGTTTTGGCGAGTCTTGAAGAGCCGCATGGGTATGGTCGGGTACTTGGCAACCTTCCACTCAATCAAATAAAAGACACCATAGGTCACGATACCAAAGACAATGAGACAAATAACGGTTGCTGAGGCCCAGGGGTAGTTGACACCGCCGAATTCGAGTCCGAAAAGGAACATTAAAGTGGCACCGATGCAAGTTAAGACGCCTAGCCAGTCGATAGCCGCTAGACCATCCAAAATGCGAGTCCTTGGGGTGTGTATTGAGAGGAAAAAGGTCAGGATAGTAAGAGAGAGACCTCCAACGGGCACTAAAAGAATTTTTCTTTAAGTTAGTTCGACTGATTATTTCGCTTAAGAGGGGAAAGGCGTACAGTTGAGATAGAAGCACCACCGCCAGGTGACATCAGTCGTGAAAGCGCCGCCTATAATCGGACCTAGAGCACCTGCAATGGCCCAAGTGACACCGAAAAGGCCGTAATACATAGGTCGTTCTCTGTATTCCACATTAGTCTGGGAATCGGTGATGTCTCTCGAACGGGATAACCATACCTGACACTAAACAAGTCGGACACAGTAATGTTTGCCAACACGATGAGACCACCACCGGCTGCACCCTGTATGGCTCGGCCGGCAATGTTCATAGCGATACTGTAGGACAAGGCGCAGATCAGGCTGCCTACCAAGAAGAGAACATTTGACATTAAGATGATTGGCTTTCGACCAAAGATATCGCTCAGCTTGCCCCAGAAAGGGGTGCAAGAAGCATTCGCTAACATGTACGAAGATGCCATCCAGGAGTAACCGCTCTGAGTGGCGTGAAAGTGCGTTGCCATGACTGGAAGTGCCGTTGAAACGATGGTCTGTTTAGTTAGGTTCTTGTTAGCATCTATGCCCAACTGGGAAATTGCAGGGCTGGTTGGGACAATACCATATCGAGGGCAGCCAAAAATACCGAAAGCTATTCACGCAAGATTAGTTTGACTAGATAAGTACCCTGAACGCCGTTGTCGATACATACACATAATGCGCCCATGACAATGACAGTCTTGCTTTTCGTCATTTTTTGGGACTGAGAAGACACCGTCTGCGTGACAGCGTTCTCTTTGGGTGGCGAATTGGCATTTTCTTCAATCTCTTCATCGTTATCGTCTACTGAGACGCGCTGCGGCATTTCTTCCTCTCCGAGATGCTTCTCTTCCAGGGAGCTCTCAGCGTGAGCTTCTATCGTCGTTTCCGAAGTTTGTTCCCCTCGGACGTAGTCAGCGTCGGAGTCGATCTTTTCCGCCATTTTTTTATTCTCCCACACACGGGGTATACTACTACTCCCTGTGAATGTTCGACCGGGAGAAGTAAGAAATGCAGGAATCGCAAATTTTCAGTCGATTAGAATTGAAAGGGGATGACGCTGCGGTGGATTATAAATTTTTTAGGTAGCGTTCCAGACTAGTTCGGCGTTAAGGGAAATACAGAGGACTGCCGTTCTGCCCACGGGGCATGCTCCGTACAAATAGAGACCAGGGTTCTCACACTAAATAGAAAATACGGAGTAGTAGGCGCATTCCGTCCATTTATTTTGCACGGAGTAGTTAACTAGTTAATTAGCATGTACGTTTCTCGCGTAAGCAGAGCCTCTGGACCTCGGAGTTAGGGCGTAATCCTCCTCGGATTTTGTGAGTTCGTTACTACTTACCTCTGCGTTTGACAGGGATCACCAAAAGTCGAACTAATGTAGATGGATAGCGTTGATTCGGCGAGAGCCCTAATCACCGCCAGTCGAGAGCTCCACGCCAGATGTGATGTATTTGATTTTATACCCTGCGAGTGATGTACGTGAAGCACGATGAGCGTTTGATATGAAATTTGCGAATCCAGGTTACGGAAAATTACTTGACATTACATAGCATCGCCTAACAATTGGGCCTTAATACCGCGAAATTACTACTGCATTACCCCGTGTAGATCCTTGAAAACTTTGTGTGGGTTCTTAAGTCCGACCACTCAGAGGTGCTCACGTGCTGTTCGTACCTCAGGCTCTCTCCACTTAGCCTTGCAGTGACTCATCACGGAATGTTCCGAGGGCTTAACTTATCCTGGCAAGCTATCTATCTTGATGCATTGATGCCTTGAGGGTCAGGCAGATACTTTGCATCATGCTACAATGAAGTTGAGAGCCGCAATGTTCACTTTCGCAACGACCGAATGACCGAAGAGTCTTCACTGCGGAAGAAGCCGTGATTATATTCAGAAAATTGTAGAGTTCTCTGCAAGATCACGTTCACCTTCGTACTCCGATTACTCGAGGCTGTGTATGCCTGAAAGTCAAATGGCAGTGACCCGCAGAACCCGCATCGATGTCGATGGCAAAAAACATTGAAGGAACTCTTGATCCGCTGCAGCGAGCTGTAGATGCTAGGCTGTATATCTCTGTCAGGAAGAACAACATTTCGATTTGGCTAGTTAACATAGTTAGCTAGTCACGTCGTACATAACTACGTAAATACTAAGTAATCATAGATGAGGCTGTGTGATTGGTTGGGTTAAATTTAGACGCATTGCCATCATCAGCCCCGCAGCCAGTGGGGCCTCCAAAACTCCAAAGTTCTTTGCGCGTCACTCAGCAACAATTCACAACCTCACAACCATCCTGCTCTGCCATTCAGCGCGGCGACTTCTCGACCGATCCATCTTTTCGACCCCATTCAAATCCTTTAGTCTCGGCGCATGAATCAGTGAGGCTAAAGACCAGGCTGCCAAATACTACACATGGAATAAGCGAAGCAAACCCCATAGTCAAATACACGCTGCCCCGACCTGGGCTTGCATTCCTCCTCACATCGCTCAATACTTTCGATCCTGACGCTTCCCATCCCGCGCGAAGAACACACTCCAAGCTGACGCCGGCCGTTCGTAATGGCCTACAGTCAGAAATTCAATCCCGATGCACTGCCAGCGTACGAGTTCCAACCTTGAGCAGGAAAAACCAGAATTTGATAATACTAATTCTAATATGGCCATATTCTAGACACATAGAACCTGACAAGGTGCGACCAGGTGGATCTTCGATCGCTTCTAATGCCGCCATCCAGCTGACTCGATTTGCGCATATATAGGCTGCGGAGTTGTTAGCCAACGCACATAGACCTTCACCCCAAGCTCAACAACACACCCATCATCATCATCATAATCACGAACAAAGACCACCTCCTCCGCCCAAATCATCTGCGCCCGCTACTGGCATCCCTTCTCGCAAAACCCCGCCTACCGGAACATTGCCGCATCCCGCGTCGCATAGCTATGGCAGCCGACCACCCAATGCCGGCGCACCAACGAATCTTCGCCCTTTAGCAGACGACCATGCGTCGCGCTTCCATTCTCCTCCCCCTCCAAACTATGGACACGGTCCTCGTCCCAATCCGAACGTACTAGGGCGTCCTCCGCAACACCCTCTACCCCCATCATCGCCTGCCGCCAACGGCCCTCCCCTTGCTGGGCCCACGTCCGACGACCCTCACCAACTACTGCCCCTGTTTCGCGCAGCCAATGTATCCAGGACAGGAGCTCTCACAGAAGCAGAGCTCGGATCTGCATTGGTGAACGGCGACTATTCCGCATTTGACCCCAACACCGTAAAAACAATGGTCCGCATGTTCGATCGAAACGGCAATGGCGTAATTGGTTTCGACGAATTTGTTTCTCTATGGCGTTTTCTCGCGGCATGGCGGGAGATTTTTGATCGATTTGACGAAGACCGGAGCGGGCGCATAAGCTTTGATGAATTCGAGAAGGCGCTTGTCGCGTTTGGATACAGGCTTAGTCGTACGTTTATTCGCGTGTTGTTTACGGCGTTTGAGAGTAAAGGGAGACGGCGGGCGGTTTCGGTGACAACTCCATATCCCGCCCAGCAGCCGCAGCGGGGGATGAGCTTTGATCTGTTTGTGCAGGCGTGCATCAGTTTGAAGCGCATGACGGAGGTTTTCAAACGCTATGACGATGACCGGGATGGATACATAACGGTTAGTTTCGAGGAGTTTTTGACGGGTAAGCTCTGCTGTTTCGCGTTTGATTTTGATATATGATGAGACTAACGTTGGATTTGTTACAGAATTTCTGCAGTTGCAGGAATAAAGATGTATTAATATTATCACTAGACTTATTAATAAGATACCATGGTTGCATTATAAAAGTATGGGACACATACCAGATAGTTTGTTCATATATGTTGCAGACGCATAGATTAGACAGTGAGTTAGAGGTTGAGTCCAATGTTCAATTGATGTATCTGTATCTGCGCCTTGAGTACATCAACGATCTCATCCCAAGTCTTGTCCTGCAGCCTTTTCCCAACCTCTCCTCTTAAAAGAGTACCAGTTTCACTAAAGGTTTTCAATAACGGTCAGCCAGCCAATTTCTTTGATACCATTCTCAATAGATGTTAAGCAATAACATACTCCAAATACCTATCCCCTTTCCACATCCTACCATGAGACTCATACCCTTGCACACTTGCGCCAACCAGAACTCTACTTCCAGCTTCTGTTGGCCGCGCAAATAATTTATTGAACAACCCAAGCGCCCACCTTTCATACCAGCGGCTGTTGTTGTTGGTGTATTCCCGTCCAAGCGACGAAACACATAACCCCGGTTTGACAGTGTTTACTATCACGTTCAGATTGCCACCCGTGGCCGTGGCAGTACTGGTTGTGTTCTGGGCGAGCTCCTTTGCGATATGCCGGGCTACATATTCGATTAGTAGCTTTGTTATTGCGTATCTCTTTCGTGCCGAGGGTCCGTTTGTCTGTGAGGATTGGTTCAAATAGCTCAATAGCGGAGCTCGGGATGTTGATGGCGGGAGGTCTTTTTCAGCGATGCGCACGGCCGTACCGCTGGAAACAATGACGAGATGGGGTGTAGATGCCTCTCCTGAAGCTGATGTCGATGATCGCGGTACGGGTAGAGATTGTTCAAGTTTGGGCAGCAACAACAGCGCTAGCAACGCCGTTGAAAGCGTATTCACCTGCAGCGTATCTTCCCATCCGTCCTGCGAGAGAGTGTATTCCCGATGCATAACGCCGGCATTCAGGATGGCCACATCCAGCTTTGGCATGTTGCGGTCAACTCGGGATGCAAATTCGACTACACTGTGGAAAGAGCTCATATCAAGTGGCCAGACTTGTACGACAGAACGGCCGGTAAGTTGCTCTAGTCGTTCTTTGGCTTTCTTGCCTCGTTCCTGGTCACGGCTGCCGATTATTAGTGACGAGACACCCTGTTGCACGAACTTGATTGATGCTTCGAATCCCAAACCGGAGGTGGCGCCGGTGATGAGCACGGCTTTCCCATGGAAGGAGATGTGCTTTGGGTCTGCTGGTAAATTATGTTTTTCATGCCATAGTCTGAAGAGACCGGCCATTTTGATCAAGATCCAAGTTCTGTAGAAATTAGGGCTTGACTTGATAGTGAGAACAGATGTGACTATCCGTTCAACCTGGAAGCGGATAATTGTACTGAAAACGCATCATTGCCTAATCATAACTGATACATTTAATAAGAATAGAAAGGAAGACTGAACTAAGTAGACTCTCTCGAACTTGCAAAACTTGAAGTCGTCGAGGGATGTTGTCTGAGAGGTTGACCTGGACAAATGATGCAAACACAGGCTCGCTACAGTGGAGCCTAGATGCCTGAGGCCAGAACGTCAGACGATCTTGACAGCCTAGCACGACATTGATCTGATTACACAGCACAAGCAACGCAACAGCAGAACAGAAGGGAAAAAAGTAGCGGAATCAAAAGTTACAAGCGCATGCAAGAATTTTGCTTCGTCTAGACGAATCTGCATCCTTGTTGTTCTAACGGTGAGATCTCAAACCAACCACTGCCTATGCTACTTGAGCTAACAAATGTATACAGATACCTGGCCAGCTTGAAGCATTTCCGTGGCTCTTGCGGCCTCAAAAGTTATATATCTACTCTATGACTTGAAACCATATAGACCTTGATGCTTAGAATTCACAAGGACCTCATTACTCTATATCTCACCCGTCACAAAAAGGAAGAGGAGAGGAGGAAGAAAATCACTGAGAACGAAAAATGACAGACCAATCCACTCGTGACGGGCGAACATGGAGACAGCATTTCCCCGATGGCGACCTCTGGGTGTTTGGCTATGGGTGAGTGACTTTCCTATGCAATATTGCGTCTACTCAGATGCAGTAAGGTCGCTCATGTATCAATAGTACTGACATACACCTAATAGGAGCTTGATATGGAAGCCACCGCCTCATTTTGGTTTGTTCTCCCGTGACTGTCTTTGGCATGGGTGCCTTTGCATGCTAATGATTGAGTGCATTATTTCCCTTCAAAGACAAGCGAGTTCCTGGTTATATTAGTGGATACGTGCGACGGTTCTGGCAGGTCTGTTCACCTTCAAAACCTGAAATGATTCATATATAAGAATCCTAACTGACGCACGTACCAAGGCCAGCACCGACCATCGCGGAACGCCAGAGCAGCCCGGTCGAGTAGTGACAGTTATTGAGAGGTCGTTTTGGGAAACATTGGACGACCCGGTAAGCACAGACTAATATATTCTACTTAAAAGCATATCCAGATATGGATATTTCTTATGTTGACGAGGGTTCTAGCAAAATCATCTCGAATCATCTGCTACATCAACAATATGGGGTGCTGCATACCACATCCCCGCTTCCCATGCAGAAGAGGTTCACGACTATTTAGACGTTAGAGAAATAGATGGTTATACAGTGCACTACACACCGTTCTACACCGTATCTGCACAGGAGGGTACGACCACCAGCATCACCGCGGTCGACAGCAGCGAAATAAGGGAAGACACACCGACTTCAGCCGTGCCATCACCTGATCAACATCACCATCGCCAACATCCTCACATCGATTCCGACCTTTCCGCCTCCCCGCCTCCCTCTCATCCAAAGCCCATCACTTGCATGGTTTACATCGGTCAGCCGACCAATCCCCAATTCCTGCGTAACCCTTCAGAGCGGGATCCTGCTGCTGTAGCGACAGTGATCAGTCAGGGTCAAGGTCAGAGTGGTCGGAATCCCGAGTATTTGTACCTATTGGAAAAGGGTCTTGAGGGGCTAGGCTTGGGGACTGCTGATGGCCATGTGACGGATTTGGTGCGCAGGGTTAAGATTATTGAAGGACAGCATGACCGTACTGAGCAGGCGAATGCTGAGGAGTTGAATGCCGAGCGTGAAGTTCGGAAAAGTGTTGCCGGGCTGGAACAGTTAGGATAGGTATTTCGTTGACGACTGGTTCGGAACTTCCGGGGTATCGATTCATAGTCATTACTACATGCATATGGAAATATACAAATCAAAAAATGATGCCTAGATGTATATTATATTTCGAACATTAAAAGGACTAGTATAATAATACTTGGGGAGCGGGGAGCATCAATCAAACAATAAGATGACAAGGAAAGAGTACAAAGTGTCAGCAGCATTTTAAACTAGATCCCACCCGCACAGTATGTTGAATCATTTGCATAAGACGTACACGTATGTATCCATATGTAACAGACAACCTGAGGCGGATATCAAGGCTAAAAAGAACAAACGGCACAGTACTGAAAAAGATGAAAAACAAAACAGTAACATATATTGACGAACAGCGGTAAAGAGCAGTTGCGCAAAGAGGTCACACTTAGAAAGCACAGAAAGTATGAGCGGTCTAAGTTTGCTTCGATCAAATCCCAGATTAGAAAGCAGATAATCAATCAATAATTGCCCGGCTGTTGGCTATTAAGATTAATAACGCCGAACATTTATTTCTTCTCATCAGTTCTCATCATCCATTCGTCATTTCCAATTTGGTTTCATACGATAGAAAAATAATTCATGTCCTGGCATGTATGTGCCGTGAGTGAGAGAGCGTGTGTACGTGCGATAAGAGACCTTAGGATATCGGATCCGAGCAGGTTCTAGGCAGAACCTTGTTGTGCCCCTTGATTGTTGCCCCAACCTGTTCTAAGTTAGAAACTCGTTATTTCGATGGAACAAGCACGTCTTACCTCCTTGTCCACCGTAGCCACCTCCGTCTGGTGTATTCCTAGTCAGTCTATGCTGGAACCAAAACCTAAGCTGCAATGGGCTTACTGTAGCCTCCACGATTACCACCACCCCCTTCAAAGCGATTGTATCCACCACGACCATGAAAGCCGCCATCGTTTCGCGATGGAGCGTTATTCGATGCTCGGTCGACTCGAATGACGCGGCCGTCGAATCTTGAAGCGGTTCAGCTAAAGCCAAAGGTACAAGTAGAAAGAGTAACACCTACTCCTGGTTGTTCATGCCATCGATGGCAGCATCAGCCTCGGCATCGGTTGCAAATCGCACGAAACCGAAACCACGACTGCGGTTGGTATCCCGGTCCTTGATAACAATCTGTCGATGCCGCATTGTGAGTGATCCAGTCGTCTGAGATGCTCATTGCCGTATTTTGTTGGAAACTTACAGCTTCTTCGATGGTCCCGAATTTCTCGAATCCCTGACGTAGAGTTTCGTCTGTGGTGTGCCACGCGAGGCCACTAGGCACAAAAATCGCATAGTCAGGCACAGAACTCGATGCGAAAAGTAATTGAACGAACTTACCCAATAAAGAGTTTGGACATTTTGAGTTGTTTTCGTAATAGAATGATGATGGGAGTTTTAGGGCAGCTGCAAATCAACGCACCATGGTCAACTATGATAAGCAACGATCACATCGAACAGGGCATGTGCACAGGGAAGAAGCTATGTAGGGTTCTCCTCTCGTTGAATGGCGGTGGCCTAGAAATGCCCCCTGGCCTTTTGCACAGAGAACAAGGCTGAGAATGGCTGCAGAGATAGATCACCTACGCTATCACAACCGTTTTACTGGCTTAAAGCAAGGATCGGTCAGTGTGCTTTTGCGACTGGTGGAAATACCACCAAAAGGAGAAAATCAAGAGATTCCAGGGCCTGATCCTACAACTTACTTTAGATAAGTTCTGAAGGATTTGAAAAGCCACTGACTCGAGAGGGGTTGCGGGAGGACTGTGCAGCAGAGCTAGAGTGAAGACAAGATAGTAATTAGTCGAGCCGCGAAACTACCAGAAATGGCGCCAGCATGGGTTAATAATACAAAGACTCATAATAATATACACAATACTAGGGACTAAGGGCTTATACGTTTTTTTCAACCCCCAACGGGGCAACACCAGTGCCGGCAGTGGGCACTAATGCCATAGATCACTGCGTCCGATAGTACGCTAGCTCCAGTGTGTCACACGTCTGGCTGGTTCTTCGACTCTCACAAAGGCACTAGGAGAGAAGGTAACGTGGTCCGTCCTCGAGATGGTCCGCCCGAAAAATTTGGGAAGCAGGCGTCTTCTTCCTATTAGTCCGGATTTTGAAGGGACTCGGTTTAGACCCAATTAATCGAGACTAACCATTCTCGATTTCCAGGTGTGGCTGCAGATTTTTGTTTGTTTGATAGATATAATAAAGCAGTTATTTTCAAGGCAACTGGCGGCGTGGTCTTATCTGGAGGTCTGGTTTCTTCGAGCGCTGCAAATTGTGATTTCTTTTTGCCATACAGCTGTTGACCACCAAACTAGCAAAAAGTTTGTGAGCGTCGCTATCATTAAGTAGTTTGGAACAAGGCTGAATGAGAAATGGACGGTGGTCTGGCGAGTCAGTCGGCTTCGAGCTCGGCGAATCTTATACCTACGGGCGTACGTACGGGGGGCCAGTTATTGTATGCGTGGAACCTCTTATTCCCGGGGGTCTCCGCATACCGACGAATGGCGTGCATCAAATGGCCATAGCTCCCGATTTCACCCTGACGGCACAAACTGTCCTCAATACATAGTCAGCTATCGTGCTATAATGGCGATAGAGTCGAAGGAAACAATAGGGGTAGTGATTTCAGACTGTTTATTTGCTATCTTGTCCTACTCTCGATTGCATCGTCTCCTGCGATCCGAGCTAGTGGATGATTGCTCTCACTACTAAGCTCGCTGTTCCATCCGGCATAATTATAGGTGATTCACTCGATGCGCCACAAGCTCCGCAAAACAGTGGGGTGAACGAGAGTTTGGCCAAATCAAACGTGCTTATCGTGTGATGTGATGAACTTGCTTCTTGGACGTGCGAGCTAGCTCGGCCTTTTGCATGATCAATGAAGATAAAGGATGGCTAGAACCAAGGTTTTGGTGCTACAGCCTACCATCCAAATCTCTTCCTCGCGGAGTTAAAAAAACTATCACCGAGTTAGTTCCTCTAGTGAGCTGGTTGATGGTGATCTCCCACCGTTTGTGCTATACTCTGTGAAATCGCGTTGTGGAAGAATGCTTGATTGCTGTTGGTGACTGACCTCTGGTAAGTCGGTCAGGAGACAGTCCCAATATACCTATAGACGGCTGGTTTTTATCATCTCAGTCATACCAGTGATAAAACGGTTGGTCGTTCTGGAGTTGGAGGTACAACGGATCAATGGCGAGACGGCAGAGAAAGAGTCCTTGGATCCCGTGATCCTGCGTGACCTGCTCTTTCCCTTGGCCACTTCTCCTCCTCTTACGGCTTCCTCACGCAATCGCCGTTGCTGACTGGCTTCAACATGGCGAGTCGAATGGTCCAGCGCATTACCCTGAGTGGCATGATTTGTACAAAGAAGCAGTATATGGCCCGGTGTCTTCTTGCAACATCGATGTCTCCATTTGGTTGGTTAGTCACCGAGTCGCTTTTCGCAGTCTGATCGATCTCGTGGCAAATGTCTTTTCAGTTGGATGCCACTGAAGGGAATGATTGAATGCTGTAACACAGCCTGTTGCTGAACATACAGTCTTCATCGAGCTTTCTGGTTGGAAATATTCTATATGGCAGATGATCGATTTCGCGGCAAGTCCTTCAGGGTGCAAGATGCGCATTACGGAATGGCGCAAGGTATGTTATAGCCGTTGTGCCTGAGGATTGGACCGAGCACGTTGCTGATTTATTGAGCGATGATTCAAAGCAAGACGTTTCTGCGATCCATCCATTTCCACGTGCAGCCCAGTTGTTTTGCAAGCAGATTCTCGCCACAAGCTTAGCGATGTTACGAAGTCGTTCAATCCTTACGAGCCAAGGCCACGACGAAGGACTAATGTAGACCGATATGAACCCAACAAGGGAACTTCTGCGGCGGGACAAAGGTCTCCCAGAACGAAACGCTCCCAGAAAAGAATGACCATGATGAAACGAAACAACACTCGAGTGGACAAGAAATTCTATGCCAAGAATGTCAAGTCAGGACGCTTGACAGTAAGTCAACTTCCCTCGAAAGTACAAAGATACAAGAGGTTAATGGCGGCAAAGTTGACCTCCAATGCGAATTTGGGAATTTTCAAGAAAGGGAAAACGTCGGAACCGATCAGTTACCCTAAAGGTAAGCCTAAGTAATCATTAGCTTGCTTTTATTGCAATACAATTAATCTAATCGACAGCATTCTACCTAAATTTCTCAGAAACGAAGTTCCTTGGCAAAGAAGCACAATGTCCAGAAGACCCTGAGGAGCGGACGCAACAGTCTCGTGACTCCAAAGAAAGCCCCCAAGAATTCTCAAGCGAATATCATTTGGATACAGTTATCGAGCAAGAGCTCTTTCAATCTCTTGCGAACTGTCAGCAACTGAACATCCCATATGAGGAGTACGTCCCAGTCACCTCGAATGTTCAAATACTGTCAGTGGCCGACTTGGGAGAGTTATACAGTAAGAGAAATCATATAGAATCGAGGCAAAAGAGTGCTGTTATGTACGCTACCGGTACGAGAACCTCGGCTTACGATCAAACAAATGCACTTCCTCCAACACATGCGGGAGATATACCTACAAATAGTCTGACAAAGGACAAAGAGATGTTGCTCGACCTCCTTTTGGATACGGTTCAAGATTTTGACGAGGATGTGGCCGTGGAATTCCTTGCTGAACTAGTTGACGCGGCAGAACCCAGTTCAGAGAACTGCAAGCCCCAGCCAGTCGACTTGCGAGCAGGCTCCGTGGAAGGGCCTCCGAACCCAACTGAAGAGTTTTCATGTTTATGCTCATATAATTCTGGAAATGATCACGCCTCTGGGAGTCCTGTCTCCATGACTGGGAAAATTAGAAATGAGACGTCGGCGAATTTCGGTATCCCGCAGAAACAACATGACAATGACCCTTCATCTAATGCACTTGATGCTTGGCATTGGAGAGACATGGAGAGAGAAATAATTGCCGGAGACCACTGTGGATATATTTTCTCTGGCCTTGACGTGCATCGATTCGGCCGAAGAGCTACGCCGGTTTACACAACAAATCAGCCATCTATGCCGGCATCCGTTCCTCCAGCTCGCCGACATGCAACGACCGAACCGACTTTGCACCGGCGTTTTTGGAGATGTAACAAACTCTATTAGTATGATGTCTGTCTGCTTCAAGGAGTTAAAAAAGAACACTAGCACGGCTTTTCCTTTCTAGCCCTTGAATCTGATAGGTCCAAGCGAGACGAAGTAGACGATGATGACCACCCAGGCGAAATTGGTATAGCTGATATGCAATATTTCTTTGTCAGTAGAGTTTTGATACCTTCGAGTGACAAGTACTTAATGCAAGACCACGCCTCGTGTCATGATTTGATTTGTTACACGACGATGTCTAAAGCATCGAAATATGTAATACCCAATTAAAGCATCGATTCACCCAAAGGTGTGAGGCAGCCTTGCTGCATAGGGCTACAACATTGACTTCATTAATTCTCTAGGAGTCCCCAGCTAAACTGGCCGACCGTCTGGTTAGCGCGTATACAAAATCAAGCGATTCTTCACCGACTAAATCTTGGGTCGGTCATTTGTTTACAGAGAAGAGTGGAGGTGCGTTCTCCACCATGCCATGCAGCGTGACGGATAATACTGGCAGCAATGTTCCAGTCTGCTGGGATAAGCATGCTCCATCCAGATGCATATGTGAATTCGAAAGCTAAAGCCTGACCAGCCGGATAAGATTCCGTGCTCCGCGCCTTTTAGGACCCAAGCCTTTGGGCTCATCCGTTGTGCGTCTGTCGAATTTCTTTGTTATTTTTTTTTTCATATCATATTTAACTTTTTTTTTTCCTTTTCTGCTCTTCCTTTCGTTTATTCTCTCCTTCTGTCTATGCCGACTTTTTTGCTGCATAATTCGTTTAGATGCTCGATATACATACAAAAGAAACCCTAGGATTAACACGGCAGGCTATATTTATTGTATCTGTAGGCAAAGCCCTGCTACGCAACGAATGATTGCCATACATTAGGTATACCACGAAGCTGAATTCCAACTCATGATATTTTAATTCTCTTCCTCAGCGCGGTACCCGCTACTAAATCCTGACCAGCTTTTTCTGTTCGAGGTCTGATCCCAGTCCGTTTGCCAGCTGCATCTGCAAGTATCAAATCGTTACCTGAGCCCTACAGAATGAAGGAAAACAGCTTGTGGGCCGCTGAAGGCTTGCACTGCAGATCTTCCCTGCTAGAATATATCCTAGGAGTCATTGCGCAGCAGTTTATAAACTAAGCAAAGAAATGCAACAAGAGTCTGCACCAGATATGTCGGTTTCCGCTAGTTAGTTCAGGGGTGTGATTGCGCCGACGCAAAAATATGTCGACACCGGGGTAATGGTACGCTAACTAGTAATACATCTCTCCACTCTGCCAGTCTAATTCAGTATAGAATAACTCGACTAATATCTTAATACTGCAATAGAATCCGTCGTACGCACACAAACCCTGCGCCCTAAGCAAAAGAGGAAGTGTGTCCTTGTTATGTAGCTACTATGGGCAAAATCGCAAAATTGGGAGTAGTTGCGTACACACATGCTGATTCTGGCACAACTTTTCAGCATTCTCGGCGCTATGTACGACTTTAGCTAAAGTTTCCGAGTCAGATGAATGCAGTTGAGACCTGCATACTTCAAGTTTCCAACGGGGGTTTCTTAGTAGACCCTCTTCGGTGATTTTTTGCACTATCGCGAGAGTAGCCAAGTTCCCAGAAAATTAGACCTGGAAAAGCAAAGAAACGTTGATAAGACGCATAACACGAGAAGCATGCATATTCTGGAATGTCTAATTAACTGACCCGTTAGTCCAAACTTTGATTCGACAAGGACACCGAGTTTATGCGCTTCACATGCACAGAGTCTACGCGTACACGGCCTCCAGTTCACGCTACTACAGTCAAATGCTGAGTGGACAGCTTCAATCAGTGCATGCATGCATAAATTCAGTCCGTCCAGCGTCAAGGTACCAACGGAATGAAATTCCGTCCGATTATCTTAGTCGAGCGTACCAAATACATGGATATAAGTGGGTCATTAATTCAAAGTGCAAGTAAGAACGAAAAAAGAGATTCTGCGTACCTGAAATTGCTTCAAAGTACAACAATATGAGCTGTGTACCATTGCCTGGTGCATTATGCATTATGCAGGATGCGACTGTCGACTTGCATACTGAAGCTTTACGTTTACTTCCATGTGCAGTTATCTCTGTTGCTAGGCGTGATTGAGAAGTATTTAGGCCTCAAGTCCCAGCAGTTGTTCAAATTTTGAACACAAAAATCTCACAGAAGAAGAAAAAAAATACACCAAGAGAGAGAAGACCAATGCTTTTCTCTTTCTCCTCATAATTCTTTTGTTTGATTCTGACTCACGTGGCTTTCTATTGCGTATACTGCAAGTGATCCTTTGGCACCACCCGCAGAGCCGCATAATTCATACTTAGGTGTTATACCTATATCTGCGACTGTCGGAATAACCACCCATCTACTTTCTGTGTTGGTTTTTTTACTATTTGGTGATATTCTAGCATCAAGAATGCCACCTTTAACCGAGACTACATTGACTTTGCACGAATCTCTATGCAATCAAGTATGTAATCTTGTTTCTATTTCCTTTACTTCCGTTTGTATCCATGTCTCTTTACCATGCAAGTACATCCTCTCTGATTATAAATAGCCAAATCCCAACATCAACGCCTCCTACGCTACCAGAGTCGTACAGCAGGAGCAGATACGCCAATACTTTTTACAGCTAGGAATTCAAAAGGGGCACGACCTAGAAATTGGTGAGGGGTGTGCAGAAACATCACACCAAGGGAAAGGTACCAGGCCCTCCAGTGCCTCCGTCCATAGCAACACAGAGAGATCTGACTTGCCGTATGACGACGGCGATGACGCAGAGCAACAAGACCAACAGCAGCAACAACAGAAAGAGAATTTCGTGTCACTCTCGCACTCCCTAAAACTCTTCATGCCGCGTCAGCGTGAGAATCACCATGAGGAATCGCATCATTCCAACATGCAGGATAGTACTCCGCTAGAGCGTTTCGTTACTTTGGATGGATGCAGTGATCCATCTTATATCTCCAGAGTTGCAGTGACTCAGGCGGGTTGCTATGGCCATATGGAGAGCGTAGACGCGCGACAGCGTCAGGCACAGTTATTGGCAGAGCAAGTGGTGCGAGATGCGAACGTACATAGAGGGAGTAGTCCAGATTCCATGAGATACATTTAGATTGCACTGATCGGTTTCATTTATCCTTACTACCATCGGGGGGGAGCGGGGGGGGGATTATGTGTACCTAGGTACACGGGGTAAATACTGAATCAGTGGTAAGACTGAGTATAGAAAGAGGAGTCGTGGGTTGAATGAAGTGGGTCCGTAAGTGTCTTTTATCTTTTCGGCGGTTCGTTCCCGCGCCCGTCCCGCTTCCATTAATAGCCCAATTAAGGTTTTAGTCCCGCAGTGGATGTTACTGATGTCAATAAGTCATAACTCTACTCCGTAGTTGTGGACTCGTCGAATAATTCTATGCATATAAAGTAGTACGAATAGAGAGAGATGAAGGAAGTAGAGAACCATCGCCGACGGTTCTCGCAATAGCGAAGAAGCACGGATTAGTAATGTCGAAGTACTCACCCCTGTAAAATCCTCACCGCATCTTTCAGATTTCGGACGTCGTCATTGACCAATAGCCATTGTAAATTGGATTAATGTACAAGGCTCACGCACTGATATAGGCGGTGTGTGCAAAATGACTACTACATTCTCTACCCTTTACATATTTGATCCTTGTCTCTACACGACTAGTGTTGCTTTGCTGACCACGTTCCTGTGAGACTATTGAGAATGTCCTACCTAGACAAAGGTTACAGACTGAAGCATGGCTCGCTCACATGGCAGCCCGGCACGGTATTACCAGAATACGTCTTGTGTAGAAGAGACTCCAATGGGTTTCCATTGAGGCTGTGCAACGAGTTCCCAGTAGCATTGTCTATATACTATCTAAATGCTATCGCCTCCGTGTCCAATATACCCCGCGGCTGTAACTGCTAAAAGTACTGCTCGCGTTTGAGGCCATGTCGCTTTCCGAACCCAGTGATACATAGTAATTAACAAAAATATTACTCTATCGCGTTAGGAAGTATGTGAACCTCGAGTTTGAGTAAACACGTCCGGTCGTCCGATGGAATCAATGAAATTATCCAGTTATGTAAAAAGGCAATCTTCTACAGACCATTAATCAACGCTGTGCAACTGGGGAAGTGCTCGCGCAGCTTTGATCTAATTAGTCAAAGATCGTTACCGCGGGATACTTGCCAACTTACAGTTCAATTAACTATCTAGCTATGAATTTCTTTGTCCATCGGGCAACAAAGTAAATTTGCCACCAGGAGAAATAGTATTATGCGGCTCTTCAGGGACGCCAAGCGCTCTGTTTTGGGCACCAATGTTGGGCGACGTCATCTCATTTTGTCCCAACAATCTGCAGCCAATTGGAATGTCACTAATGAGTAGTTCTCTTCAGAGACTTCATTATCAAAGAGGTGGGCTCTCATGCAATTCATATGCATACTAGTTCAAACACGATGAAAAGCCGCCGTCGTAGATAGTACCTAGGTTCTTGAACAATTGCAGATGAATTTCATCTCGAATGTTGTGCAGAACCCCTACCCAGCAAAGCAATCAGGCAAAAGCTAAAAAGAGAAAAAAAGCAATTGGTTTTAACAACAGACCTGTCAATAATAACATAGATCCTACCTGCCGGCACGACTAACTCGATCTGGCCCCGACATACACGTCAACTACCCTATCAGTACGGATGCCTCCTCCATCTTATCGATCTATTGGAGCTTAAGTCGTATCAAGCTTCTATTCAAACTAGATGGCGACCATTATAACTCACCTGACACGTCTTCATGGCACGAACTGTACAGACGGACGCGTACCTGGGTATTTATTTGTTGTACACCCCCTCCTGCGTAGATGCTCTGCTTCGCACAGCCACGACCGGTACGCCTTGACGCCTGCAACTTCGACCGACTTCAGTTGACATGCTCTACAGAGCGAAAGTCCCAACACCACTACCTTGGGCCGGCCCGACCTTGGCTCGACGATAAATACAAGCCCTCGCACCTCGCATACGAGCTTAAAGTCACTGCGCCTCAAAACAAAAACCAGGGCCCACCTACCTAGGTAGAAACTGCTATTGGAAGCTCTGAACCTATGCCATTTCCTCCCACTTAGTACTTTCCATGTACCAAACCCCGCAATGAAAACCCTCATACATCGTTTTTAATGCTGATTTTCAAATCCTGTAGAGGACAATCTCCTGGTTTACCCATGTGAGATAAACGATCAATTGGGACTAAGCCCGGACTCTTCCAGCGAGAAATTTTCTCCCAATACCTACCACTGATATACCCGCAAAAGATGCGACATAGGAGGGACCATAGAGCCATTGATAATGGGGATGATACAGGGAGTTCCCACGGGACCACAGAGAGCCAGTCCAGGGATGGAAATATGAATTTTCCCGCGGGGACATTTCGCGGACAAAATGATGTTCTTCAAAGCATGGGTGCTTGTTCCCTTCAAACCTCCTATTCTGGGTTTGGAAACCCCGTTTCAAGACCTGCTAGTGGTGTTCTTGAAACTGCCTTGAGAATTCCTTTATATCATCAAACCCCTCATATAAATACCAACTCTGCCCCAATGCGAAACTACCCAAACGGCGATGCTTGGTCACCATATTCTCCATGGTTGCAGCAAAATACATACTCTGCATCACCTTGGGATCCGGTTGCTTATCCTTACTGCCAGTCCATTGAAATGCTCGTTGAGAGTTCTTTATCAACATCAGGAGACATGCCTGAGTCATATCAGAGCCTTGGAAACCAAGATCCTGCCACAAGCAGTTTCTGTTCAGAGGAAGTACAACCTGGACATGGACTTGTGCTTAGAGCTGGGAATAATGATACTCTAGCGACACCAAGTTCCAGCTCAGCGGTGTCTCAGTGGAGGCTGGAAGCAAGATCCAGTCAAGGTACACAGGAGCCTTTGCTTTCAGTGGTCGCTGCGGCTAGACACTTTTCTGCCACAAATTCCTTCGAAAATGGCTATACTGCTAGCACAACAAGGGAAGATACTACACTTCCTCAAGAACCATTGATGCTCAACTGGGATCTTCGGCGAGATAGATATTCTATCATACCGCCCAGAACTAAAACTAAAAGGAGGAAATTGACATCCTTTGAGAAAGATCGTACTAAGGCGCTCAAGAAGGCAGGGGGGGCTTGTGATGCCTGTCGAAAGGTAAAGAAGAGGGTATGCATGCTTTACTTTCTGCCCGTCTTCATAGTCGATTCTGCGTTGCTTGCCCAATCTAATAAACAAGCATTAGTGCTCTCATAAGGACACGCTTCTGGGACTAAACCAAACTCCTACGAGCAGCAGCAGCAGCAGTGCCAATAACCCACGACGCCGCCGCCAGCAAATATCCGATGCTCGGGCAGTGGCTATCGACAAGCACACTGGCTCTGAATGGCGACATAACTCCACGAATGCCTCATCCTACCAGCAGTTAACAGCCGCCGGCGATCCGAGCGTGTTCACATCTTCTGAAAACAACACACCGCCTTCTGATGCGACTTCTATCGAATATACCAGTGATATCAATCCCGCTCGGCGGAGCGGGACTTTCGCTCTGTATGCTGCAGGTTTGGGTCTTCAGTTCAAGTGAGATATATCCTATCCTTGTGGCAGATGACAATAAGTAGTTCCTTTTTTTTTTTTCTTTTGACTCACGTTTATTTTGTTTCTCACAGTGAAGAGCTCCTGAACGATGGTCAACAAGTGGATAATAGCCTTTATTCGGCTAGTAGCATGGATTTTGCCTCTGAGTACCCCTGGTTGAGCAATCCAAGTTCCGCTAATAACAATTCTTCTCACATGTAGGAAGAAGATTGCGTGGGTGGATGGATGAAGGCATGCTTCTTCCATGCGCCTACCTGGCGTTCTACCGTGTTCGTTTCGAGGCAAGGAAAACCAATTTCAAGTGGGAAGATTGATACATGGCCTCGCTGTGTATTAATCGCTTCTGTTTCATTATGTATTTATTATTATTATATCCTGATATGTACGGCGACGGCGTTAATGGCATATGAACTGGGAAATGGATGGACAGGCTCGGGTTTAAAGGACGGCGCTTTGTTGGGTGAGCCATTTTTTCTTCTTTGTATTTTCAATTTTTTGGTGGACATATCTATATTGCGTTTACAGCGAATAGTATTAGTTAACTAGCGAAGACCGAACGGAGCTCCTAACCCTTTCTGTGTTTTTTGTTGACACGCATGCAAATGCTAAGTTCAATTCTAGTCTTCAATGTATCAGGGATGTCGCTTCATATTTATATCAGAGGGCAGCGGCACCAATAACTCCTGCTGAACGGAACACTGCCTTATTCGTAATGACGGTCTCGATTGGATATTTCCACCCCATGAATTTGGCCCAGCCTGTTTATAGAACCAGTTACGTCAAAAAATTCCTTTTCAAAACACGACATCAAGTGGCAACACATACCCCAATATGCGCACCTCCTACCGGCATATTTGCCTATAAAGGGCACGATAACCATTGTGAGAAGCAGCTCTAGCTGCTGTAAACTTTCCCGCCATTGCTCTTCAGCGTCCGAGTCGTCATAGTCTGAGAGTAGGTCTGATTCGGTCGATGTCTCTGAGGGTAAGGAAGCGATTTCTTCGTCATCCGATGATAGACTATAATGTGTGGACGTGTTGAATTGCGATGATATCATGTATGCTGATGAGGATAGGGACGATGGTTCGTCGGCAGATTGAAATGGTGAGTCCGACATTTTGTGGATGAAGTGAAGGTAATGAGCTGAAGGTATTCGAAGGATGCGATGGCTAGGTCTTTTGCTCTAAATTGATGGAGTTGTTGTATTGGCTGCTCGCGGTCTGCCTACCGCAGGGTATTGTACAGGCTCATTAGTAGCAGGTGACACTGTGGGAGTTGAGTCGAGGAGCAAAATAGCTAAGAGGGTATTCCCGACCTCGTCGAAAACAATGAAAGGTATATAAAGACCTCCAACGTGAGCTCCGTGAAGCTCTTTGGGGTTTATGTTGTCGTCCGGCGAACGACGTAATCCCGAGTCGCCCACGTGACTTGGCAGCATTCTTCGGTACGGTCACGTGCGAGAGGCTCTTCCTTTTCGTGGCGAGCATCCATCTAGAAGAAAGGAAACGACTTCGTAGAGTCATCATAAATATCGAATTTTCACCGACTCCATCTGCTCGCCGAACCTGAGGAATAAAAAACCCTTTGGCTGTGAAACCATCGCAAACATGGCGGATACTGTACGTCACAATTCTCTGAATTTTTACCGACTAACAATCCCCTCCCACATATTTTTTACTCACATCAAACCCCTCACGCACCGCATTACCATTTGCCCCAACGTCACAAATCTGCGCTTGATAACCAGGTCCAGCCTTTTCCTGCGTTGAGTTAATGCCGTTTCTTACGGATTTCAACTGATTTTACGGCTTGGATTACTGACTCTTGGCTTTTTTGGGTATTTATAGGAGGAGGTTACGAAACATCGCAAGTCCGTCGCTTTCAGCGAAGACACTACAATCATGGATGCCAACGGGGAGGTCACGGAGGCTTCCCACGTGGAAAAGAATACCGCCGAGAGCCATTCCGCAGGTATGTCTATTTGGAAGGAGAAATTGCTGGAGCATATCTTCGTGGGATTTTTGTTGCCGACGTCTTTTAACTTTTAAACAGACAAGGAAGTCGACGAGGTTACCGAGCTCTTCAAAGGACTGTCCAAGAAAAAGAAGACCAAGAAATCCAAGGATGCCGATGCCGAGGGAGGCGACGAGGCTGCTCCGGCTGCTGATGGTGAACTTGATTTGAGTGCGATGAAGAAAAAGAAAAAGAAGGTCAAGAAAGCCGATGCTGGGGACTTTGAGGCCAAGCTCGCCGAGGCCGGTGTTACAGGGGAAGGCGCAGAAGGCAAAGAACCTGCGGCGGAACAACTGCCGGAGGGCGATCTCGAGAAGGGTACTGGTATTTGGGCTCACGATGCCACACAAGCCATTCCATACCAGCTGCTCGTCACTCGATTCTTCTCTCTTATTCAGAGCCACCACCCCGATCTTCTTTCCAGCGGCTCGAAATCGTACAGAATTCCTCCTCCCCAATGTCTTCGAGAAGGTAACCGTCGTACAATTTTTGCCAACATTGCCGATATTTGCAAGCGGATGAAGCGTTCGGACGACCACGTCATGCAATTCTTGTTCGCTGAATTGGGTACCAGTGGCAGTGTTGACGGTAGCCGACGGTTGGTTATCAAGGGTCGTTTCCAGCAGAAGCAGATCGAGAACGTGTTGCGTCGTTATATTGGTGAGTTTCCTTTTTCTTTTCTATGCGTTGAAGAAAACACACTGACAGGTTAAATAGTTGAATACGTTACCTGCAAAACTTGCAGAAGCCCCGATACCGAGCTCAACAAGGGAGAGAATCGTCTCTATTTCGTTACTTGCAACTCTTGCGGATCTCGACGATCAGTCACGGCCATCAAGACCGGTTTCCGTGGACAAGTCGGACGTCGTAAGAAGGCCGCCTAAACCCGATTTTGTTTCCTCGTTTCTCTCTTTCAGGCAACAAGACGATCTTCCTTGTCACACGTGCCACCTTGATTTCCTCTTCGACCCCTCAAAAATTCTTATAATGACTTCGAGACTTTTTTTTTTTTTATCTGAAATGGACATGAACAAAATTGGGTGGAGACAACGATGACATGACATGATTGTGAATAGTTTATCTGTGTTGCCAATGACGTATCATTTTACTGTGTGTTGACTGTTGACCATGTTCTTGCCCTTTTCTGTCAATAGCAGAGGTCAAAATTGTTGCCTCGAGCATTAGTCAACGACCCGTGCAATTATGTTGACATTAAGCTAAATTTCATATAACACCATACCGAATTGCCTAAATTCGAAATAACAAGCACATCGTACTTATTTCCATGTGAACGCAGGACGCCTTTATGCAGGTTCTAGGTCAGTAGCATGATGCATCCGCGGATGCATACGACATACGTAAGCCCTGGAAGCTATTTCTAAATATTTATAGCATTGAAGCACGAACAAAGCCTTGGATCATTTACCAGTGGGTGTCTTCAGAATCACCTGCCATGCGCCAAGCTAGTTCTAGGTTCTCGTGTGTACAAATAATGTCACATCTCGCACACACCCCCCACCAGCCACTGCGTTTTAGGCGCTCAGGCAGCCGGCCAATCGGGGCCCACAGCGGTGTGACAAGGCTCAAGGAACGGGGCGGACGGGCCTTCCCCGCAGCGGGTCCTATCTCTTATCCGGCCTCTCGCAAGGCCTGTTTTAGCGCCCAGCTTGCCTTAGTCCGCCTATTAGACTCACTATCAGCTTAGCATCAAGCATGTCTATCACACACTAACGCTCGATTCACTGTTGATTTGTGTGCTCAGGTGTGCCAACCAGGCAGTGCTGGAACCTTGACGGATTTCGTGTAGCCATTAATAAGAAAGTATGAGCGAGCTATACATAATGCTGTCCCCTCCTCCGGACTCCCACAGCTCTACTTTTCCTTTTATCCCTTTGCTCTCGGAATCTGTATAGCTCTTCATCCTTTGAGTATTCGATTTTAGTTGGAATTCGTTACTGATCTACTATTACAAACTTATTTCCTAAATCTCCAATTGCAAAAAAGACGACGAAATCGGGCCAGGTGCCCGTCAATCAGCGACATTACGACATTGGACGACGTTTCTGTTCCTTTTCAATAGTTTTTATACATTTGCAAATCCATGGCGCAAATATTTCCTCCCCCGCCCTCCCAGGGTCATCATTTTCCTCGTACGTGTTGTCTGAACAATGGCTTCAATTGAATCAATCGGCTAATTTATCTCGTCATGTAGCACCCTCAAGATCTGCAAGTAGGTCTCTGATCCATCCAATGTTTAGATCATAGTATCTTGATTTCAGCCCATGTTATCGTCTATCATTAGCTAGACCCGATAAAACTAACATAGGGATGAAAACAACCAGCTCTTCCTATTCTCCCATCAGCCTCATCCGGATTCCCTCCTCCACCTCAACCTTCCTCTCCTGGCTTTCCCCCTCCACCGCTGGCTTCTCCTGGTTTTGCTCCTGCACCATTAGCTTCACAAGACTTCCCTCCTCCAAATCATACCTACCCTCCTCCTCCAAATCAACAAAGTCAATTCCCGCCGCCCCCGAGTAGTCGCCCTTCTACAACAAGTCCAACCCCGGCTAATGGCGATGGTACCGATACAAATCAAGCGTCATCCCTGAATAGTCGTCCGTCTACAACAAGCCCACCCCCACCTCCTACTAACGGCGACGGAACCAATGTCTACCAAGCACCAGTCCCGAGCAGTCTTCCTTTTACATTCAGTCCACCTCCTACTAGTGGCAGCGGCGGCGAGGCCTCTCAAACGCCGGCCTCAAATAGACGCCCTTCCACTATCAGTCCTCCGCCTACATTCAGTCCGCCTCCTGCTAATGCTGGTAGTGGTACCGAGGTCTATCAAGCGCCAGTGCCAAGCAGGGATGTTTCTACAACAAGTCAGCAGCCATTTGCTTTTGGTCCTCCGCCTACATTCAGTCCGCCACCTCCATTTGAAATCAATGCTGGTAGCGCCGCTGCCCACCAAGCGGCTATGGCGGCGGCAGCACAGGAACAGAAGCTGCCATTGTCGCCTCCGCCCACAGCCCAATTCGGGGTGAAGAGGTTGACTAATGGTGCTCCGGCTCCCGGCCAATTTAAAGGCGCACATGCCACGAATGCAGATGACGTTGGGACGTTTAACGGTGGAAGTTACAGAATCAGTCATCGGACTGTCAATTCGGTGCTCACAATTCAGTTGGCAATTGGGGCGCCAGTACTTGCCAGACCTGGTGAGCAAATACGTATACAACGAGGAACAAGTCAAAATAGGGTGCTAAGATAGGAATTTTAAATAGGTGCTATGATCTCGATGTCTACTAGCATGTCACTCAAAGGAACATTCAGGTTCTCATTGAAAAAATGGCTATTCGGGGCTGAAATGGCCTACTCGACATTCACTGGGCCCGGGGAGCTCTTACTTGCGCCACCCATGCTAGGTGATATAACAGTCTTGCGGCTGAAAGATGATACGGATACCTGGAAAATTGGCCGTGATGCATATCTTGCTTGCACAATGTCTGTCAAGAAGACTTATGGCGGCCAGGGTCTTTCCAAGGCTGTCTTATCTGGTGAGGGCTTGATCATCGCCACCATGACAGGCCCTGGATTAGTATGGGTACAGAGCTTTGGTGCTATAATAAAAAAAGATGTATGTGTGGCCCATTGTTCGAATTTATTGCTTTGATGGCTGATTAAGTAAAAATCTTTAGCTTGTTGAAGGCGAAAGCTACTATGTCGATAATGGGTATCTGGTTGCGTGGAATTGCAAATATGAGATGGAACGTGTTGCTTCTGGTGGTATCATTTCGGCACTCAGCGCTGGTGAAGGGGTGGCCTGCCGATTCAACGGTCCAGGGACTGTCTACATGCAGACGAGGAACGTGAAAGCTTTCAATGCACACTTGGGTGTAAGTAGTGCAAGAGGATAAGCTGGAGATGCTGTAATATTAGAATGCGGTGGATCAGATTCTTGAGCCATGTGAGCGCATCCAAGAACTTTCACTCGCGTTAGGCAGAAGATTGCTTCTTTTATTCTATCATCCACTAGAAATCATACTTTAAATATTCAGGTCTTATGAATCAATAGCCTCGGTACTTTGTATCATAATACCGCTTTGCCCCCAATCTTTCCAAATATTCGTAGCCTTCCGTCCAAGAACCTTCAAATTCGTCTCCATGTGCAGCCACGTCCAATACACTCATTTGATCGTAGCCCAAAGTTTGGATATCTGCCTTGTGATCACAGAGGTACTTAACAAGTGGCAAGTTTCGATTAAGAGTTGCGGCCATTAAGGCCGTTTTCCCCCTAAAGCCAATGGCATTAACATCTGCCCCTTTATTGACGAGAAGCTCAACAACATTCAGCTTTCCACTTGTTGTAGCTAGTATGAGAGCCGTGTTCCCTGTTTCCGAATGTATTTCCAAGGATGCATTATGATGGAAAAGTAGCGAAGTAATCTCGACGTGGCCGCCCTCGGCAGCAATCATTAATGCAGTCTGGCCATTGATGCTTTTTGCGTCGACGTTAACCCCACCCTCGAGTAGGAACTTAACCACAGAGTATTGGTTTCTTTCTACTGCAGCAAAAAGCGCAGCTTCATGCTCCTCCCCTGAGCCGACAGATAAATTGCGACCTAGAAGGAATTCAAGTGTTTGGACATCACCTGATACCGCAATTTGCATTATTATAAGAGCTCGGAGGTTGGAACTGTCAATATGCCGCAACAAAATCTCAACGGGTTTATCATACTTTATAGCCGCTGAATAAGTGATCATCATCGTCAAAACGTTCTGGAAGTTGCTTGAAAAAGTGTCAAGTAACATTCGCATAATGAACCATTCTAAGATATTATGATGTTTGTTTTTGATAAGCCAATCAAAAATAATCTGAACGTAGTTATTGCTCAACTTCATGGTGACCAGTTCAAGCCATACATCGAGAAGGGCCGATTGGGAAGACAAAGCGGCCTCCTGGTCAGTATACGTTTCTTCCATTGAACATTGTACAGCATATAGTTTTTCTAGCTCATTCAGATAGAGCGTATCTTGATCAGAATGGCTGTGTGCGGCTTGAATTCGAAGCAGTCGTGATGATATCCAGTACATTTCATTTCTATATCTTTCCTGCCAATCCGCCCCGGGGATGCTCGAGATATTGGCCAGATCTTTCGATATTGAGTTTGGTAGCTGGCTGTTGTGATTCACATTCAAAATAGACATAATCTTTTTGAGACCAAGCGGTGTTCCTGTATCATACCGGCTCATGATATGCCTCAGGCAGATGTATCCATATTCAACTAACATGTGCTCTACTTCTTCAAAATCAGCCACAGAACACAGCCATTCCCTTATACCGAAGATTCCTTGGTCATTCAAGCTTTCAAGTTCGCCCAACTGTTGTTGGACTTCAACAGATTTGATTGTGATTTCCGGTAGCAATCCTCGATCAGAAAGAACCGAAAGTATGCAAACCGCACTTCCTCTTTGATCCCCCAGACCACTTTTAACAAAGCCTTCTGTGAGTACTTCGATGCGATCATTGGATAACCTGTAGGTTTTCTTCTCCTTGCCTGAAATCTGCGTCGTGCCACCGATTTCAGAAAGCCACTCAAGCATTGAACTGAGGACATGCATATAGATGTCTTGAGCAGCCAACGTATATAAATCACAAGAAACTCCAACTAACGCTGCACTGTCTGCTGGGTTCTCTGTCCGGTAATCAAATTTACCGAACTTATTGCTACCATTAAGGAAAGTTGTGGGTGCTGCTTGGTTCTGACGTAAAGCTGATTCGTCATTTGTCCACTTTTGATAAAGTAACCGTGCCTGATGAGCATTCTTGTTTCTCGATTCAAGTGCTCGAAAGAAATGATTTCCATGTTCGTCGCCCATTTCACGGTTGGCTTGTCGCAGAGACCAGACGTAAAGGCCAAGGATTGCTTCCCAGAGATCAACGTCCACCTTGGCCCCGCTAGATAACCGCATCTTCTTGTCATATTGTATCGTTTGCTGACTACCTTCTTTTTCAAGCTCAAGTGGGATGACAATATCAAAATATGTCACATCTTTGTCAGACCAAGAGCTTATGAGTTTCATTAGCTCCTGTGTTGCTTGCCCTAAATTTTGTGCCAGCTTGCGGGCAGGGGTCTTATTCCAGTGTGAGCCGGCCAACTTTGTCAGCTTCTCGCGGACAATTAACGACTCTCGTACAACCGAATCAGACTGCGGCTGTGGTTCTTGCCTGCAAATTTTGATTAATATACACCAACATGCAAAATGGCATGGTTGTATACTCACATTGGCAAACTTGAAACAGAACGAATTCTGAACGACCGAATCGTAAATAGATGAAATACTAGCCAATCTAATTCGTGTTCACCATTGCAAACAAGATCTTGGTCATCTTTCAACAAATTATCCCCCTCATGCATTCTTTGAGCGCGTAAAGAAGTCCTAACAACAGTCATGACTATTGTTAAGCCTAGCTGGGCAAGAATAACAGAGGGATGTAAGCCTCGCAACCCCACAAACTGGATCAAGAATCCAACAATAGTTAGGGATAATGCAGTTATGAGCGATAGTCCCTTACTAATGTTAAGAACCTCATCTGGTGAGTGATGTCTCACAGACCGGGTGAAATGGGCACCCTTGTCCGTCTGGCCCACGAAGGAAGGCAACTTCTGATCGCCTACCCCCTGATTTCCAGGTTGAATCCAGTACACTCTACTTTCCTTCGGAAGAGTGAGAAAACGCTTCTTCGAAAACCTTTCCAGTAGGAGAGCACAGAAAAACATGCCCAGTGTGAGTATAGCAGTTCCTATCGCAAACATGGGAAAGGCATAACTATTTGCTCGGGCCCCATCTTTCAAAAAGAATTCCGGCCACTTGAAGACCGTGAGGGCAGCATAAATAATGACTCCTTCATTGTCTAATGTCAGGGCAATTTAAAAGCCTTCGTTGTAAAAGGGGGGAGATGCTTACCTAATTGCAAGATAGTACCAAACAGAGCGGCCAAATGAAACCAAAACGGTGCACGTCTCTTTATACCTTTGTTCAAAGATAGGTTTGGCAGAGTGGCATCTTTCTCAAGATCTGTCCAGCGTTTCCCCTCTAGTTCGCTCACTTTTTGAACAGTTACAGTCCCGCTTTCATTTGCCACAACCTCTAGAATTTTGGGATTGCCTGTTATCCTAGCAACCCCGGATTCGGTAAAAACCTCAGCAGTCGTGTCAGATACACATGAGAGCAGTTCTAGTTCAGAATCGCCCGGATCTTCCGAAGCCCTTCCAATAAAAGCGCGAAGGGTTGAGTTGCCGCATATCCGGATCAAAGATACCAGTGCTGTCAAGATCCCTATTGGTGCCAAGGCAAATATATAATCATCTAGCGCAGTGATTAACTCAGACATGCATTGAGTAGTAACTTGTTCGCCAAAGAGGGATATTAATGGTGCCTAGGACAGCTGGGTAAGCCTTCGGTGAAATGAGGATTTCAGAGGATATGGACGTACCAAATCGGTGACTAGATCATTCTCGAGATCGGACCATTCATCTGCTGACACACAGCACACTAAACAGAGAAAGACATATGAATATCGTGCAAGCACCATTTCCTGATCATTCTCACGTGGAGATTACGCCGGATATTGTTGATGAGCTCCGGTGACGGGGCGACTCTGACAGAGATGCAAGAGTATATAGATGTGTATATTTTGATTATCTCGAGAAAAGACTGCCAGGCCATCGACAGTATATATATAGACATATTCGCAAGGCTGATGGATATTGCATGGATGCGATTGGTTTGGCTAGAGCCCGTAGGCCAGGATTTCATGCAGGGGCTTGTGCGGCGCAAACATAGAGCCCGGAGGCATCCCGCATTGCGGTTGGTTCAAACGGTACCTGCTAGTCAGACCGCAGGAAGATATTTTGGTGTCGTTTGCGAGTAAGCCTTGCACTGCCATTGCATGGATTCGTCTCAAGCGATGCAGAGATTCGGACGCTCAGTGGTCAGAAGAAGGCCGGTGTAGATCGTGAAACACTAGTTGGCTGTCCATTGTCCACCCCGGCGGCTATTTGGGTTGGGCATCGACATCAACGAATACGATTGGTATGATCCCTGGTGGTAGTGGGAGAGAGACACTTGGTCTTGTCATCGATGGGACGTTTGAGTGTTTCCCGGGGGGGTTAAAGAGGACGTTGAGTTGTTCCTTTGTAGTTACCCACAAGGCACTTGTTGCCTCCTGGGTGCGGTGCGGACCTTCCCGTATCCACACGTCAATCTCGACACAACACGTGCATTTTTCTTAGTCTTCCTGGATACGTAGCAAGTCTCGGAAGAAAGACTCATAAAGTGCGTGATTCTCTAGTCCTCGATCTCTACGCATAAGTGTTGCATGCACTGACTGTTGCCGATATACTAATAGCGGGGGGTAACGGCCCATCCCTGATGCTAGGCTTCCAAGGTTCCTTCTATCGATATGTAATTTTTTTTTTCTCGAAATCAGCATCATGAAGCCTGACAGCGCAAGAATCATTCAAGACATTTACAAAGCGCGGGATGTTCAATACTACACATGTTTACGGAACTGAGAGCAACTCTCCCGTTTTAGCAACTGTGTGAACGGAAGATGCTGTTTGGGGTCTTCCGTGGTGAGTGCCGTTGGGTGGTTCTCAAGTACTGGATTCGAGTTTCATCCATAGATGTATAAGCTTTCTGAGCGACGTGAAGGTATAGGCTAAGTATCGCGGCCTCTGAGGAGACCATCCCATCGACGTCAAATCAGTTGAGCCAACGTATGTTGCATCCAAGCAGAACGTTCCGTCCAATAACGATGGTGATGCGTGATGGAAATCTGGGTACGTCGTAAAACTAAAGGTCGTCGTCGCCCATTTCATAATGCATACACCGAACGCCTAATCACTCACGAAGGAGGATAAAATTTATACTATAAAAGCCAGTGGGAGGCTCGAAGCACGTGTTCCCGGGGCAAGTGGGCTCGGCTTTGCCGGTTCTGGTCAGTGAGGGTCACTGCCCGCCAAGTGTGGCTTTGCTCTCCGCCGTTCCGTACACAAGTAACTTCGCTCACAATTAACCACTCGACGTCTTCCTTCATCCATCAACATTCCGCCCAACAAGCAACGATAATCACACCGGGTTCTCCTTGCACGTATATCCAGTCTACAGAAAGAACATCTGCTCGTTGTTTGCCCCCGGCAAAGAGTCCATTACTTTCATCATCGCCATGGCGTCGCAGGGCGATTTCTCTAAGGCCATGGCTAACCGGTCGCTGCGCACCATCCGAACTGTTTGTTATCCCTCCCCGTGTCCTTGAACTTCGGCTTGATCACCAGCACATGTGCATTGTTTGGTAAAACACGTAGAAGCTGACAGGCGATGCAGGAGCTTGAATTTCTCACAGATGCCGCTATCATTACACCGCAACAACTTTCATCCATTCTGTCTCAGCTGCCAGATCAGACACAACTACATGCCCCCGTTACCAGAGCTGTGGCAGAGGCACCGGTAGCCGTCCCGGTAGCCGCTCCAGTACAGTCACCAATACAATCACCCGCGCCTACACCGGCGTTTAACCCTCCTACAACTCAGTTCCAAAATACCAGCCTTAATGAGAAAGCAACGCCACAACCACAGTTCCCTAGCCCGGCCCCACCGCCTGCTTATGCACCGATCTTATCAGTTGCGTCGGCTATGTATGCTTACACACCGACTGATGCCGGTGATCTTGCCCTTCAGCCGAATGATCGCATTCAAGTGGTAGAGCATATGAATAACGACTGTAAGTCATCCGCTTGGTTCAACCATTTCTCGCTGATGCTAACATAAAGTTCAGGGTGGCGTGGTCGTAACGAGCGAACGAACATGGAAGGCATCTTCCCACGGAGTTATGTCAGAATTCTGGACGAAAAACCTCCCGGGCCTGCAGTTTTGTCTCCACAGCCTACTAGTTATGGCAATATGCCTCTAGAGGTTAGCCAAGGCGAGTCGCCCGCTGGCGATCCCGGTAACCGCCGGCCTAGCAAGTTTGAGGAACAGGGCAAGAAGTTTGGAAAGAAGATGGGTAATGCCGGTAAGTACTCCTTCTCATCGATAGCCTAGAAGGCCTTTGTATTGATGTATGCCGATAGCAATCTTCGGCGCCGGAGCTACAATCGGTTCCAACATCGTGAACGGCATTTTTTAAGCCAAAGGCAGGACCATGCTCGACATCGTTTCTTATGTCCAAAATAACTCAAATCCCCGAGAGCGGAAATTTATAAAACTCTAGGATTACAGATTGCGCATTATTGGATTGGCGTTGATGGCGTACGAGGATCTATCACGTCTGCTCCTGGATTGGTTGCCTTTTCGACGACCTTTTTAAACGGAGACTTTTTTGGCGCTTACGGTATTGACACTACTATTATATACATTTGCCGAGTTTTCTCATTGCTTTCCTCCTTCCCCCTCTCCAGCTTTCATTTTTGTTGTTGTTTGGAAACCTCAAACCTGCTTCGATAAGCGTGTCGGCATACAAATTAAGATTGTTAGCTTTCTTCACGAATTCAACGAACTACGTCGACGTCCGGGACACTCGACAATTATCAACACACACACACACACACACACACACACACACACACACACACACGTTGGACAATTATGCAGATCAAACTGAGAATCTTTCCGTTACTTCGTGTGGGTATTTTACTTTCCTTTGTGTAAGGGGCCTGTCGCTTTCCGGCTTCTTCTTGACTTGAGATGATCATTGACTCAAGCTCTCACTGAGGTCTGAGAGTCCTTTACTTTGCTTTCCTGGACTTGGCCTGGCCTACCGTTTGACGTTTTGTTCCTTTAGATGAGGACTTGATTGTTCATTTAATTGGATGCGAGAACATCCGCTTTAGAGCAGTACCTCTCGTGACAAATGGCAACGCTATTGAATTGGCTTTTATAGATGTGGTTGACAAACTCGTAGTTCCAAACTACAGCTCGCTTTTATCATGTCCCGAAGTCGGGATAACACCGGATATGCTGGGGGACCGTCAATAATGTTAGTTTTCACTAGCGCCCAAAAAGGCTAGTCATGATAGATACTGATGGTTTCCTGCCCTGTTATTGGCTGCGCTGCAGGATTACGCTTACCCCACAATGCGTTTGCAGACCGCCTGCCTAATTGATCGCACGGCACCAGAAAAAATTAAGTACCTTCCCCTCCATCCGGCGACTTTCCGGACTGGGAAAAATTTTTGGTTTTCTGAGGCATTGGGTTGCTCGTCAGAAGGCCATCGATTTCCACGCTATTAGAGTGTCGACAAGGCAACACGAACGACAAGATGTGTGGTATCCTAGGCCTTATCCTGGGCCACATCAGTGATGACCCTAATTTCCCATGCAAAGCCGCCGTTACGTTACATGAGGCTCTTTATTACTTGCAGCACCGCGGGCAGGACGCCTGCGGTATAGCTACTTGTGCTGCCGGTGGGCGCATTTACCAGTGCAAGGGAAATGGTATGGCTGGAAAGGTAGGCTTTATTTGTTTGTCTGGAAGTCTTTAATACCAGACGATTCCTCTCATCCCTTCGCTCGCTGCACCCCTGGCAATCTGATTGCAATTGAGTCGCATCGTGATGGTGTATTGATTTTATTGATCGCTGACTTTGTTTGGGAAGGTCTTTGATGAGGGCAGACGCATTCAGGATCTGTGAGTCTATTCCACCTGAAAATAGATCAATCATTATGCCTCGCTAACAATGCTTCTACTCAAGACCAGGTTCCATGGGCATAGGCCACCTACGTTATCCCACCGCTGGCTCAGACTCCAGCGCCGAAGCTCAGCCCTTCTACGTTAACAGTCCATACGGTATCTGCTTAGCACATAACGGAAATCTCGTGAACGCGCGCGAATTGCGGGAATACCTCGATAAGAATGCCCACCGACACATTAACACAGACAGTGACAGTGAATTAATGCTGAACATCTTTGCCAATGAATTGAATGAGACTGGAAAAGCTCGTGTCAACCAGGAAGATATCTTCGATGCTCTCGCACGAATGTACAAGCGATGCATGGGAGGTTGGGCGTGTACAGCCATGGTTGCTGGTTTCGGTTAGTAAATCCCTTTTATACGTTACAGTTGTTCGTACAACTGTGGTGTAGCAAAGTAGCGCTTGGATCAGTTCTCTAATCTGGAATAATCTTGTAGGTATTTTCGCCTTTCGCGATCCATACGGCATTCGCCCATTGGTCCTAGGACAGCGTCCCTCAGAGACACTTCCCGGAGCAACAGACTATATGTTTGCCTCAGAGAGCATTGCTCTACGACAGCTTGGTTTCCACAATATTCGTGACATCAAGCCAGGCGAGGCTGTGTTTGTCCGTAAAGGACAAGCGCCTGTTTTCCGCCAGGTTGCAGAGCAACAAGCCTACTCTCCTGACATTTTTGAATACGTGTACTTTGCACGTCCAGATACCATCATCGACGGCATAGGCGTGCATGCCAGCCGTCAAAAGATGGGAGATAAGTTGGCGGACAAGGTCAAGCAGATCTTGGGTGAGGATGGAGTGAAGGAGATTGACGCTGTTATTCCAATTCCCGAGACATCCAACCCATCTGCCTTCAGCGTTGCACAGCGCTTGAATATCCCATACCGCGAAGGGTTTGTGAAGAACCGTTACGTTTTCCGAACATTTATTATGCCTGGCCAAAGCGCACGCCAGAAAGGTGTCCGCAGAAAGCTCAGTGCTATCGACCAAGACTTTGCTGGAAAATGCGTCCTGCTAGTTGATGACAGTATCGTTAGAGGTACAACGAGTAGAGAAATCGTGGCTATGGCCCGTGAAGCTGGTGCCCGAAAAGTCATATTTGCCAGCTGTGCACCTCCCATTACACACCCGCATCTCTACGGCATTGCGCTCGCGTCTCCTGAAGAACTGATTGCATCGAACAAAGATCGATTCGCCATTGCCGAGAACATTGGCGCCGAGGAGGTCATCTTCCAAGACCTGGAGGACCTCAAGGATGCGTGCAGAGAGCTCTCGCCTGCAAACGGGCCCAAAGAGTTTGAAGTTGGTGTGTTCTGTGGCAGCTACATTACGCACGTTCCCGACGGCTATATCGAGCATCTCGCCGAGCTACACAGTCAAAAGTCCAAGCAAAATAAGCTGCCTCCAACACATGGCTCTGCAGCCCAGACAGGTAGCGGTGGGCCAACTATGTTTGATAAAGCAAATCGCGATGATATCAGTCTTCATAACGTAGCCAGTGATGCGTCTCGGCGATGAATGAGAACCTGGCATACCATATCATCTTAGTTTCTTCTCCGATTTCAAATAGACGAGCATACTTGTTTCATGGCATATAGACTGGGTCTTCACGGGTTTAGTTGGGTGTGGTTCACTCATGAACAGTCATGTGTAATAAGACGTTCTTTTTATTTTAATCTCAAGTATGTATTCTTAAATACTGGAATACCGAAGTAACCAAAGTATCTTATAAAAATCTATGAGCAACACTGTGTACTTGTAGCAGCGGGCTCCCAGACTGGTTAGAAGTAATCCCGGAGATACACCGCCTTCGCCCCTCCAAAGTCCGGCCCCGCCAATGACAGAATCAGCCGCTGCGCTGCTCAATCTGGAAGCTTCTCTCGATATAAAAGCATCTCACTGAGTCCAGTTTTGACCTGCAACAAACAACTCTCCGCCTTCACACAATCAGACACCAAATATCTTGACCTTTTTCTCTCAAAAAGACGAGAAAGAGAAGACAGACCGTCTATATCTTTGATACCCTTCCGATCGCACAAAACACCCCGCTGCCGATAGCCAGTCAGTCGCCACATCACACACGTGCTCACCAACCCTTTTCGACCAACTCAAAACACATCAGAACATCCTCTCGATACCTTATACAATGGCTGACAGCGACTGGGACTCCGTTACTCGTATTGGCAGCAAGAACCGCGGTGGCCCCGTCCAACGCGAGACTGTCGTCAAGGGCCGAAGCGCTCTTAACGCTGCCCAGCGATCTGGACTGGTCGTTGGCACTGAAAAGAAATATGCCACCGGTAATGTTGTAAGTAATCTCTCCTAGCCGAAGGGAATGTTAAGTTATATCGTCTATTCGGATTTTCTAACGTTTGATAACAGGCTGGTCGCGCAGGCGCCCCTGAAGGCCAACACCTAACCAAAGTCGACCGAAGCGACGACATCATCAAGCCCAAGACAGTCGGTGCACAAGTAGGCGACGCCATCAAGCGCAGGAGGAACGAGGAGGGCTACAAAATGACTCAAAAGGAACTCGCCACCAAGTGCAATACAACAGTTACTATTGTTCAGGACATGGAGCGCGGCACCGCTACTCCAGACCAGAAAGTGCTCAGTGCGATGGAACGTGTGCTCAATGTTAAGCTACGGGGTAGTGACATTGGTGCCGAGAAGTTTCCTAAGAAGAAGTAAATGAAAAAGAAATAAAATTTCAGGGGGAGCTTTCGAGAAGTAAGAATTTTCATTCGTGCTTCGTCTTTTCATTGAAACCTGTTTTTTCATACAAAGTATGACATATGTGACATGAAATAGATTGGTTGGGATGAGCGCCAACTATCATATGAATGTTTGCACTGGGTTTTCTAACTATATACCGATTTTTACTACTATCTAAAAATTCGAAAGCCTCTAATATGACGTTGAACTCATGAATAGAAAACGTCTTTCTTTTCAAAGATGCTTATCTCTTAATGGTTGAAGTATTTCTAGAAATTAAATCACAACTAGAGAGAGGAAATAGTGACAAAAAGGAATTGTGAAGGAAATAGATACCAACTCCATCATTGCGAAAGTTAAAAAACGTCAAAACGTCAAAAAGAGAAGACAAAAAGAAGATGCCAGCTTCTCCAAAAAGCCAGACATCGAAAAGGTATATTCTCCTGTATCTCCCTCATAAATGCAACCACCTATCATCCTCTAGCCTTCATTTTATGGCATTTGAATCTTTTTTTTCTTTCTTTCTTTCTTTCTTTCTTTCTTTCAGTTCTCATTTTTGAATCTCATCGTAACACATAAGTTAAAAAGATTTCTTTTTCTCTTGGCTCTCTCAAATCCATTTCTTTACCGCCTCAACTGCTCCCGCTCGACCTCGTACATAAAGTCGAAGTAGGGCTTATCAAAGTGGTGAACACGAACATAACCATCCTCTCCGCCAGAGGCATAAGATGTACCGGCCGGGTGAACGGCAATGGTGTTTAAAGGACCGAAGTGGCCCCTGACACGGCCAATCTCATCTTCGAAGATTTTGTGGTAGAAGCGAGCTTCGAACTTTCCTTGACGCGCTGATGTGGTTGTGACCTCCATGGCGGCCTGTCCACCACCGAGGATAACGTAGTCCTTCTTAGGGGTGATGGCAGCTGTGTTCAGGGGAGTGTCGGCAGGAAATGTTTTGAGAACGGCAAGGTTTCGCGAGGAAATAATCTGGCAAGTTTTGAGTTAGTAAAAACAATATGAAAAATGTTTTCTTTTTCTTTTTCCTTTTTTCTTACCTTGGCTGATTTGTCTTTTGATGCGGTAATGAAGTATGTGCGGTCTGAGGAGAATTGAATGTCGGTGATCTGCAGGTCGAACTCGTGGGCCTGGACGTTTTCGAGTTGTTCGCCAGACTACATTTTCAAGTTAGAATCTCCCCCAGAATGTACAACATTTTTTAGAGCAACATACCTTGGCATCGTATTGGCTGACGCTGCCATCCTCGTGTCCGGCAATGATGTACTTGCTGAGATAGCTCCATCCGGCAACAGTAGCCTTGCTTTCCTCACAAGTAATCTTCAAGCTTGGCTCGTCGGTCTGCTCGTTCAAGTTGTTTCCCTCGCCATCTCCGTACTGAACATCGTAGACAACAATCGTACCCAAGAAACCCATGCGCTTCTCCGTCACGGCCAGAAGCCGACTTCCATCGGGACTGAATTCGACTCGTTTCACAGCTGTCGGGAACTCCCATACTTTGACGCACTCGCCTGTCTTCACATTCCATAACCGAACAGAGTTGTCTGCTGAGCCGGTGGCGGCAAGGACTGTGTTCGGGCTGACATCGACAGTCCAGATAGCACCCTGATGTCCATGATATGTTCCAAGACGCTCGCCGTTGGCCGCAAACCAGACACCGACGACTTTATCCTTGGCGACGGAGAAGAGAAGATCGCCGTCACGGTTGAATTTGATCTGGTTCAAGGACCGCTCCTGTAGTTATTTTTTGTCACGGTTAGTTTTCTTGTACCGCAAAGATTTGAAAGATTTGCGGGGGAGTTGGTTTCCAACGAACATGGCCTTGAAGAAGAATAGGCCTCATGCTGGGCCGATAAATGTGACTGGATACTTGGGATTCCGAATAAGAAGAACAGCCTCGCCTGACAACAAGAAGTGCTCAGGGTAACGTAGCGGGCGCAGTGGGTTTCTATGACAGCTTCTGCCTTGTACGGCCGTTATGATCGCGACTCTATCGATAATTTCAGCGCACACTATGCCAAGCCTTTTTTGCCGCGCTCGCCTCTGAATATTACCGCCGTATTACCAGTACCGGCAGCGTAGTTTTTCCGGCTAGGGCTTAAGCCCTGGAAGTTGTGAAATAAACTAGCGCGTCACATTTTCCACGTCCTAGTGCAAAAATAAAAAATACGCGTATCGTCCAACGTGGTACCGTGATACAATTGCTGAACAACGCCGAAATTTTGCTCTCTTTCGGCGTTGGAATTCAACAAACTGGCAGGCAAAGCAAGCTTCGTGATATTTTCACTCTTGTAATTGCTCAATTGCATTGAGCATTTCCCAATCTCAACATTGACTCCCTTTTAAGTTTTTCATAAATCCCGAGCAGCGTTCTGCTCGACGTTGAAGGTTACCGTTGCCCTTTTTTTTCCTAAAAGAGGCAGCTAATGTTTCCCTCGGGGACTTTTCGGTCTCCTAACCTGCATGCACCCCGCCATTGTGCATTCTTATCTCCCAGAAACCCCCTCGTTGTCGTGAAGAACCAATTCAAATTGGCTACTCCGACTGCCCATCGAAGGGCGCTATCAATATATAACGCTCTTGTCCCTCGCCCTTTGGCGCATCGGCTTAATCGCAACTTATCAGCAGCTACGGTGATTTCCCGTCGTCGGCCTTTCTCTAGCACCGCCGCGGTCAACATGCCGGCCACCAAAATCGATGGCACTGCCATTGCGAAGGATATTCGCGAAAAGCTCAAGAGTGAGATTGCCGACCTGCAAGCAAAGAACTCCAGGTTCAAGCCGAACTTGGTGATCTATCAAGGTGTGTATATGTGCTCTCAACAGAAGCTTGGAAGTTTCCCGCTGCTAACAAGAGACTTGTCTATGTAGTCGCTGATAGATCCGATTCCAGTACGTTCGCTAAGCTCTAGCACGTTCCTATCGAGAATAATGTACTGATAATACTTTTCTTTCCACCAGGCACGTATGTGCGCATGAAATTGAAGGCTGCTGAAGAGGTACATTGTATCCATTGGCTTTTCCCGCGGAAAAGTAACATCGATTAGCTGACTTCTTATTCCTCAAGGCCAATATTCTGTGCAGCATTATCAAGTTCCCTGAAACCATAACCGAAGCAGAATTACTTTTTGAGATTGAAAAGTCCAACAATGACCCGGCAGTTCATGGTATCCTCGTCCAGCTCCCGCTCCCCAGCCACATCTCCGAGCACGCGGTCACATCGGCCGTTTCAGATGACAAGGATGTGGATGGCTTTGGTACGTTGAGTATTGGCCACCTTGCCAAGCGAGGTGGCCAGCCAGTGTTTGTCCCCTGCACTCCTCAGGGTGTGATGGAACTTCTCCGAGTCAGTGGTGTTGACCCTGCTGGAAAGGAGGCCGTAGTCCTCGGTCGTAGTGACATCGTTGGTAGCCCTGTCAGCTACTTGCTCAAGAATGCGGATGCAACTGTGACTGTATGCCATTCGAAGACCAAGAATTTGAGTGAAATCCTCAAGAGGGCGGACATTGTTGTTGCTGCTATTGGACAGCCTGAATTCGTCAAGGGAGAACAGCTTAAGCCCGGCGCTGTTGTCATTGATGTTGGCACAAATTATATCCCTGATTCCACCAAGAAGTCTGGCTTCAGACTGGTTGGCGATGTCCACTTCGAATCCGCAGTCGAAGTTGCTTCTCAGATTACCCCTGTTCCCGGCGGTGTCGGCCCTATGACAGTCGCGATGCTTCTGCGAAACGTTGTTAACTCTGCTAAAACATACTTTGATAAGCAGAGGGATCGTCATATCATTCCTCTTCCTCTCAAGTTGACTACTCCTGTTCCGTCGGATATTGCCATTTCACGTGCTCAGCACCCCAAGCCTATTACCAAAATTGCTGCTGAGGTGGGCATTGCTGCTCATGAGCTGGAACCTTACGGACATACAAAGGCTAAAGTCAGCCTGTCTGTCCTCGACCGACTTGCTCACCGCCGCAATGGTCGCTACGTCCTGGTCACTGGTATCACGCCAACGCCACTAGGAGAAGGAAAGTCTACTACGACGATGGGTCTGACCCAGGCTCTGGGAGCACATCTGAACAGGATTGTCTTTGCCAATGTCAGACAGCCTAGTCAGGGGCCTACTTTCGGTATCAAGGGAGGTGCTGCTGGTGGCGGTTACAGTCAGGTTATACCCATGGATGAATTCAACCTTCATCTGACTGGAGACATCCACGCCATCACTGCTGCAAACAATCTTTTGGCAGCAGCTATTGACACTCGCATGTTCCATGAAGCAACTCAAAAGGACGCCGCTCTGTACAAGCGTTTGGTTCCAGCCAAGAAGGGCAAACGTGAATTCCAGCCTATTATGTTCCGTCGGTTGAAGAAATTGGGCATTACAAAGACTGACCCAAATGAATTGACCGAAGACGAAATCCGCCGCTTCGCTCGTCTCGACATTGACCCCGAGACAATTACATGGCGCCGTGTACTTGATGTCAATGACCGACATCTTCGTGGAGTCACTGTTGGCCAAGCGCCAACCGAGAAAGGTCTTTCGCGCCAGACTGGATTTGACATTTCAGTTGCCAGTGAGTGTATGGCCATTTTGGCTCTCAGCAACGACTTGGAGGACATGCGTGAACGTCTTGGACGAATGGTGGTTGCCACATCCAAGAATGGTGACCCTGTAACGTGTGATGACATCGGTGCTGGCGGAGCCCTAGCTGCTCTCATGAAGGATGCCATCAAGCCGAACATGATGCAGAGTTTGGAAGGTACCCCAGTGTTTGTTCACGCGGGCCCATTCGCAAACATCAGTATCGGTGCCAACTCGGTTGTGGCCGATAAGCTAGCTCTCAAGCTTGCGGGTACTGAGCCTGACGAAGACCACGACGCAAAGACCGGTTTCGTGGTCACAGAAGCTGGTTTCGATTTCACCATGGGTGGAGAGCGTTTCTTCAACATCAAGTGCCGCTCTTCAGGGCTTGTTCCCGACGTGGTCGTTGTCGTGGCTACTGTCCGCGCCCTCAAGGTGCACGGTGGTGGACCTGAGATCTCCCCCGGAGCTCCTCTGCCTGAAGTTTACCGAACTGAGAATGTAGACGTCCTTCGTAAGGGCTGTGTCAACCTCCGTAAACACATCCAAAACGCTCGCCAGTACGGTCTTCCAGTTGTCGTCGCTGTCAACAAGTTTGAGACCGACACAGATGCCGAAATTGCAGTCATTCGCGAAGAGGCTATTGCCGCCGGTGCCGAGGACGCAGTACCAGCCAACCACTGGGCTGAAGGTGGTGCTGGCGCAGTCGACTTGGCCAAGAGCGTCATCACAGCCAGTTCGCAGCCCAATGACTTCAAACTGTTGTACACTCTGGAAGGCTCCGTCCAAGAGCGTATCGACCAGATTGCCAAGGTCATGTACGGCGCCGACAAGGTCGAGTTTAGCGAGCTGGCTCAGAAGAAAGTCGACACCTACACAAAGCAGGGCTTTGGCAATTTGCCAATCTGCGTGGCCAAGACTCAGTATTCGTTGAGCCACGACCCCGCGTTGAAGGGAGCTCCTACTGGGTTTACCGTTCCTATTCGTGATGTTAGGCTGTCAGCTGGTGCTGGATACCTGTAAGTCTATCATTCCTTGAGGTTTTTGATCTCTCTTATCTAACTCCACTAGGTACGCGCTTGCTGCCGATATCCAAACGATTCCCGGTCTTCCCACGGCTCCTGGTTACCTGAATGTCGATGTTGACCCTGTGACTGGCGAGATCGACGGACTTTTCTAATCTTTCTTTTTATACCCTACAGGGACTTCCCCTTTTAGCAGTCTTGTTTGTCTGATATTGTAAAATTAAAAACAATTCACCTTTTGCATATAACATGTTCAACACAATGCATGGATGGAAGTTGGGAGAGGGCTGGAGCACTTGGATTTTGCATTCTTTTTTACTGTATATCTTCTCATCATAAACTCATTGAAATTTCATGTAGATGCGATACTATTCTCATATTCTTATGTCCTATATCATATATGTAGTCAAGTTAACAGACCATCCTCAGCATCCCAGACCAACTCGCCCTCAAACCAAGTCTTCAAGACCTTGGCATTCTCAAAATCCGCATCACCACCGACTACATCCCTGTCCAGCATGATGAAATTCGCGCGTTTTCCGATTTCAATGCTGCCGCTTACATCACCCAGGCCTACGGCCGCAGCGCCGTTTTTGGTTAATAGTTCCAGGACGAGGTTGGCGCCTAGGGATGTACTTTCTGTTGCGTTGTGGCTGGAGGAGTTCTTAACAGCCCACTCACCCACTCGTCTCACGACGTGGTGCACTTTGGGTAATAGACAGGGATCGCCGCGCGAACCCCAGTCTGATCCGATGGTGATGGGGTGGACGCGGGCCTCGAGAAGGCTCGCAAAGTCCCAGTTCATGGCCCCGTTGCTTGCGCGGCTGAGTGGGTGGTAGAAAAACATTGCCGGGGACAGCTCTGCGGTTACGTTATGCTTTGTGAAGAGGTCCAGGTCGTCTGGAGAGATTTTGGTTTGTTTAGAGAACTAACTCTACGGAGGTATCCTTATAGTAGGGGGTTATACTTACTAGGATGTATGCCGTTACAATGGGCAATCTCGTGCTTGATTATTCCCTGTGCTTGGTCGTGCTGATTGCCCGTCCTCGCTGTCTTGATCGCGTCCAGGGCCAGCCGCGTACTGCCGTGGCCGGTGGCATGGATTTTAATTGTAAGGCCGCGCTCATCGAAGCGTTTCACAGCTTCCACGACATCATCCACTAGAATCTTGTGTTGTTCGATATTCCCCTCACTATCCAGCCCCGCGCTCGAGAACAACGGCGGCAGAGGCACGCCATCCAGTAGAATCTTCACAAAATTAGTTTGAACATGCTTCGTGGCCAACCCGGGAGCTCTATCAATCAATTCCTTGAGCGAGCTCTGACGCTCATTCGCCAGGAACTCAGGTGCGTAGACCGAGTGCGCGGCAATATCCATTTTGAGCGCATTCTCCTCGAGATCTAGTTCGCGAAGCGCGTCCAGAATCACCGAGTTAGTCGCTGCCTCCTGGCACGAAGTAACACCGGCCTGATGCAAGCAACGGAGGGCAGCCTTGATTGCCCGTTTTGCATGCGCCAGGTTTGGGTTCCCCTTGGACAGCATGGCCTTGTTCATGGCCAGCTCGCCGAGCTCGCCGGTCAGACTGCCGTCGGGCCGGCGACTGAACTTGGCGCCTTTCACGTCCGGCTCGTTATCGACTTGGTAGCCGGCTTTGAGCAGGCCGGCGGTGTTGAGGAAGGCACTGTGGCCCGCCCCGCCCTGGATGATGACCGGCGTATCGGGGAAGCGCTGGTCGAGTGAAGAGCGGTCGAAGTTGGGGATGGTGAAGGTGTTGCCGACGACCCAGTCCTGGAAGGCGTGTTGGTAGGCGCAGGTGCACTGGCCGTCTTCCAGGCGCTGGCCGAGGTTGTCTACGGTGGTGTCGCCGGGCAGGCTGACGCCGCTGAGGTAGGAAATGCCGGCGGAGAGAAGATGGACGTGGGCATCGTGGATGCCGGGCATCACAAAGCGGCCCTTGAGGTTGAATGTGACATTCCCGTTGGCTTTGGCGGCTGCGAGGATGTCTTCTGTGGTGCCTACGGCCAGGAAGGTGCCTTCAGCTGAGACGATGAAGGCTTCTGCGACCTGGCTGGCGTCGTCGAGGGTGTAGACCTTGCCGTTGTAGTAGGCCACGGCGTGGTGCTGTGCCGGCATGGTGGAGGACTGACCGGACGGCTTCTTCACGGACGCGGACGAAGACGAAGACGAAAGAAGAGGAAGGCCTCCATGGCATCGCATCTGGCTTCCCCGCGTGCGTGTCAGATTATTAAGCGTCAGCCAACGTCCATGATGCGTTGCTTAGTAAAGATTAAGCGTCGTCGCGATGGACACCTCACGGCTCAGGCCAGAACATCCACGCCGGCTTCGGAGCTGGCCCACCGAGAGAAATCAAATGCGCGAGCAGCGCAGTGCAAGATGAGATGGGCACCTAATTGCAAAGAATAGAAAGGCAGATGGCTACAGATGCATAGTAGTAGATGCGTAGAGTATCGACAGGAAGCAGCGCGACTGGGCGCAATTGGGCGGCAAACAGCGCGCTGAACAGATGAAGTCATTCCTCCGCATTTCGGGCGAGGTGAAGCTCCCAGCTTGGGTTAAATGCAAATTAGTCACTGACTGACTCACGCTCCTCTTTGCCAACCAGCTCCACCGATCTGCTATAAAAATATTGCTGCTGCTATTGCAAGAGAAAAAAAAAATATTCGCTATTCTTTCATTCATTCCCACACAGACCCTGCCATCGCCTGCTAGTCGCTGCCTTGAGAGAGGAAGTTGGCCGCTGGAGAACCTGCCGCTGGGCCGAATCTCCGCAGTTTCAACAGCAAAGGGATAAATCCTCGTCGAGAGGAAACAAACAGAGGAAAATCACAGGTAATAGCAAGAAGAAGAGCGAGAGAGGGAAAAAAAAAAAAGAAAAAAAAGATAAGAAAAGAGTCAGCGACTAACCAACCACACCAGTCAGCAAGCATGCAAGTTCGGAGCTCTGCCGTAGCCCTTCACGGCCTCCACTCGGCCTCGACCAGCAGCGTCAGATTGTCTTCTCGTCGCTCGGTTTTCTCTTCGTCTGCCTGTTTTTCCACTTCTGCAGCCAGACCGGTCTCCAACAACAGCAACAACAACTCCATCGTCGCCAACAGCCGCCTACGTCCTGCGCTCGCCGCGACCAAACTGCATTCTTCTGTCGGCGGACTTCTCTCCGCTTCATCCCACGTGCGCACAATGGCCTCGCAAGTGTCGAAAATCAAGGTCAAGAGCCCTGTCGTCGAACTCGATGGGGACGAGGTATGTGGAATTCCTTTGTGTCGCTGCGAGCATGTAGTTAGAGAAACAAACCGTGCTTTAATACACGAGTATACGAGTATATGCGGAATACAAAAACGCGGGGGAATGCCTCCTCGCCAATCATGTTGAGCATGTCCGGCATAATGGCGGATGCATCATATATTCGGTGACCGATTGTGCTGATATGTCAAACGACGTACTAGATGACCAGGATTATCTGGCAGGACATCAAGGACAAGGTTCGTCGTGCACTCCGAATTGCAATATTGTCTTAATTCTAACTGTCACGAACGGTCAATAGTTCATCTTCCCGTAAGTCGACCGAATGCAAGCAGCTAGGGTGATAGGCTGAATGATGTCTTAGGTATCTCGAGATTGACCTGAAGTACTATGACTTGGTATGCGGATCCTGGAACTGTTAATGTTACCATGGTATCTCTAGTATATCTAACATATATGGATAGGGCCTCGAATACCGTGACCAGACCGATGACAAGGTTACTGTCGATGCCGCCGAGGCTATCAAGAAGTATGGAGTTGGCGTCAAGTGCGCCACAATCACTCCTGACGAAGCCCGCGTGAAGGAATTCCATTTGAAGAAGAGTGCGTGATTCTTCATATCTGTCGCAATTGACCAAAGCTGATCCCTGCAACAGTGTGGCTGTCTCCGAACGGCACTATTCGAAACATCCTGTGCGTAGTTGTGCAATCGTCGTTTCTCTCTCTTTTACCTTGCTAACAAAAGCAGAGGCGGAACTGTCTTCCGCGAGCCCATTGTCATCCCCAACATCCCGCGGCTGGTCCCCGGCTGGACAAAGCCCATCATCATCGGCCGCCATGCCTTTGGCGACCAATACCGGGCTGCTGACCGCCTCATCCCCGGCGAAGGCACGCTAGAGCTTGTCTACACGCCCAAGGGCGGCGAGCCAGAGCGCATCAAGGTGTACGAATTCTCCGGGCCCGGTATTGCGCAGACGCAGTACAACACGGATGACTCGATCCGCGGCTTTGCGCATGCCAGTTTCAAGATGGCGCTCCTCAAGGGCCTGCCGCTGTACATGAGCACCAAGAACACGATCCTGAAGAAGTACGATGGTCGCTTTAAGGATATCTTCCAGGAGATCTACGAGAGCGACTACAAGAAGGATTTCGAGGCCAAGAAGCTCTGGTACGAGCACCGTCTGATTGACGACATGGTTGCGCAGATGATCAAGAGCGAGGGCGGCTTCGTCATTGCCATGAAGAGTGCGTGCTTCCCCCAAATACTTGCGCAAACCCCATACTGACTGCTTTCAGACTACGACGGCGACGTGCAATCCGACATTGTCGCCCAAGGCTTCGGCTCCCTGGGCCTCATGACCTCCACGCTGGCCACGCCCGACGGCTCCGCATTCGAGAGCGAAGCTGCACACGGCACCGTAACGCGACACTACCGCGAGCACCAAAAGGGCCGCGAGACATCGACCAACCCCATCGCATCCATCTTCGCCTGGACCCGCGGTCTCATCCAGCGCGGCAAGCTCGACGGAACCCCCGAGCTGGTGGCCTTTGCCGAGAAATTGGAAAAGGCCTGCGTCGACACGGTTAACGAGGATGAGATCATGACCAAGGATTTGGCGCTGGCGCGTGGGCGCAAGGACCGCGAGGCCTGGGTGACGACAAGGGAGTATTTGGAGGCTGTTGAGAAGAGGTTGAAGAGCGCGTTGTAAATGAATGTTGTTTTTGTCTAGTTAAGCAAGTTGAATTGATACCTGGGTATTGAATATGGGATAGTACATTCACCATACAAGCCAGCCAAGAGAGAGAGAGAGAGAGAGAAAGGAATATAAGTCAACATGTACAGCAGAAGCAGAAGCAAATGATTGAAACAATCATACATGATAGCTAAAAACAAGAATCGAAAATTGGTATATATATATATATATGTCAGTCAACAACGTCAAATCACCCTCAACACCCTCTCGCACGGCTCCTTCACAATAGCCGGCGCAACAACCTTCTCAACCAGCCCATCGCGCACTACGCGCGACGCATGCGGTCCACTACGCACGTAGTCGAGTGCGCGATATCCCTCGCGCGACATTGCGAGACGCTGTATATCGCTCGTGCCGGAGTGCGAGTACACAAGCGTATCGCCCGTTGCAGCAGCGAGCAGCGTGAGCCCCAGCGCGAATATGTCAGAGGCTAGCGTGGTGGGAATCGTAGCCGACTTCATCGCAGCGACAGTCATGAGTTCGGGCGCCGCGAAGGGCGGTGTTAGCGCCGATGCGCCGGCGTCTGCAACTTGACTCTTTCCCTGCTCCTGTTCCTCTCCTTCTTCTCCGTCGTAGGAGCTGGAGGAGGGGGAGGAGGAGGAGGAGGAGGAGGAGGGCGACATCCGATGCGCCGACGAAAAATCAGCGTATAAAGCGTCATACTGAAACCCTTCCGCAGCATCGCAGCCACTCCGAGCGCATTCTCGACGACGCAAAAGGATATTATGCGGCTTGATATCCCCATGCACAACACCAACCGTGCCATGAAGCCATTTCAGCCCGTTAATCAACTGCGCCGCCAAGTCGCGCCAATGCGCCGAGGACAGAACGGGCTCAAACATGGTTTTCGTTGAGAAGTGTCGTTTTGCGATTTCGGCGCGTTCTTCGATATGAGTTGATAGTAGGAGCGGGATGGCTTGCATAACTAGCGAGTGCGAGGCGGGCATGTAGCCGTGGAAGGGGACGACATATTGTTGTTGGTGTTCATCGTCAGTCCGCGCCCTCGTCACTAAGCTGAGAATCCACGCTTCGGATCGAAGGACTGGCTGCGCGTCGCGCCGCAATGACGGCAACGGGGATTTTACAGCGACAACGGTCCTGCGCGATGGGACTGGGGAGTGAGGCGGAGTGAAGATTGGGCTGCCAGAATAACTATGATTGAATTTGGACTGTGGCGTCCACGAAGTTGTTGCTTTGTATACTGCGCTCCATGCTCCGCGGCCAAACTCGATGGATGCGCTGCTGGCGTCGCCGTTGTTGACGCGCTCGATTTCTAGGTCGTACATGAACTCGACAATGGGCTTCTGGGTATAGGACTCGCCATGCTCGCCTGGGCCTGCTGAAATGGGAGTTTCGGGGGGAGTGAGCGAGGGAGAGTTGCTGACAAGGTCGTTTTGGAGAGTGTCCACGGCTAGAGGCGCCATTGGACCGGCTGTATATATATGGCTATATGATATATATATATAGCTCAATAGATAGAATATGAAGAAGCTGAAATATAGATTATAGCAATCTAGGCACGGCAGCTCGAGCGCGGAGTGAATATGTAGATTGACGCTTTCTTTTGGATGGACATATTCGGTGGCGACGAAGACGTATGCGGCGGAATAATTGCTCTACCAATATCCACTGCGTCCAGACGGGTATTGGGACATAGATTCTGGAATAAATTTGAAGTAGAGGGGGAAGTCCAGAGTGAAAGGAAGAGAGGGGGAGTTAAAAAAAAAAGGAAATTAAAGATTAAAGATTAAGATTAGCAGCAGGACTAGCTAGGCATCTGGATGGTTACCTGCAGGCAGCCAGCGATACGTCCATGACTAACACTGGATCTTATAAAACAGCAACCCCAGTATGATATTGTGCATGACTAGATACTGATTGATACATATATATATCTGTATATATATAACGATATATGCTCCATCGTCGCTCTAGATCCTTCCTAATCCGGCATATACTCCGGCGTCGGACTATCAGTTATTCCGCACTAATGCCAGCCCTAACCCTAAGTCTGCTCTTTGACGCGGCCTCGAGGCGAGAATTCCCTGCCAATTGCTTTACATCTCATCTAACTTCATAGCCTGTGCCAAATATTTTACTCACTGATACGTTTATTGGGCATACAATGCCGTTTGTCGCAAGCGGTGGTAGTTTGACTGCCATTGCAGCATTATATACCGAGAAAGTGCCAGTTGTGCACAATTGTTGGCGTCCCCTCGACAGAGAATCGCAGTGTTTGGGCCGCAATCTGCATCACAGAGTGGCTAGGTATATCGAAACAGGACATGAATGTGTAGAGTCGTCAAGAGCAGGAATGATTCTTATGAATTCGACGATGATGTAGACGCCCCCCGCATCGCCCATCCCAGCCAATGGCAGCACGTTCCTAAGCACTGATGTCAAAATCAAACACCAACCTGAACATCTTCACTTATCTTTTCTAGAGACATTGTTCATGCTTGTTGGAGAAGAAGCTTCATGGACACATGCTACAATTAATTCTTCCGGTAAATGGCCCGTCTGACCCAACATGAAGAAAGTGGCTACTTGCGGCTCCAGCTCCGTGGCAAATGCGACCAGCTTCTCATTCTTCACAAACACCATCAATGGCAAGTCCTGTCTCAGCGACAAGACATCGCAGCCGATCAATCCTTCGACCCGTCAACCTCTGTGGGAGGTTCCATTGGCAACCGAGGATGATGTAGATACTGCGGTCACTGCCGCCAATGAGGCTTTTCTCTCGTGGTCACAAACTCCCTGGCTAGAAAGAGCCAAATATCTCAATCAAGCCAGGAAGGTATTGCTGCAAACTCGTGACGATATGGCGAACCTGATTATGCAAGAAACTGGGAAGCCTGTGAGCATTCTTAAGCATGCTAATTAGCAAGCTTTACATTGCAAGATTGCAAACTGATACGTGTATTATTCAAGCTTCCATTTGCAGAGATGGAGGTTGACCACACAGCCCGTTTCTTGGCATACTACAGTAAGCTACAAGCATCAGCTTCTACCGGGCAAAGCCACTGATCAGCAGAAGCTTCCCACCCAAAATTGGAACCGAAGATAGTCACCGATAATAGTGAACTGTGTCTGTCTGTGAGATACGTTCCTATGGGTGTCGTCGCAGCTATATGTCCATCCATCTATTCTTTGTTGCTAGCAGCAGCAAAGATTGGCGCCGCACTGATAACAGGAAACACCGTGATTGTGAAACCGTCTCCATTTACTCCATATAGCTCGTTAAGATTCGTTGACCTCGTCAAGTCCATATTCCCTCCAGGCGTCATCCAGGCGCTGAATGGAGACGAGAAGCTAGGACCTGCGCTTGTTGAACATGCTAACATTCATAGAGTCAGTTTTACTGGCTCTACTGCAAATGGAAAGCAGGTCATGGCTGCTGCAAGCAAGACTCTGAAGCGTGTTACCCTAGGATTGAGCGGGAACGATGCCTGCGTCATCTGTCCAGATATAGATATCTCCGTAGTAGCGCCTCGAGTTGCGGTTGGTGCCTTTCTGAACTCTGGTCAATCCTGTCTGGCTACCAGACGCATCTACGTGCATCAGGATATATACCAGGACTTCATGCAACACATGATTGACGTAGTGAAGTGCTGGAAAACAAGCCCCTCTTCTCCAGAAGCCGGCAACGTGCTCGGTCCAATCCAAAACGAAGCGCGATATTTGGCTGTCAAGCAAATTCTTGAAGATATGCAGGCGAAGGGTCTCAAATTTGCATTAGGAAAAGCAGAGTTTCATGAGGACAACCATTTTGTTATTCAACCAGCGATCATCGACAATCCCCCTCATGACTATGGAAGCGTGATGGAAGAGGCTTTTGGTATGTGAGAATCAGTATTTTATCTCGAAACTGTTTGGCTGACTGACAATACACCTAGGCCCTGTTATCTCTCTATTCTCCTGGAAAGACGAGCACGAAGTGGTCAGCCGTGTCAACGATACGAATGCAGGGCTTGGAGCGAGCATCTGGTCGGGCGATATGGACAACGCTGTAGCCATCGGCGAGCGCATCCAGGCTGGCATGGTCACCATCAACAGCCATCCGGCGCCACTCCCAAGCGGCTATCTGTCTGGATGGAAGGAGAGCGGACTGGGCGGAGAGTTTGGCTCTGAGGGTCTGTTGTCGTACTGCAATGCGCAAACCATGTACTGTTACAAGCTGCCGGTTGCTCCAGGGTCGGGGGAGGCTGAGTGAACATGAGATGGGATGATGAAGGTAGGGCACTTGTATGAATCACTGGCAGTTAATTCAGTTCAGTCAGTTCGGGTGTAGTCCTTCCTTGACCGAGCTCCTTCTGTCCACCGCAACCACCACCACAGCAAGATATCCCTGCCTCCCTCTTCTTTTTCACACAACACAACATGCTGATGTATGTATCATCATCACTATACATTCGTTATTACTCTCCTTTCTGTTTGTTAGCTTGACTTCATCATTTGCCCATCTTCAATCCGCATTCGCACCCACGATCTGTCTATCTATCTCGCCATGTCCGCCACACCCCCCTCGAACATGACGCCGGACTCTCTAGTCCGAGCAGAACGATTCCACAACGTCTTCCAGATCCAATACCTCCCACTCCTCCATCCCAAGTTCTGCATCAAACGTCCCAATGGCCAGATGGTGCCCTTAATCGCCATGGACGAGTTACCGCAGTGGCTCCTCGTCGTCACCAAGTACCCCATTACGATCAACGATATGGAAGTAGTAGCCCCCAACAGATATGTCCCACGGGCCGGGGAGTACGACATAATCTGCCTTTTCTGCGAGTCCACCCTCGAGCATGTTGCCGACGACATAAGCTGGCAGAGGAGCAAAATGAAGGATTTGGATCAGTATAAAGACTCTTTGATTGGACGACGTTACCCTCCTTATGTATACCCTTCTTCCTATTATGAGGATGCGCGTTCCCTGCACCATTACGATACGTTGGCCATGTCGCGGGCGATGTATTATAATCCGGGCCGGACTGGTCTCAACCCTGAAGCGAGCGTCTTCAGACCAGCTGCTGGGGGGTCAAATCATCTGTCGCCAAAGGCATTTGGACTGCCATGCCCGATACGTATGCCAAATTAATGATTTGCTTTTGATCTCCGGACCATTCGGCACGGTATTCTGACGACGGTTTCCATGCAGGATCAGGCGATGCCCGTTTTGCGACTCGAGAACTTCAAACTATCTTCCAACTGCCACTGCCACAGTATAGGCATGTGTATATCGTTCATCCTGACTTCTATATGCATCACAACCGCTATTCACCTCAACCCCGTATGGGGATTCCTTGGCAGCCTTGAAATATGGCGTGGGAACTCGGCCTGCATCGATCTTTCCTTTGATTAGAAACAGACTCTTATTCATCCTCAAAGTTGGATTACTCGAGCTTGAGTATGTTATGTTTGGTTGGCAGTCCCTTCTTTTTGTTCTTTTCTATTCATACTCCACGATCCACTTGGATGCCTGCAGTGTTATACGCGAACAGTATGATATTATACATAGCTAGCTGATGTGCTGGATGTCTTGGAGCAAAGACGATGGGTTGCACAGATCAATCCCTGAATGAGTATATACTTAACACCAAGTTTATGCATGCATGCATTTTATACAAAAACGCCCAAACCCCAAACAAATGTACAGAAAACGCCCTCTCTTTTATATTATATGTATACCCAGGCTACCAGTAGAAGAGTAGTCTTTGACTCCTCTCCGTAATCATTTCTTGTCTTGGATATCAAACACCCAAGAGCGAAGTGCATACATCGTCGCGGATCCACCTAAACTGCGATTGACTTGCAGGAACGACTTCGAGCTAGTCGTTGCAAGATATGCCTTTAACAACTTCAGAAGCACAGACAACGGGAGAGATCGGAGGTGGACTTGTTGCGGGAAATATTCAAAGTCGTCGTAAATAGAATCACCGTTCGCCTCGTTCTTATCCTCAAGAGGAGGCGAAAGGAGATGTTTGGGTATATAAGCGAAAAGCTCGGGGACAGATTTCACAACCTCATTGATCGGCTGTCCCGGGAACAACTTGTCGAGCATTTCAGAGACCGGGTCGCGACCACGAATACCAAACGAGCCTATAACGGAGAGCGCAATTTCTACAGCCTCGTCGGGCCTGTCGTGCGCTCTATCCACTGCAAACCTTTCCGCCAGTTTATCCTTGTGCTCCGGCTCAACGTACATGATGGAACACCTGCTTTCTGTGCGCTCTACCTCGTCCGGTCGTATGTAGAGTGGCTCGAAGAGCCGGTGGTCCCAGAGTAAGTGCGAGTCCTTGATGTGCCCTGTTGCGCCCAGTGCCATTCGATAGTCGTCAATGTAATTTGGCATGGTTCTGTTGGCAAGAATTGGGGTTTCGTCCAATTTTCGGGCCATTTCAGCCCTGGCTTGGATCAACTTGGTGTTCATCTCGTCAAGTGTTGCTAGATCCGTTGCTTTTGCGGCCGTACTAGGCTTTGAGCTTTCCAATTTTGCTTTGACCATTTCCTTTTCCAATGAGTCAACCTGGAGTTGCGCTTTCGCAAACTCTATCGAAACATCCACGCATCTGGCATGGTGCATGAGCTGGGCGCGCACATTCCAAACATGGCTGCGGGCTTTTTGGTACTCATTGGTACCAGGTTTAAGGTCAACGGCTTGCTCGAATTCCTGTTGCGCTTGCCAGAAATGCTGCGCTTGGTATCCTGCGTAGATCGGCGTATGCGTAGTAAATCCCGGTGCACGAGGACCCCCAGGGACATCTGACATTGACTGGATAGCAGGCTGTCTGCGTCCCTCGGGTATTGTAATGTTATTCTCTTCTGCCCGCTGAGCGACCAACTTGGCGCTTTCGCTGGCAAGCTCGCATTCACGTGATGCGACATACTCGGAATTATCGGTTTCGGCGACGTAAAGGGCTCGGTGAGCGTAGGCCTCAGTCAACATGGCCACTTTCCTCCGGTCTTTGGCTGAACGGGGAACAACCAAGTGGGCTTCGTCGGGGGGTAGAATCATCAATGTGCGAATCGTCCAGTCGCGGAAGTGTCCACGGTCTATGAGTGAATGTCCTACAAGGGATGCCCATACTCGCGAGGGGTTTTTGAAAGCTTTATCGGTCAAGTTTGCGAGGATAAGCAGATCGTTTCTTCCAGGTTGAGGTGTAGAATCGGCCATATATGTATTCAGGACATTCATCCAACTGATTCCTTTAACAGTATCATAATGCAACTTTTCGTCGTGCACTTCGACGCCTTTCTTATCGGCTAGTCTTTTTTTAATATTGCGTTGATAGCGAGACATGCGATGTTCGATGACAACATGGCGCTCGGGTTTGATGAGATCGTTGATTTTCGACGACAGTATACTCCGACCGGGGCAGAGATCGAGAATAACGGAAGGTTTGTTGGTTTCAAAGAGTCTTGATATGTGGTTGGCAAGGTCATCTGTAAGCAGAGAAATTTTCCCCTGTCAGTTCAAACAGGCCAAAAAACGAAAGTAGTTTGGAATGTCTCACCGCAGAATGCTTCGCTGACAATATCAATTCTACTCGGACCGCGCGGCTCTTTCGTTCCTACGGCTTTCCTCTTCTTCTTGGGAACTATAGGAGCTGATGCTGATGCAAGACATCGGACTGAGAGGACATTGGCCCGGCCGAACACCTCCAGTCGAGGGCGTAGGGTGAGCCCACGGGGATTGAGCGGGCGGGGGTTCATGTCATGGAAGCGATGCGTAATGCAATATTTCGTGTAAAGCTTTTTCTGTCGTTGCGATGCTCGGACGGCTGTGTTGTTTTCCAGTTGGAGAGTAAGAGCCGGCGATGGGAAAAAAAGTACATAACGGATTAGACCCGGGGGGGAACCAATGACATGCCACGATCTAATCTGATGATCACCGCCGAGCGCCTCCTGCCTTCGCGAAGACTGCGGCGGAACTTCACAACTTCTACAAGCCTCTGCCTAGGAATGCTAGCCTCGCACATCGATAATACTGATGCTCACTATGACCGGGCTAGATTCTGCCATGTTCGTCCTTTGCTAAGGCAGACTTACGCAAGCAAGCAGGAAGCAAGCAACCCTGCAGACGCACGCCGCACCCCACCTGACAATTATGCAGCCTGGACATTCATTCATCCACACTCGAATAACGAAACGACCTGAAAAGCCGACGACATGGTCTCTTCAACGCCTCACAATGTTGAGCAGATCACCCGACTTGCACAGGATTACGAATATAACCCTCTGATACCGCTGAAATACTGGCTGAGGACGGCGAATTCTCTGGTCAAGGAGGTGTGTTCATGCTGCTCCATTTGCGCTGCAGCTGCCCGCATCGATCGTACTAACACATATGGCCTTGGGTTCAGGCGGAAATCTACGAACGAGAGGGTCACGATGAACAGGCATATCTACTCCTTTTTCGGCATGCGCAATTAGTACTGGTTCACCTGGTGAACCATCCAGATGCGAAAGATGAGAAAAATCGGCATGGCCTTCTCACAGCAGAGAAGCAGGTCAAAGTCAACATTGAGAAGCTCGAGGCACTCAAGCCTCAGATCAATAAACGATATGAACGCTATAAACATTTGACACAAGACCGCGATGCGCGAAGAGTCAAGGCGCAGAAAATACAACATGATCTTCCGCCCCCGACCAATTACCAGACCATCTCGGATCCTGCGCTGTCTGGCACTGCGCAGCCATTGGAAGCAGGAGAGAATAAAGAACTTGCAGTACAGATTGCTCGTAAGGAGATCAATCGCCGTGAGACTATAAAACGTGCTAGCAGGATAGCGGGCATCACCCAAGAGGAGGAACGCGCTCGACGGACTGGTGGTGTATGGGGAGATTGGGAACAAGCTCTAGGTCAGCAAAATGTTCCTGCCAGTGATGGAGACGATTTAAGCCGACGCATACAAGAGGTTCGGTTACGTATGGAAGATTCAGAGGACAACAACAAGAAGAAGAAGATTTCTCGTCAACATGTTGAACAGACGGAAGTTCCTTCAACGTACAGGTATCCAACTGTACCTAGACAGAAGAAGCATCAATCCGATACTCCTGCACAAACTCTTTCAAAGTCATTATACAGTCGAGAAGAGCCATTAAAGCCACCGGTGCCTCCGCCCAAAAAAGCCCAGCGAGATTACTTTCCCGTGGAAGAACCACCTCCGCGCCCAGGGAAAGTATCGTCTACTACTGGTCCACCTTTACCATTGAAAGAAAAGATTGCAGCCACAAGAATACAACCAGGCCCGTCAGATCTTAACCCATCAACTTTCACTTTCAAGCCCTCTGCCTATCTGGAGAATGGAACCCCTCTGCGGACAGTTTTTCTGCCGCCTAATCTCCGGCAACATTTCCTAGCGCTCGCTGATTCCAATACACGGCGCAACCTCGAGACTTGTGGAATTCTTTGTGGAACACTGATCTCGAACGCATTATTCATATCCAAATTGCTCATTCCGGAGCAGGAATCGACCTCGGATACATGTGAGACTGTGAACGAATCGGCTATCTTTGACTACTGTGACTCTGAAGACCTGATGGTGCTCGGCTGGATCCATACGCACCCTAGTCAGACATGCTTCATGAGCTCTCGAGATCTACACACGCATTGTGGCTATCAGGCCATGCTACCGGAGAGCATTGCTATAGTCTGTGCTCCCTCAAAGGACCCCGACTGGGGAGTCTTCCGGCTTACCGATCCGCCGGGGTTGAAATCGGTGCTTGGTTGCACACAAAAGGGGCTTTTCCACCCGCACGCGGAGACAAACCTGTATACCGATGCGCTTCGGCCGGGACATGTATTTGAGGCCAAGGGCTTGGAATTCGAGACTGTCGATCTGCGTCCGGGGATTTAGGAATATGTTATGCAATGTCGTGTCGGGGACTCAGAGCAATACAATTGTCATTGACGTAGAAATAAATCATTGTATAACTAAAGCTGTGCATGATTATGGATTTATGAACCTTACTTGATAGCGTCTAGAAAATTAACAGAAAAAGGTTTTATAATATTTATTCAACTCTTTTATTTTATATATTCGCCTGTCTAAGTTCAGGATTGGAATGTATAAGTGTTATAGTAAATATTCCTGGTAGTACGGTATTTATGTGCTGCCGAGCCGAGCTGCTCCATCGCGAACTCAACACCTCCATACAACCCCCAACCTGCTTCATCAGCATTTTACCAACCCAAACGATACATACACAAGTACTGCCAAGGACAATCGCACATGTCCACTGCCAGCTCCCGCTCTCAATCCCGGTCTGGAACACCCTTGGGCACCAGGCCGCACTCGACCAACAACACCGCATCCACCTCGTCACTATCGCAACCCCCGCCGTCTTCCAATGGCGCTTCCACCACGAACAACTACTTCTCCTATCCCGTAAGCCGTGTGATGTCCGGTCTGTATCGACGTTTGACGGATCCACCGCGTGATTCCTCGCAGCAGAAACCCAACATGTCGCCTTCTTCCTCCATCTACACCCCGAAACGAACCGCGTCTCCCTTCCAACCACCCCCCCTCTCCCCCCTGACGCTCAATGCAACCTCTACCCCAAACAGTGGACACATCCTCTCTCGTGCTCTTGCAGAGGAAATCCGACTCCTCGTCCCGCCCCGGCTGCAGTTAGTCGATGCCTGGCAATTGGCCTACTCCCTCGAACGCGACGGCTCATCCCTCTCCACTCTCTACGACACCTGCAGGCAGGCCGCAGAGCACAACCCACGAGCAGGCTACGTGCTCGTCGTGCGCGACGCATCTGATGGCGGCGCTGTATTTGGCGCCTATCTAACCGATGCGCCGCACCCAAGTTCACACTTCTATGGAACTGGGGAATGCTTTCTCTGGAGAGCGAGCGTATTGGCGTCTACGCCGGTGACGTTTAGTCATAACACTCACCACAATTCTCATAATAGTCATCATAATCATAATCAAAACGAAGGACACGAACATGAAGAACAAAATAATGAACGCGATAATGAATTCCACACAATGACGGACGAAGAGCTCCAAGCAGCCGGCTTCCCGCCTCCCCCAAGCGCTGATACCACGCATGCTGTTCGCAGCACGACACTGAGAGCTAGCACTCCCACTCGGGCTCTGGGCTCCTCCTCCTCCTCGCTCGTTTCGTCAGACAACCATCTTTCGCTACCGGAAGGAAGCGGCAAGAACAATGGCAGTGTGAGCGGCAGCGGGACAAGCACACCAGAACGAATTCGATTTAAAGCGTTTCCTTATAGCGGTATTAATGATTACATGATATTTTGCGAGACCGGATTTTTGAGTGTTGGCGGGGGGTGAGTCTTTGATTTTCTTTCTGCCATATATCCACTGACTACCTTCGGGTTTTGTTTGATTATTGACTTTGGATCATGAATACAGCGATGGTCACTACGGGCTATGGATCGACTCCTCCGTTGAAAAGGGAGTGAGCGCTTCATGTCCCACGTTTGGCAACGAGCCTCTATCAGATGAAGGCACGAAGTTTGATATTTTGGGCGTGGAGATTTGGTATATCGGATCATAACCTTGCCTTATTGTAGATAGTTAGATAGTTAGCCATATACCTGGATTAATGGGTTATTTTCATCATATTACCGACCACTGCTATGTATATATTTGTTGTTTATTAAATTTGCTACCTAACTGGTTAACTACTTGATCAAGACCATTCATACAAGGACGCAAGGTGGATGTCATGCCGCAGCATAAGGCCAGCCACAGAAGAATCAAGATGAAATGAATAGCATATGGGATATCAATATCAGGGGGTATGAAAATCAAGCTAAAGACATAACAAAAACGTAAACTAAGAACCAACAGAACTCAACTAGACCATTCTCGACGCCATGATAAACCGAAATAGATTAATAAGGAGAGTTGACAATATCATTTCGACCCAAGCGGTGAGCCGCACTTCTCCGCACAGGTGTCATGGGCGGAGCAATGCTTTCACGCGTGACCTTCTTGAAGCTCCTCTTCTGCACCATGTTGACTTCATTTGGAAGAGCGACGATGACGTTCTTGTCCGAGCCGAATCTAAAGTTGTCTGCCATGACATTCTCGCCGTAGCGTTTGATAGTGTAAGGGTCCTTTCGTCCAGCAAGCACCTTCTTCAAGTTCCAAGTAATGATGAATGGGCCAGTTGCAGTAATAATAGAGGTTTCCTCGCTATCAACACCGGTATTGAATCGAGCAGGAGTAAATGCCAATGGCTGCTTGGTCTCATGCTGGAACTGAGCAACATGAGAAGGCTGTAGACCGAGACGCCGGGGCTGAGGTTTAGAGTCCTTTCCGAACGACTTCTCAAATCCAAGTTTGCCTTCGTTCTTGCCTTCCTTTTGCAATGCATCAATAAGAAGCAAATAGGTGCGGCAAGTGGCCAGGACCCAGCGACCATCGGCTGAAACGTCTAAACCAATAATAGGCTCACCAAGGGCAGGGATATGAGTCTTCGCATTGATTCCAAGACGGTCAAAGAGACGGACGTCTCCCTTGTTGGAAGCAACAGCAATATAACCTTTCTCTGTAGTGGCAGCGGCCGAGAAATCGTTTTTACTGGCATACTGCTTCAAGTTCGAATCAACCAACTTGTTTCCAGATTGCCGCGGATCGACTCGGAAGAGAGCATTCCCAGCGATACCCAAAAACGGCTGCGCTGCGGTCATTTGTGAGAATTTCTGCTCCGGAGCAAAAGTTGTGACACCAATGTCATCATGAACTTTCCACTCGTCCACCACCTTCCCATACTCAAGATCCATACGATACAAGGAATGAGGATTTGCGGCGTCCTGCAAGATCATGTTGGAATCTTCTGCATGAAGCATAACCTTCTTGGGGCTGAAGAGTTTGCCGTTTGGTGTTTCAACCTTGGAAATATTTGTAGAGAACTCAAGGTTATTGTTGGGGGTGTGTTTGAACACCCCAATCTTCGAGCCACGAACAACGAAGGACCGATCATGCTTATAGCCAACAGCAAGCTGAGAGTTGACATTGCCATCCTCAGGTCTAGTAATGACATCATCCTCTTCTTCATCACTATCGTAGTGCTCGCTGCGTTGTCCGTCGTCTTCATCTTCCTCCTCTTCTTCTTCCTCGTCATCCTCTTCTGCTTCTTCCGGCTCCCTTCCAGGCTCGACATCCTCCATAGTAAGATCTTGGAAGGCATCGAGAACGTATTCTCGCTCGTCCTCTTTTTGTTTCTCCCATTTGATTTCGTTCAGCTGTTCCCACAATGCCTGCATGAGACCTTCTTGAAACTGCTCGACTGTCTTCTGGTCCTTGAATCGTAGTAGCCAAGAGTATGCCGACCCATCTTGTGCATAGTGGTTGAAAATGAACGAAAGATATTCAAAATTGAAAACAGGGTTTATATCCCCAACAATTGGCTGGCCGAGCCATTCTTTGTCGTTGCCGGTGATTTGAAGCCAATATTGCCAGTCGCCAATCTCGGAAACTGTTGCAATGACTTCGCTGTCCTGTAGAATAAAAGCACCGGAATTGAAATCGAACAAATGCAGCTCCGCGCGTTCCTTGGCGAGGATCTCCCTGGATTCCGGTACAGTACCCGAGGGTGGTGCGGCAGTAGGTTCGTCTGCGGGCTTAATCGTGCCCTTTTTGGTCGCGTATTCCACGTCTTTGGCCATCGCTACTGCAGATTCTGCAGATGTTGGGCCTTTGGGTGTGTCAATGGGGCTAGCTGAAGGAATCGGGCTATCGTCTTCAAAGGAAAATTCTTGCAACTCCTCTTCGGTAGCTCGTTGAGCGGTCCTCTTGTATTTTCTCTCGTACTGACACTGAATTGCCGCAGATTCAAAAGTCGCAACCTTGTCAGACGAAATAGCAGAGTCGCAGACGAATTCGTAGAGGTCACCGGGGTCACCGCTTAAATCCCTCCACGCAAGTACCTTTTCACCACCGTCCCGTACAACTGACCGAAAATGAAGGGCTTGGTCGAGCAAGAACACCCTCTCGTCCTTGTCCAGAGCGTCAACAGCGGCGTCTTCGTCTTCCTCTTCAGCAAGCTCCTCCTCGCCTTCCTCGTATGCTCTTTGAACGACAAGCTGGTATTGGAATTCCTGGCCTGTTCGGCGGATTGTGGCGACGGCGTCTTTGAAGATCAACTCAGAGTATCCCTTTGGTGATAGGGGACGGACAAGATAAAGCTGGCCTTGGGGGATGTCGATAATAGCCTCTTTTGAAGAGTCTCCGAAGAGATATTTGCTGACTGCAAATCGCAACGCAACTATATTAGTTCTCTGAGGTCCACTTTTGACGACAGGGGGGTTCAATTGGCGGGGTTGTGAAGGTTGCAAAACATACCGTTCCGGAGCATAAACATATTTCTTCTGGTGGCGACTTCCCTGCTGTCAGCCTTGTCGTGCTTTCCAGGAAGTGTACGCCAGAGAAAGTTGTTCAAATGAGAGATTAACTGCAAAACGAAAGAAAAGGTGATGAAAAGCCCGGTTAGTTAATCTGCGTTAACGGCGTCTAAGGGAACGAAGAAAAAAAAAGAATTGTTGTTTGGTGTTGTTGTCCGGCAACCAGCGCTGACCCCGCCACTCCCAAAGAAATAGTCAGTGACGCAGTTGCCGCCACTCGATGTGGCGGTGCATCACAACATGTGGCGCGTGCTATGTTTATAAAGCTTCTGATTGGAAAATCTCATGGCTACAGCGAATCAACAACGCTAAGTCATGGTTGATTCTATTTAGCTATCTGCACTACTGATAATAATACTCTGAAATTCCAGAACAGCTATATTCTTCTACGTGCGGCTCTTTAGGTAAATGCCCATCTCCATCTCCACCAGTGAGATTAGGGCTAGGGCTAGGGCTTGCGCCCATTTAAAACTTCGAACAGAATTGAGCTTAATGGATATGGAATGAATTGAGCAACTCATCTACTTTGATAACGAATGCTTGATTTCTCGTATATATACTATTTGACTTAGTGCTAAAGACTCGGATAGGAAGAGAGGTATATCAAAATCAAAATCACCATTGACGCCTTCAAAACAGAGACGAGCAAACTCATGCTTCGTGCTCAACATGTGTAGAACAGTCGAAGCTCTGGCTTGAGCGAGGGACGTCATTACTAGGATTTAGATTGAAAAAATTGGTCGGCTTTAAAGACACAGTCATCATTTCAATGGGCATGACGGGAAAGTCTAAATAATTTCACTTTGTTAGCCTTAGTATGAATCTCAGACAGACAGTGAAACAAACCTTCTGGTCGAACAATATGTGTCAAGCCAAATGTGTGCCACAAAACAACATCCGTGTTCTCGACATTCTCATCCCGTATACAACTCATCGTCATGGTAAGCAGTCACCCATATCGGCTCCGAGGCAAAAATGCCTCTCTTCGAGTTAAATGTCTCTTCATTCATAATCATCATTTGCGAGGGCAGAGCATGCAGTTTATATGCAACAGGTTTTCCGGATACTGGGTTGACGACATTTGAATTCTGAATCCTGTAAACTCGAGACTTGGTGAGATCAAGATTATAGCCTCCAGGTTTGCTGATTGTCGATGTTGACGGCAAGAATGCCACGCCGTAAGGATCGGTCTGCCCGTCTTGGAGTGGGACTATATCGTCAAATACCACGCTGTTTTGCTGTCCATCAATAGCAGGATTGACTCTCAAGCAAAACAAATGCTGGTGGTTCAATGCTAGAGCCCCTGGGGCTACTTTAACACCCCACGGCGGGACCTTTGTCGCCTTTGGGCTGATTGGCACAGTCGAGACAATTCCCGTGGCACGAAGTTCGATGTGGATATTGGCCGACTGGTCTAGGATAAAGGCAAGGATATACTCGTAATTCGCGACAGTTGCAACACACTGAACGACGAGCTGACGATTGCGTGTCACCGACGCTGATTGCGAACGGAAATTAACATGTTTCAAACCAATACCTGCATCGATCTCGTGCATGCACACCACGTTCTTCAACTGAACAAGTTCTCCGGTAGACGTGACTCGGCAGCCATCAAAATATCGAATATGTCCAAGACAGTCACATCCGAGTTCGAGACTGTTAGAATTGATCCCGAGACCGGTGTCACCGAGATCAAATGCCTGTTTGCGATGGTACGGAGTACGAGGATCACCATAAGGGACTGTCATTTCACTCAATGATAAACGGTAGAAGGTTGACCGCCAAAAGTGACATTATACAGAACTGGTCCTTCGCGCAGATTCCAGCCAAGAATAAATTTCCACTTTTGCCATGAAACTTCTCTGTCATTAACGGTAAAGGATGGGCCCTTTGGTTGATGAACATGTAGCGGAGTGAGATCAGTGCGTTGTCCTTCTTTCTTCAGTAGACGGCTGGAATATTCAACAGCTGCAACTGGGTCCCAAGGACCAGTGATACTGTCGACCGTGGGCTCATCGCCGAGCGGAAGGTAGTCTACCCACTGAAGCGTCATCGTGTATGCATCAAAGACTGGGGAGAAGGGAAGGGGGATTGAGTAGTGATTCGCTTCAGGGTCGACGTTGAGCACGAGGTACATGTAGCATTGGTATAGTCGTCGCCGTTCAGTCTCGTCATCAGTGCCATACGCCCATGGATCATTGATTACTTGAGTACTGCAAACGAGTCCATGTAGCGTACACGATCTTCAAACTTTCAAAGGACATACTTACCCGGCAGGAAGTTGGAGTTTCTGGGTTGCCTCGAGCACTTGAGGATGGGTATTACACAAGCTTTCAATAGCGGCGATTTCATCGGGATCAGCTGGGCCTTGAACATCGCGCAGTTCCTCGACTGAAAGAACACTGAGAGCGGTAATATCCAGAATTGCCTTTTGAAGGACGATGTTGGGCATTTGATGAAAATAAACCCGTGCTCGACGAGATGGGAATGGCCCACTCGGGTTTTCCTCATACTTGATTACTTCGTTTTTTTGGAGTTTCTAGCAAATCGATGAAGTTGAACCGATTTCTCATAACTTGAACTGTCTGTGCTAGTTCTTCGGGTGAGATAGGGTCCAGTGGGTGGCGAGCCATTTTGGATGGTCTGTGTTGCTTGCGCAGTTTAGTTTCAAATATTCAAAGGTTCAATCACTCATCAATCAAGGCCTTCAAGTTCTGACACCATTATTTATATTCGAATTCTATTTGCGGGTTCTCGGTGACAAGCTTTCCTAAATATCACTCATTGTCGTTTCATGGAAAAAAGTTAAAACTGCATTCCGAATCACATGCGAGCAGTTGGTCAATAACGGACAATTTTACTGTCCTGAGCTGAGAAGCGCGGTCGTATACTCCATGTTAGCTGTTGAGTCCGTGAGCGTTGATTTACTGTATTGAGACGACGAGCGCGGTGAACAACATCACTCGCTTCGTTGCGCCCAGTTACGAAGCACATGGACTACGAGCTACTGCATTGATTGTTTTGATACGTATTGTATATACTGATCAATTGAGCTTTACTGTGCGTCCAGTGACCATAAGCAGCCCGGTTATTATTTATAGCTCGTGGATTTACCCCATCGGGTAATTTTGTCAGCTCCTCAAAGCACAACGTTTCCAGTCCATAGTCTATGCATCTGGCGGTGGGGCAACCAGGTACACAATGCAATTTTATATGGCTAAGCCCAGTTAAAAAGCCCTGGTGAGGGGTTGCAGTACATGTCTATCTATAAGGTAGGGTAGGTTTCTTAAGAGACAATAACTATTCCGTGCCACAGGAAGCTACTTTACCCTCACCCTCTCACATTCGATATTCTCTTTACTATAAATTTCAAGAACATTTGACAAGATTGACATTATCAAAAAAAACCCCCTGCTTTCGACGTCATAAATGTCCACTAAGCAACGCAATTTGGATGGAAAAACAGCCATCGTTACAGGGTCATCCAGGTTCGCGAACGACGCGTCCTCTTGTTAACGTAGAGATACAAGCTAACGGGATTGTTTAGAGGAATCGGTGCAGGAATAGCAATTGAACTCGCAGAGCGTGGAGTTCGTGTCGTTGTCAACCATGTTTCTCCCAGAAGCGCAAAGTCAGGAGAACAGGTTGTAGAGAAGATCACAGCAGCGGGCAGAACAGCTCTGCTGGTCCAAGCAGACCTCGCTTCGATGGATGGAATACAGAAGCTTGTTCAAGAAACCGTGAATTTCAGTCTTGACAAGAAAATCGACATTGTCGTGCACAATGCTGCGTTTGGTGACGATTGTTACCTGGAAGACGTAACTGAAGAATTCTACTATAAACAGACGGACACGAATCTGAAAGGTATGTAAGGGTCTTATTTCAGTCTGAAAAATCGGCATAGATAAGAAACTAATTGGATAACTCCAGGGCCCATATTTCTCACGCAGGCCATACTGCCTCACCTTACAACATCCGGCGGCCGAATTGTTCTGCTTTCATCGATCTCTGCCCGCATGGCATTTACATCGCAAACAGTCTACGCAGCAACAAAAGCCGGATGTGAAGCTCTTGCTCGGTGTTGGTCCGCGGCACTGGGCAAAAAATATGGTGCCACCGTGAATTGCGTGAATCCCGGCCCAGTTGGGACGGAGATGTATTGGGAAAGTGATCCTGAATTCCTCAAATCAATGGAGCCTATCATTGAAGCAACGCCTGCCGCTCCTCGAGTAGGAGAGGTATCTGATATCGTGCCATTGGTTGCGTATGTTTTCCCTGTCCTTCTCACCCTGAAAAGATTCTACTGATCAATGGTACATGCAGTTTTCTATGTTCGGAAGAGTCTCGTTGGACTACCGGGTCTGTTCTTAGTGCAAATGGTGGAATGCTTCCAATATAATCTGATGTAGAACATCGACTGAAACCTAAAATATCAGATAGTCGTGTTGATACTCAAGCTCTTTGTTATGAGTCTGAATTCAGTCAGTCTCTAGGACAAGAAGAAATTTTCTCTACTAGACTTACAAAATCGGCCCAGGAAAGTGTTGACCCAAGTAGTTCTGGATTCGCATCCCTTGCAGCCCAAATGCGATGTAAGAGGTCGATAGCAACACAGATACGAAGGTTAGTTCTGTCTTCGAGAGCATTCAGCCGTAAGAGAATGTAATGCGAGCGTATGGAGAAGTACACTCTGAACCAGCCATGGTCAACGGCAAGACAAGCAGAATGGCCAATTCAGCGTGTATCGGTATTTTAGAGACTGAATCCAATAGTTTGCTATTACATTCTTCCACCTCCTCCCGGTCCGCGGGTAGAAAATCTCGCCTGAACTGGCAAATCCGTAAGAGACAGGCATATCGAAATGCATTTGCAACGTGTGTCCACAGAGGATCCGACGTCGGGGGCACATATCGCGTTTCATCCCAAAGACGCAGCTTGGTCTCACTTTTGTATAGACAATATTTAAACAATTCAAAGGAGTGTCCATTTGTACCGCTGTCCCTTGCTCGGCTGAAAACGTCGCCCATTATGAGGAAGATCTCTCTTGGGCATCCATTCATCATTTCAAATTTGCAATCGCTGGTTTGGGCCAGGACTTGACGAGTTTCCTGTGAAAATGACAACTTCTGTGACCCGCTGAAGCAGCGAACAAGATCAAACCTGGAGATGTGAGGGTATAATACACGAACAACCACAAAGTAGATGCATACGCACCATGAAAGAGTAGAAAGCAAAAATAGAGTACGCGGACGATGTCGACCTAATTCCATGTTGTTCATCATTTCTTGATACACCGTACTCGCGCCGGTGAGATGGGCGCCATGAACTGAGACTCCAGAATCGCAGATCTGGCAGTTCATTAATGGCGTTTATTATGATAACAAGGGAGATGAAGGGGGCTCGCATCATGAATTAACAAAATGAGAATCGTTGCTAAAATGGCATCCTGATCCCAGTCATTCAGGCTTTGAAGAGCGAACCGGTTTTCCGACCCCAGTGCAGAGCGAAGAAGTCTCATAGCGTCCGTTCTGTGACTGAGTGATTCTGTCTCATGGTCACCGCCGTCAAATCTGGAGGCGCCCATGTGACAAGCAGTCAAGGCCAATATCGCATGCAGTAGCGGGAGATGCTCGTAAGCAAGCGGCAATATGAAACTCCTATACGGATTGGTGCAAAGGCTTGGGTCGTTCACCATAATGTGAGGGCATATATTCGTATCGTCTGTTTGACTAATCAGAAACCCAGCGCTCCCAAGCCCTAAAGGAAGACTTGGATCTCACAGTAGGATAGAGCCACCTCCGTCGACGGAGAAACAAGCAGCCTCTGGAGCTCAGCTGTCTACGCATCGCCAGGAGAGAGGGCCTTACTGCTCGTGGAGGCTAGACTAGGGGATAGTACAGCCTCCACCCGGGACGTGATGAGACCAGCATCCGCAGGTGGACGACATGGCAGGGAGCTCTCCGTGGGTTCGGGTGCCCTTCTCGGAGGGCCCCGGGCATTAGTCTGAGGATGAGGCTCAGGATTCAATGCATCCTTCAATCGCCCGCGACTTGCAACACCGCAAAACTTGAACTTGGGGGGGTATCCACGGCATACCAGCCCTCGCGAGCGACAACGCAGACAGGCTGGCTGAGCGCGGTCGCATCTCCGGCCCTTCTGGCGGCAGGTCAGGCAAGAGGCATGAGACTTGGGAGCGGCGCTCATTTCTCGGCCTGTTCCTAGCTTCCAAGGTAGCGATATTGCAATTGGGGCATATAGCCTGCTAGTTATGACTGTGGGAACTACTGGAAGAGGATAAAGCGAGCACTTAACCGTTGTCTGCGTTATCTCCGCGTCTTATCTGCGTCTTATCTGCTCCGCGCGCAATGACCGTCTTGGGATAAGCGCGACGTATACCTACCCTTTAAGGAAATATCACAGTATTGCGTGCATTGACCTAAAACAGACAATACTGTCGCAAGAGAACAGCTCCAACATGAGCGAGCGGTCTTTCTACTACCTGAAGTGCGCCTGCTCGAGGCTGGCTCAGCCTGTGGATTGTACTCCGCAATTTGTCAGGCCATCTCACTGAGCAATAACATCTTTAAATACCACAGTTTCCCGTGATTGTATCTCCTCACAATCTCTGTAATTCGCAGCACATAGTCATCTTCACACTGCAGATTTTATCTTGTGAGAATGCATGCTCGGACATCCGATGCCTACTCCTGGACACAGGAAAACGGTCTCCAGAAAGGCGGATTCGAGTGCCAGGGTGCCATAGCACCATCTACAAAGATCAAGGTTCCTGGAGGCTTTGTGTACGATGTGGTTGTAATCGGAGGTGAAATGCAGGGCTGTCAGCCGCTCGAGATCTTGCGACATCAAGTATGTAATGCACTGACCAGCAATCTTAGACCATTCCGTACTTCTGCTTGAGGGCCGAGACAAAATTGGAGGACGCACCTTCAGCGTCGATTCGAATGGTTGGCTCTAACATCCATGTTCCCTCTCTCCAACTAACGTCATCGAATAGGCTTCAAGTACGAAATGGGAGGCACTTGGGTGTCACATTATCAACCTCACACTTTTTCAGAATTGAGAAGGTATAACCTGGATAAGGATTTAGTTGCCACAAGGCAGCCAGGTTATGAGAATGACTACTACACTCTCAATCTTCAAGGTACTACCAAGGGCCTAGCAGCTCTTGAGAGGAGAACTGAGTTTACTTACATACTTGCTGCCGTTAGGAGAACCCTCAAGAAAACTATCGCATAAAGAAGCCTCTCAGATTTTCACCGAAGCCTGGAACAAGTTCATCAATGTGGATGGCCACTTGTGCCGTAAAATCTGCCCGTTGCCCTACCAACAACTGGGAAACATCATGGTTGATCGACAGGAAGTAAAAAAAGTAGACCAACTGTCTTCTTGGGACCGGTATGAGGAAATCAAACATAAACTATCGCCTGAGGGATCCGGCATGCTTCTCTCTCAGCTTCTCATGATTTCCGGTGGTGATCTAAAAAATTCCAGTCTGTGGGACATGATCCGAAGCCAGGCCTTGGGAGGGCATGACATCTCCAACTTTGAAGACGTGTGAATCTTGTACAAACTCCAAGACGGCCAGTCTTGCTTGGCAAGAAAGATATTTGATGAAGCCGTCCAGACAGGCTTGGATTACTCCTTCAAGGCCGCAGTCACGAGCGTAAGTAACTCCCGCCAAAATGGTCAGCAGCTTGTCGAGGTAGGAACACAAGACGGCCGCACATTTCCAGCCCGTCGAGTCATTTGTACTGTCCCACTCAATGTGCTCAAGCACATTAAATTCAGCCCTCCATTATCTGCAAAACGCCGTGAAGCAGTTGACCAGGGTCATATCTATTTTATGACCAAAATACACGCCGAAGTCAAGGGCTCTGGACTTGCCTCATGGCAAGGTACTGCCTACCCCAGCCCCCTACTTTTCGGTTTTGGTGACGGCTTGACTCCTCAGGGCAATACCCATATTACTGCTTTTGGCGGAGATGAGAGACCTCATTTCCTGCCTGAACGGGACGTTGATAAGATTTGTGAAGCCCTTCAGGCCCTTCATCCCATGGATATCCAGAGATTGGTGAGTCTCTTTCTCTCTATCTCCTATCTGTCTGTGTATCTTGCCTAAGTCCTTAGCACAATCACTGAACAAAAATCAATCTACAGGTATTCCACAACTGGAACACAGACCCCTTCTCGCAAGCCGGCCCATGTTGGTGGCCACCCGAGTTCATGAGCAAGTATCAAGATGAACTACAAAGTCGGCATGGGAATGTATTCTTTGCCTCAGCAGATTGGGCGGATGGCTGGCGAGCATTCATCGATGGGGCTATTGAGCAAGGAAGAAAGAATGCACAGGAAGTTGCCGTAGAGCTTCGGGCTATGAAGCATCAGCAGAGTGTTCTGTAGTTGGATTAAAAATTTAAAGTTGCGCAGCTTGATGTAAGGCGGGGAAGGAGATGTCTATGTATGTAGATTGTAGCAATCTACCTGGGCATAGGTCATGGAAGACTGTTCTTGTTTGTCCTTAATTCTTGGTAGTGGGAATCACATGAGGTAGATCCAAAATTAGTAAAATTATGGGAACTATATAGTTCGAGAAAGGGAAATGCAGTCTAGATAACCAAGCGATCGTTACCTAGGTATACATAGACAGAATGTTCATCCAACTTGGCAATCATATTGGTTCATAGTGGAAATATGGAAGGTGATTTTGAACTTTACAGTGGACTTCATTAACACCATGACTCTCTGGTGTTCTGAAAGTTATATGGTGTTCTTCTAATAATTGCTGCTGGCATTGATAATTCTTCAGTTCTATCTATTTAAAAGCTTATACATATCCAATTTCTCTGTAGATTATAGATCCATTTTCACGCTTCTGGATAGGTACACTACCGTTGCTGCAAATCCCTAATATGTGACAACTCAAGTTCTCTATGACCGCTTTGATGTATTCATTGCTGCAGTAGACAGGCACGGATATCCCAAAAGAATATTATCCGGAGAATATCCTTGGCCTCTTGTTAGTTAATACTGGTAACAATGGGATATTAACCAGTAAGCCACGAAAGAAGGGGCCTCTTAATGGGGCTTCTGGCAATCTCCATTTTTTGTAAATAATGCCTTATAGTCAGCTGTAATATCCTCACTAGCTGCTCCTTAGTAGGGCTCATCGAACTCGAGTTTTCTTAAAAACATTTAAAGTGTATAGCATGCTTAGAGAATGTGTGTTCATGTAGTTAAATATCAAGGCACAAGAAACTGAAAAACAGAAATATCCTCCTCGTGAGGCGCTAAACCTAAAGGAAAACCGATGAGGCGGTTTTGCCTGTCTAATCTATCTCAACACTTCTCCGTTGGTAGGTGAAGGATGAAAATGCGAAAAGGTCGGTAGTAGCGAGGAATTTAGACTGGTGAAGATTCTCCCTTCTTTTTCTCCCGCTTTGGGCTGTTTTCGTTCTCTACCAACACCTCACCACAGAAGACGAAGTACATCTCACCCTTTTACTATACGGTTTGATGAATGAATCTAATACCATATCATTCAGAAGCACAGGACTTTATCCTTCCACTATATCTGGATAGATTGCTCCAATGCCCCCAGATCAACCAGACATAACCACATAACAGAGTCAGCCACATTGATCACTAATCTTCACTGATCAAGTTGCATCTCAAATCCATTCGACAAATTCAACGCATCCCAATCAATCTTCGGCCCATAGAATTTGTGTCTACCTGTCACCAGCCACAGCACATACGTAACCAGAAACAATCCCGCCAGGATAGGCGATGTCCAATTCATAGTGCTAACCTCAACCTGAGGGCCGCTAGGCGGCAAACAGACAAGAACAGCTAGCACAATGACCCACAGAGGACTGAACAAGTTGCAAAAGTATCCTGTTCTCCCCAGTTCTAAATGTCGACGGAGAAGGCATTTGGAGCGGCCGCGCAAGAGCATGATGGTTTGCGGGATTGCGTATGTGATGTTCAGGCATAGAACGGCTCCTGTCACTATGGAGTTGTATGCCGTTGTAGAGGCTAGATAGAGGAGACCGTAGATGCAGACGAAGACAACGGCGCAGACTGTAGTGCGGACGGGAAAGTCTTTAGTTGTATCGATGTGAGAGAAGTACTGTGCAAATGGAGTGCCGTTCTGTTACTGAAGTGAGTGGTTCAGGCTCAACTAGAACTTGATGTAGTGAGTAGTATTCCTTACATCTGTAGCCAAAGCCCATGCAGTTCGACCACATGTAATCCACTGTGGGATAACGCAAACTGTTTAATAGAAACAAATCAGAGTATGAACTGACTGGATCTAGTACTTCAAGTTTGACCACTTACGAACATACACTAATAGAACCCAGCACATGAGAAAAGTCGACACGGCTTTGCTGCCGGTCACCTGGTACATAACTTCTGCACTTGGTAAACCAGCATTAACGACTGCATCGAGATCCGTCATGCCAAACATTAGCAAAACAAAGAGTGGGAAAGCGGTGCTGAACCCGATGGTCATAGTGACGTTCCTAAGGCTGTGAGTGTCTCTATCTAGGTATACCTGGAAATGATCTCACGTACATGACGAAAGGAAGAACCTTCTGGGGTGAGGGACACTCTTCTGCAATGTCTATTGCTGAGTCGGTTGCAGCATATGCGTACCTTAATCTATGTTAGCTAGTATAGCAAGGGCAAAAGGGGACTAAATTTACATCGAGTTTGTAACGCCCAGTGCCCATGCTGTGCCTGCGCTCCATCCTGAAGATCCCAGTCCTGACTGGACAATATATGAGCCTGGATTAGTATGTTTCTTCATCACGACGAGGACGATGAAGTTGGCGAAAAAGCCAATCACGGAAAGATACATGGTGATTTGGGCGATTTTGGGGACTGCTTTTGGAAAGAGAAAGACGGGGGCCGCTATCATCCAGTATTCCAGTACACCAGTGTCAAGTATATACTGACGGGAGGGGTTCAGGACTGATCAGATAAAGTGACAACTAGAAGATAGGCACAGTATACCATCCACTGTGTGGTATGAAAAGCCTCATCCCAGAAGCTGACAAGTCCAAAAATTGATATTGCTGGAAGAGAGACCCCCGAGCAACACACGATGAACCAAGCAATTACTGATAACCAGCCTACCATAAATGCGAGGCCGCATTTCATACGGTGCGGTGCGACGATATAGGTGAAATGGTATTGGCCCTGCATTTATTCCATCGTAAGTTCTCGTTCTACCTTTGCATATATTTGATGAATATGAAGCATATCCTCGAACCTACCCCGGTAGATGGGAAAGCCGATGCCAGTTCCGATAGTCCAAGCGTGACAATCCACTGGACTACAGCAGCAGCCAGAAGACTAAACACAACGACCTGAGGGCCGCCATAGACGAGGTTCTGACCAAAAATGCCTAATCCAGCAATCCAGGAATTGGTGACGCTTGTTTTTCTTACTCCATTAGATTCTGGATTTTTTTAAACTAGAGTATGGGTCATTGTGCGCCTGTTCTTACCTGAATCCAAAACCTAAGGAGTCCCATTTCGTAAAATCTTCTGGGCATGGCCGAGCCATGGCCTTGAGCTTGTAGTATAGCCTCGTCTAGAGGAATTGAACCGCCCTTGGCAATGCTATGCGCTCGTTCATGCACAATGGCGTCTTCTGTAGCTGAAAGAGCGTGTTTGTTGTCTTTAGATGTCTCCATTTAGTAGTTTATATAACTTCCAAGTCGCTGTTTTGATCATATTACATCTCAGGAAGTATTCTGGAGTCTTTTTCCACACAGATACACGTCTTTGCTCTTTCCTTTATCTCTTGACTTGAGGATAACAATCCCTGCTCTGAGTCACCGTGAGTGGTCATAGGGATATCTCCCTGATATCAGACCTGTGTCGTAATAGGGCCATTGTTCATATTGTGCTGTGCTGAACTGATAATGCGGTACTAGTCTGCGATGGCTACTTCCCGATCTGAGGTAAACCATGCCTAGCAAGACTACCCAAGTTTTGTGACGGAATGAAGCCATTTTGTGTTTTGTGCAAGCGGTCGAGATAAGCAAAGGTCAAAGAACTCGGTTCCCCCGAAAGATAAGAGCTCCGCTTGTTGCTCCGCCGGACTCTCTGCCCTAATTGCCCAATCGGGAAGTACAGCGAGCACACTCGATCTGTCGAGTCGGTCTAGTGTTTGGTATTGGTTACTCTTCAAAATGCCTATTTTACTACGTAAGAAGTCGATCAATTGGACGAGCTTCCATTTGGTCGTCCTCGGTCTAGATGTACTACTAGTTCCAGGCCTCGAAAGATTAGCTCCGCGCTCAAAGCCCCTTGGAATGCGTACCTCAGATTCATATCTTATCATCTTGCAATGTCAGCACTAACTCTGGCTATTGTGGTCCAGCGTCAAACCGATTCATGATGGATTCGTCCGTTGTTGAAACAGCTATCGTTTACGGAGTAACTACACGGTAACAGTACGATTAGTTGTTTGTTCATCGTCACATTAGGAAAGTAAAGGTTCATACCTGGGACTATGTGTAAATTTTCTTCTATTTATCTACTTATACTATTCTATCATGCTGTAATATCAATTATTCTACGTATCTCTGATAATTACAAAATCAACTTCTTCGTTGGCCTGAACGGTCGCGTCCACAGCAACCTGCTCTCCGTTCAATACCTCGTGTGAGGTAGACTCTCCCTGAGACGTATAAACAGTCCAGCTGCCAGATTGGAGGTTTTTAACCTCAAAACCTACTTTGGCCGTTTTCCCACTCCATTCACGCAAGGTAACAACGAGAGCTCGACGCTCCTGATCCCATACACCTCGCAAACAGTCAACGCCATGCGACAGATCAAGACCATCCACATACGCCCGGTTAGCCAACATATCCTTTGTCCACGGCGCTTCAAACATATTCTTTTGCCCGTTTTCAACATTTAGCCGCGAGTAGCCGATTGCAGCGTTGCCAGAGAACGGGTCCATATGAGTCCAGCGGCATTCATCGTCAGTTGTTTGATCGTTACGCGGATAGTATAGGCCACCCTTTTCCCAGGTAGGCTGGAGATTTTGGTCAGCGTAGGCGAGGATGCCGTTCAACTCCGTGGTTTTGCCCAACTCCGAGAGCCATTGCACGACGTACCCGAAAGTAGGCTCGTTGTATGGAAAGGTAATGCTCGATTTGTTGGACTTGTAGAACTCACGAGCATCATGCAGAAGCTGAGATGGGTCTTGAGATGCACCCCCCTGAGCCAGCGCTGACCGGTATGCACCCGCAACCATAGGGTGTTGAAGCTCGACATGTCCGTTGATGTTGGTGATAAAGCCGGTGGCATGGCTATCAAAGCCAGCACGAACAAACTCGGAGTTCCAAGTGTTCATAAACGCAGCTGCCCTGGAGTATATTAGTCAAGAAGAAAATAAGAAAGAAGACATTTCTTACCATGCGGTGAAGCCCACACTCTTTGCTGGGACAGCATGTCCCTGTTTCACGCTAATGAAGTCTTTGTACAGATCATTCCGAGCAATCATCCCCTTCTTCTCAAGCGCAGCCTTGTATTTCTCAAGGACCTTGGGCGCCACGTCGGTGCCGTCGCGTGCATCATTCAGATGCATAGCAATAATCTAAGTGGTCAGTCTCCTTCAAAGTTATGCGTGGCGTATAGTTCCTTACTGGAAACTGATTGCAAGCAACAAACACTAGATTCGGCTCACAGCACACACCAACCCACGCATTCCGTTCCATTTCAGCAATAATAGCCTGCTGCAAACTTCGATTATCATAGACAAAAATCTCCGGGCCCATACCCCAAAACAACGGGTTCCAATGAAAAGTCAGGCTCCCGGGCTTCTCAAACTCATCGTCATTAAACAACATAGCATAAAGACTAGTCATGAGCAACAGATGACCACTATACATGATATTTTCCCTGACAACGGGATCAGCCCACGGCTTTCGAAGCACTTTCAAATCCGGATCAAGCATGATACCAGACTGGGACGAGAGATACCAATACCCCCACACCTCGCGGTACAGCATCTTCTGAATCAGACGGCGAATCAGAGGCTGGAAGAGTCCGTGCATGGCGGGCAGGCGGTGATAGTGAGCCAGCCCGGATGCGTATGCCATTGTGGACAGCTGGTATCGGTACGCATCGAGAAACTCCTGCGCGGGCTCTTGAGTGCCCATGTGTGGCCAGTTCCCATCGATCGCGGAGCTAAGGTTGTAGAAGTGGCGGAGGTGGCTGCTTGTTCTAGCGACAGCTTTGGGTATCGGGATATCTCAAATGGCAGCGGGCTGCCATTATCGGCTTTGAGAAATGGAGACATGTCGTCTCGGCGGGAAACTGGCCAGGCAGCCTCATTCACCAGGAAGGTTCAATATTAATCGCATGGTGACCTTGGAATGAGGTTGAAAATAACAACAATGGATTTACCCTAACCCTCTGCGGGGCACTTTTGTCATGCTTTGTTTGCTCATCATGGTATGCAGTCTTTGTCTCTGATCCCTGTTAATATCGTAATTGATTGCACAAAATAATGCGCCGAATGGACCTTCCTATGCAACAATTATGCTCTAAGTTGTAACTCCTAATCGGGCACGATCTTATTCATCGCGGTCCAAAGCAAATAAGTTTATATGAAAATAGTTACTCAGGCAGGCAGACGAACTTTCGCATATTGTCTCAGCCAAGTTACACCAGAATTGCCTGATGTTTTTGATATTGCCCAAATAGGCAATACCGACCACTCCGATGGCGGCAGAATATATTGTGAACGGCTACCCCTGATTAGGAAATGCGGGGAGAATTTGCCGACAATCGGAGTGCAGCGAAGTATATAAAGAGGGATGAGGACCCTAAAATGCAGACGAAGGACATCAACCCTATATTCCCGGGATCGTAGAACATAGTAAACCACGGTCAAGTAAAAACAGATCAGTAGCTAAATTCTGATCAAATAGCCCGACTTGAGAACTTGAGCCTACCTCGTAAAAGCAAAAATGACTGCCCAAGTACTAGGCCCCTCTATCGAATCGCAGATCGAGGCTCTGTTTTCCATGTTCTCTGCGCAGGGACAAGCTGGTCTAGAACTCTCGCTGCAACGTGCGCATCTTGCTCGTCAAGATCACGTGTATGGCCGAGACGACGAGGTCGTGCTTGCCGCTCTTCTCTACGAGGTTGCTTGTTTCATTCCGGCGGGAGAGAAGGTGGAGGAAAGCAGCCATGACGCTCTTGGCGAGTACTATTTGCGCAGTCTCGGGTTTGGTGGAAAGGTTGCCGGTCTGGTTGGCACGCATGTCATGACAATGAGATATCTAGCTGCGACTGAGAAGGACTACTACGATGGTTTAAGCGAGGGGAGCAAGAAGACTTTGCTTTCGCAGGTGGGTTAGTTCTTTACCCTAAGTGTTGAAAATTGATAGAAGCATTGCTAACTCCAATGATGATAGGGAGGTATTTTCAGCCAGGAACAGGTCAAACAAGCCCGGGACGACCCTCTGCTTGGAGCGAAGCTGGCTCTTCGGAGATGGTACGATCTAGCCGAAGTACCAAACATAGGGGTGCAACCACTATCAGATTACAAAGATATTGCCTATAGATGCCTTTCAGGTATGGGAACAGAGCAGACTGATTCTTCCCATACACACGCTCGCAGGAAGAGAGAGAGAGAGAGCTAAGAAAGATATAGAGTCAAGAAGCAAGTTCACACTGCACTCAAAAGAATACAAAATCCCTAGACAACTGACAGTCGTGATCTGCGTGGATGGGTTTGACCCAGAATATCTTCGATCTGGCGTACAAGGCGGGATATTGCCTACAATGAAAGAAATGGTCGAGAAAGGCTTTCACACCACCGCTAAAAGCTGCATGCCATCATTCACAAACCCTAATAATGTTTCAATCATCACAGGCATGCCTCCGTCCATCCATGGAATTGCAGGTAACTTTTTTCTGGACAGAGAGACTGGGAAGGAGACAATGATCACGGACGACTCTCTACTACGAGGATCGACACTACTGGAGCAAATGTCCATACGAGGTGTTCGTGTCGCTGCCATAACAGCTAAAGACAAACTGCGAAAAATTCTCGCACACGGCTTGAAAGAAGCCATCTGCTTTTCAGCAGAGCGCGCTGGAAAATGTACGTTGGAAGAAAACGGGATCGAAAACGTGGAAGATTGGATTGGTCGTTCTGCGCCCAGCCAATATTCCGGGGACCTATCACTGTTTGTTCTGGATGCTGGTATCAAATTGCTGGAAGAAGGGCGTTCGGACTTTCTATATTTGACGTTATCTGACTACATCCAGCACAAGTATGCGCCGGGAAGTAAACAAGCCGATGAGTTCATGAAGGGTATTGATGCTCGATTGAAGAAATTGATAGCCTTGGCTCCAATTGTTGGCGTCACTGGTGACCACGGAATGAGCCAGAAGTCCAATGCCGAGGGCGAGCCTAACATACTCTTCCTTGAAGACAGCCTGGGTGAAAGGTTCGGCACTGGATCTTCTCGTGTTATATGCCCCATCACCGACCCATTCGTGCGCCACCACGGAGCCCTAGGATCATTTGTGCGCGTCTATCTCAAAGACCTGACACGGTTGGACGATGTGCTGGCATACTGTCAATCTTTGCCATACGTCGACATCGCTTTGAGTGGCAAAGAAGCAGCAGAAAAGTACGATATGCCTTTAGACCGGGAAGGGGATATTGTTGTCATATCCAAGCCTCATACAGTGATCGGAAGTCGGAAAGCGGAACACGACTTATCCCAAGTAAGAGATCATCCTCTTCGGTCGCATGGAGGGATCAGTGAACAAGATATCCCGATCATCGCATCCAAGCCAGTCCGAGACGTCGAAGAGGCTATAACAAAAGCATGGAGGAATTATGATATTTTTGACTTAGTACTGAACTGGGTGTGAGATATATTAATATGGCCTGGTAATTACTGGATAGTTCCATGTGAGAATGGCGTGGAAATACGTTGTGGGAAAGAATTGGTCATGTTTTGCACCCGACTCATATTATTCAGATATGTTCTGGAGCTGCAAATCTCTGGTATATGACATGGGAATAGAGGTGTCCATCCAGGAGTAATATTTTCCAACCGATAATTTGACGCGACATCAAATATATCTAACATACATACACACAATCCCTAAGATTGGTTTTCTGCAACGGCAACTGGTTCGACTTCGGAATCGTCGCCATCCTCGACAACTAACGCTGCGGTATCTGCCTCCGGCTCTTCTTCGACATGTCCTTCGTCAGCTTTTGCAGTTTTGAGAGTACCGCCTTTTCGCGGAGGGATAACTTTCATAAAAGCCTCGCCCCAATCGCCGAGTTCCAGCCACTTGATCATAATCTCAACAACATGATTAGTAGCCAAGACCGGTCTTGAAGCCATGCGTAAATATTCGCCGATGGGGAGTTTCGCAGTTTTGACACCCATTTCAATGGCCTTTTGGTAGCAGACGCCTTTATGTCTGTTTTTGTCTACCAATCCACCAATAATGTATGTGCTGTACGGTTTGAGCTCGGTCAAAGTGTTAGGGCTGTCGCTGCTGAGATAGATGATCTCCCCATTCTCAGGGTCAGCTGTCAGGGAGTCATCTTTCTGTTCAAAAACCCCTGCCAATTCCCCACCTCTAGGACCCGTCATCCATGTTTTAGCTTTCTCGGCCACATGAACGAAATCTTCCTGCATGAAACGGACGCCCTTCCAACTTTCGTAAGCTTTCTGGAGCACGTTGTCAAATCGCTCTTTCAACAGCTTATCGAACGAGGATATAACAAGATGAGATCTGAAAGGAGCCTTTGTATTATCCGAATACGAGCGCGTGATTTGTGTAGCTAGTGATTTCCGCTCTCCGTCTTTCATCAGGTCATCCCATCCACAATCGATCACCAAAGTTACCGGGACCAGCAGTCGGCGTTGAGGTTGCACTTGATCTTTTTGTACATTATTATCCTTGTTTTCTTCTGCATTTTGCCTGCGTTCTTCTTTTATGCGTTCCCTCCGCTGCGCCTTCCTCTCCCTCCGCTTTATCCTGCGTTCGTCCTGTTGCGCCTCCCATTGCTGCACTTTCTTCAATTTCTTCTGCTGTCTCTTTGACAGACGAACTACCTCTGTTGTTCCATTTTCTTCTTTCTCTGTTTGTCCATTTGCATTCTCTTGGCGTTCAGAAGCCTCGATTGACAACGCCGAGTTGATGGTTCCGTCGGCGGGTTGCTGGCCAGCTTCCACAGCACTATTTTCGTTTAATGCACCAGACATAAGAGGTTCGTTATTTTCCGGCGTATCCTGTTGTGGATCGACCAATTCGCCACCGTGTCCAAGCTTCTGGAGCTTCCTAGGCCGCTCTTCCTCCTCCATTTTGCTGGTGGTTGATTAGAGGATGGTTTCGTCGCGATAAATTTGTACCAAGCTTCGTGCCGCCCTAAGATAACTGCCGCAAGTAGCTGGGACCAATCGCATTCTCGCGATTGGATTAGGTAAATACGGCACGTGACCCCACAACAATATATCTTCACTACTTTTGTATCTCTTAAATATCAATACTTAGGTCGTTTTAGGTGTACATGAGATTGATGCACTAGGGTTGATTACTCTCGTACACTGCTGGAGCAATACATGGTAGATCCTTCGGTATCTTTCAACCCGGACGCCCTTCGAAGCGTCGGAAACAGCCATATAGTTTGGCCAGTTTTCTGTTAAAAGATATACTCGGCAGACCATTGTTGTGTAAGCTATTGTCTTATTCTGCCTGTTTTTGTTGAATGGCAAGGTTAAGACATACATGGTTATCCGCGCCTCTTTCTGACAAAACCAGTGCGGACATTTCCCTCCCTTTGGTGTATTTCCGGTGATTGTAATTTCAGATCTAGGGACAGGCATTACGATCCTGGTATTGCCATTGTCTATTGTATGTTTTTTCACCCTCTTGAATATACCCCTCATCAGAGATAATGGATCGACCATCGTCTATACGCTTAAAATTGCGTCTTTCCTTCCAATATTGCTACATGGTTGTTCGCGAGTATAAAACCACCACCTGGGTTTCGCCGTCATAAGCAAAGGATACCATCGTCAATCACAACTAGTTGACACTGTTTGATATGTAACTTGGGGTATATCGAACCGGTTGGGCCCTTATATAGGGCTATTCTTAGGGGCAGCTCGCTGCAACAAACCAAAACGGGAATAATTATGACAGGCAGTCTCCCGCCCCCTAAGAATAACCCGGGAATCTATATAAATCTATTACAAGAAAACTATAGATATTTCGCCAAGCCATACAAGATAAGACCAGTATCATAGAGGTAGTAGCCCGGATATTATCCTGTGGGTAGTATGAATAATTCTAGGGAGTATGTGCCTAAGTACGGAGATGGTGAGTGAGAGTACAACTCTGAGATCCGATTGAAAAAATCATATCTTCCTTTATAAAGCTGCATAAGCCTATTCATTTTCACATCTCAACAAAAAGCCAGCAAACCAAACACCATGTATTTTCAACTCTGCTCGCAAGTCGTAGAATAGTAACAGCCACCTCTGATTGGACAATGCATGATAGCCATAGCACCGATGATCCCACCAATCAGCGTTATTCCAGATCTGATCTTGACATGAAAATCACGTGACTTTCCAACGTCAATTCACCTCGATCGTTCCCGAACAACAACCTCTCTCCACAACTTCCTCCAGGTTTCAGCGTCCACTCCTTTGAAGCCAGCCACAATGCCGCAGGATATGCCCCCCGCTGGGGGCTATCAGCCTGTCCAGTACAAGGTTTGTCTCCTCTATTTCTGCGAAAGTCCACGAAGCAATGCAATTGAGCAAATGGCTAACCGTTCCGGGTGTTATAGCGTAACCTGCCTGTTCGCGGTTTCAAGCCTTTTACCTACCTCGTCGGCATGCATCTCATTATGGGCTATGGGTTTTACAAATACTATTATGGATCGCGTGAAATGAAGTATGTCTTATGTTTTGTCTCTACGGGTGTCGCTGTCGATTGGAATGAAATCTACGGCGGCGGGCATTTCGGAAAGCACCCACTCTACCTTTAAATACATGTTTAGCCAGGGTTATGCTCTAACCGCCTTTTTCTTTCGCACAGTGAACTCGCGCGTGAGAAAATGTGGTCTCGTATTCACCTCATCCCACTCCTCCAAGCCGAAGAAGACCGCGATCAAGTCCGCCGACACTTTGCCGACCAGGCTCGCGAGAAGGAGCTTCTCGGTACTGAGACGCGCGTATACAACTCTGACAGGTATGTCGAAAGCTGTTCTTCATTGGATGCCTATATGCATTATCTTAACATGACTTTTACCAAGATTCGTCCGCCCGAGTTACGCATATACCCCCGCCAATCTCACCCGATAAGCAGAAGCAAGAAGGTTTCATACTACAAAAGAAAATTTATCACTAGTAACCTGCAGAAGCATGTCCGATAAAGCGTCCTGTCCTGACCAGTTCTGTTATGTTATCGATTGATTGATAACGGTGATCATTTATGTCTCATTTGTTGTTGCCGAATTGCTTACGCTTCGCTTGACCTGACTGACCCTCTCGGGTAAAAGAATACTGAAATACTTAACAGTTCGTGGGGATGTGAGAGCACACAATGGATCACAGCGAGAGGATGATCAATGTACATACTCTAGAAGTTTTGTTTTGATAGATGGGAAAGTTTCTGTGTTTTCTATTCTTTCAATTCTGTTACATTCTCGTATTCTATGCGGGATAAATAACTGTAAAGTGCCTATGTATGCCGTAATTTTATTTTTTTTTCCCCATATTTTATAATACCAAACCAAACCGAATAGATGCAGAAGAACAGGACATGTATGTCTATGAACGTTGTATATAATACTGGCAGTCAGACCTCCGACCAACCCATAACAAAGAAATTAGAATATGTGTTATGTATTAACCTAACCAAACATGTCCGCTATTCCGCCAAGGTCGGGGCCATCATCAATGTCGACTTTGAGTTTTTGCTGGCCTTCCATATCCGCAGGCGCCGTCGACATGTATCGCTGTTGCATAGCGCTGCGAGCCTTGCGGCGCTCTTCCCGTGTTCCAATGATCTTTCCTTGCTCGGAGATGCTGACCCCCCGTAGCCCTTCTAGTAAATCCAAAACAAGCGCGCGTTGCTGGCGACCTGAAGTTGAGCTCATGAGGGATGTTTCTGTGTAAGAAACTCGTTGCTCGGTCATACCCGGTAGACTGAGCATCACCGAACGGGGGGCAGGTGTGCTTGGGCCGTAAAGTACCCATATCGAAGCGATCAATGTTGCGAGATCTCGTTGCATATCGACAAAATATGGTTCGTGAACCGACGTAATGCATGCACGAAGTACTTCTGTAGAGATAAACTCTCGAATGGTAATTGCTGTGGGAGTATTGACAGGAGGAGCAAAATCGACAAGAATGGAACGAATGACTCTGGTGATGATGCTGCCGCATCTGGTATCTCGCATACGAAGAGCATGAGTGCAAAACATGAAAACAGGTTCCAAGATTGTTGGATTCGAAAGTACAAAGTGTCTCATTGAGTTTGCAAGCGACACTGGTGCTTGAGGTGCGCTGAGTTCATCGCTAGATATTGCCTCTGGATCTGATCATAACTCAGTCAATATAAATCCTTCCAGTTCGCGCCTTGAATCGGATAAAACTCACCACCTCTCTGGGGATCCAGAAGACTGGCAACCATAATGACCGCGGAATAGGTTAATTGACGAAGAATACTTTCATCCTTCATTTCCTCAGTCAAATCGCCCTCCAGAAGGCCTGTTTTACGTTGCTCTATAATATCCCATTCCTGTGTGACCTTCTTGTCGATTTGGGTGAACAAAGTGCTGATCATGGGTGGCAGGAAGTGATCGCGAAACTGAACTGGGCAGTCGTCAATGAGGCAGCGAGAGATATTTAACAGAACAGAGAACTGATGTGAAGACAAGTGAGTTGAGTCGCTGAATAGAGCTTCGGATAATGGACCTGGCAATTCTGCAAATCCATAAAAGTATTGACGTAACCGGCTCATGCTGAAAAGCATCGAATAACATGACTCCCGTACCGCTCTGACCTTGCCCCGAACGGATGACGCAAATCCTTCAAGTGTAGCTTTTGACGTGGTAATTTTTGTATAAAAGTCATCACGACTTCCCGTCGAAATTCCGGCTTGCCAGAACCGATCCGTAAGTATTCGACCTACAACATCCTTCATATTATCTGGAAGATTATTCCAGTTTTTTGGGTTGTGGAAGGCATGGGCATGACTACAATTTGTCAGAGTTAAAAAATCAGCGATGGAAGACTGGTTACCTACCCAATCAATTGCAATAATGTAGGGAGGATAATAGGAATCACGTCACGCCAAAGAGCACATCCCAATTCATACGCAGGATCTGTTCGTTTGAGCTTCTCTGTTGAAACAGCAAGCAAAGTCTTCGTCCCGCGCAAAGGGAGTTGCTATTTTCACAAATTAGAAGGAGAAAATTCATCGAACTTGGTCTCACATACCTGAAATCGTTTCGTCATTTGTTCTTGGATATCTTTGCCTAAATCGTCTAGGGGAATACTCGTCCACTCTTCAATATTTGCAGCTTGTTTGCTTTGCATGTACGGTCCCACTTTTTCCAACCCTAGAAGTTCGCAGAACCCTGTGAAGGAAGCCGACATACCCCTGAAATCTGCATTTTGCCAAGCGTTCCGAACAGGCTCCATGAAAGAGTTCAGTCTTTCCTCACGGATATGGGGATCAACGTTTTTTGTACGTTGCCTAACTAATGTCAGCAATGAGCCCTCATAAATTGCAGCAAAGACAAGCTTACGTGATGATCAGTAAGACGGAAATGAGTTCAGTCTGGAGCTTATCATCTAATTGATGTGCAGCTGCAATCTCACGTATCTTGGGTTCTAGCACGTCGTAGAATGTCTATAAGTCCGTTAGTCAATTTATACTTTGACAAACGGTTGCAGACTCACAAAGAAGTAATCAGCGTATCGCATTGACAACCTGCGCAGTTCATGACTCGCTAGACTGTGAAGCTCCCTCACTGCGTCCGAGTAAGCTGGATATTGCCGTTGTTCCTCGAGGTGGGTCATCAAAATATGTTCCAGAACTTTAAGTGCAAAACTGGGTGTTTTGTCAAGAGCTTTAGCGGATATATCAACAACCAGCCTGATGACCCTCTGTTTAAGGACGGGATCCTTGATTTTCTTCGTGAGTACAGATGCCCTCAAACTTGTTATTGCAGAAGCTTACCTCGAAACTTCTCTGCATCAGACTCATAGCCCAGTTCTCTATTGTAAGCTCAAGCGCAGTCCGCTGCTGCTCCTGATTTATCTAATTAGTGACATGGATGTTGGTCTGCATGAGGAAGATCATACATCTTGTTGTGGACTGCCACCATGTGCTATTATCCACTTTTGATAACCCTTCAAAGTTGCTTCAACGACGGAAAACTGCGTATCGGCACGCATAAGCGGAAACGACAACTTTTGAAACGATGCAACTATCTCACGGTTAGTTATGAGTCTTGTAAGTTCGGCACAAGGTATTATACCACTGAAGGGCTGGACACCGCTGTAAAGGTTGTTTATATTCTGATCTACCCCAGCAAGGATATGAGGGACGGCTTCATGTGGTCTCTTCTGAACTATTATCTCTATCACGGTTGAGCAATAACGCCGGTAATTGCCCACGAAAGCGTGACGCTCGGGTATGGTATCTATATCCTCATTCAGGAATAGAATGGTGGGATCTTCTGAATCTTCGGGAAGATTTTCCCAGCGTACTAGCCGTTGCGTGCATATTTCGAGTAGGGGTGCGACCAAATTTGTTACAGCTTGCATTTCTTCGATCCTCTCCGTTGCAAGCAAGCGTGACCAAGAATGCAGAACCGGAATTGAAACAGTCAGGCTCTGGTGACGAAGAATTTCAATCAAGAATTCAAAAAGCAAGGATATTTCTATGCCTTGGGTACCCTGCAGCTCCAGATCTTTCTCTTCCAAGAAAGTGGCAGCGTAGGACATCAGCTGCAATAAGACTCAGCTACAAGCTTCCAAGATATAAAACAGAGTTTGGACAATCAAGCATACCTCGGACAACTTCTTGGCTATTTGATATCTCGTTTCATCGATATCGGCGGCATCAACGGCAGTCCATTGGTACAATCTTCTCAACAACGACAAATGGTCTGCATTGTAGATGCGCTCGACCAATGGCCCAAACTCCTCAATGTCAACATTAGACCTGCTGTACAGAGAATGTAAGGCCTCTATAGCTGCCTAAAAAATTGATTAGACCTTGTTCACGACGGCTGCATGGTTGGGAATTACCAGAAGAATGTGTTCATTTTGCGAATTAAGGATGTGGCATATCGTTGTAACGATATTGCATGAAATAATAGCCTTGGGGATAGACCAGACCAAGGCCGTCCTAAGAACAGCAAGAGCCTTCAATGTGCATTCCTTTGCCTGGCGAGAAGTATTGACGCTACCAATACAGTCTCCTAGCAAGATACAGATTCTTGACAGCCAGCCGTCTTCTTGGTAACGAATTTCTGATCGGTGCTGCTCTCTTTCTGGATAAGTCTCACGGAAAACGGAAAGAGGGGTGAAAACCTCGACCAACGCCCTGTTCAGGTCCGACCCACGTAACGACGATACGGTGTCCTCCCGGAAAAAAATATCTTCTGACAGAGTCTCCAATACAGTTAGCACCAACTCTTTGTGCAAAGCGGTTGCATTCCAGAGGTTGAAAAGATCCTGGTCCATGGCGTTCCAATCGATGCCCCAGCTGCGTTTGGCCACCTCGGCCCACAGCTGGGCGACCTTGTTGCGGTAATAATTTGGGTCTTCCTCTCGTATTCTTTGTGCAAGCTGTATGACCATTTCCTTCAGGTCCAATATCTGGGCGGACGAAAGGGCAAACCCAGTGTGAAGCAAGACGTGGTCGAGAAGTGATAGGCCAAAATGCCTAACCAGCGGCGAGTTGTCAAGATTTGACGCAAGTAAAAATCCATTGCGGGCAGCTAGGCTATCCTGCTTCTTGGATTCCAAATATTGGAGAGCTTCTTTACGCAATTCATTCGACGAGGTGGGACTGTGAGATACTTCTAGAGCCTGGATGATGTCGGTCATGCCATCTCCGAATTGGCCGTTGGCACTCATGGTTGGATATTGGCTGTCCAGCCGAGTGCTCACTTACACGCCAATGTCTAGCCACTGGGGCCACTTAGGATTCCGTGATCTAGAAACAACAAATCCTTTGTTTTGTTCTTTTTTTCTTTTTTGTTTGTTTGTTTTCAGAATTGCGCAGCAGGCATCATCATCATCCACGAGTTCGCCAGCCGGAAAATTGCTTTGTATTGAAGGAATAAAGAGAGAATGAATGAGAAGTGAGCTTTCAGAGTCAGAAGAGGGGGGAAGAATCTGAGGTTCGCCCTTTTGCTCCGTCCTTCCTTCCTTCTTTCCTCCTCTCTCTCTCTGCCGCCTTCCCGTTTGCGGTCTTTGAGCCCCTTTTGCTTTTCTTTTTCTTGTTTTTCTCTGCTTCTTTGTATGCAGATTTATTTCAAATTCCTTCAGGTGCGAGAGACCTCCGGGTTTAGCACGCGACTCAGTTAATATCAGGGAACAGCCGTTTGCCACTCTCCTTTCTTTGCTTCACTTTTCTTTCCTTTTTCCCACTTCTCTAACAGTAGATTGGCCTCTGCAAGACTAGAGGGCAGTCAGCGCGTTTGTTTGGTGGGACGCAGCAAAGAATTATAGATCTCAAACGCTGCTCCTCGTGGGGAGAGGCGAAAATCGCGCAGAGCCGTCGATCAATTCATGCCCCAAAACAGACAGGGGCACGTGTTTTAGACACCACACTGCTTCAGTTCGAAGGGCGACGGGTGCAGAACACCGCGGTACTGCAGATAAGTCTGAATCTTACGCGCAAGATGAGAACCAAGGCAGAAAACAAATGTTGAATTGAAACGCTGCCCGATGTATGAAGAGCGAAAGAGCTGCAGCGTTAGCTCAGCTAAGCTAATTATCGATCACTCTAGTCCGTATGCAGATTAGTGCTTATGGGTCCGCTCAAGCCTCAAGGTCAGGTGACCCCGACGAGACTAAGCAACTGTGCCACAAGTTGGTTGGTTGGCGCCTCGCAAACAACCTTCCTCGAGACAAGCAACTTCAAAAAGTGCTGCAAAGGGTCACAGTCTCCAGTTACAACACAAGCAGCCTCGTGCTAAATACAAGTTTTGCTATGGCATCAATCCCGTCTGAAAACATGTCTCCGGGTACTCTTAGGCAGCAGCAAGCTTTGTTGTCTGAGACACTATTTAACATACTAGGTAGTAAGTAGGTGGCAATCTCTTTACATCGCCAACTCTAAGCTTCTCGACAAGCCATGAATCGCATTAATCTCAACCACCTTCCCACGGAGCTTTTACTCGAAATCGGCGATCACCTCTCAGATGATGTGGACCGGGCCTGTTTAGCCTTTGTGCTCTGTGGAATGTCTGAACAAGCTGGGTACACACTTACTATCATCTTTTAAAACAAGGTTCAGTCCTGGGCGAGAAGCTTTCCTGACTCGATTAACTCGATCAACGCCCTCGCTGATTTTCTGTTATGACTGCTCACTCCTCCATTCATGGGCTGAAATTTCTACTCCCTACGCCCTGGGACCTAGAGGTATTCTCTTCTTTCAATCTTTGCGAAAGGGATCATGCAGTACTCTGGATAAAAGCTGGAACCCTGTCTGGTTATTTTCATTTTCGTCCTATTACAACTTCAAGCACCTGCATCTTCAGCTAGCCATGCAACGACATAACTTGGGGCCCGGTTACGGCATAGACTTAAGCATGTTGTCTTATATTGAGGTGAAAAATAGGTTCCACGAAACTCACGGCTTTTATAACGAAGATATACTCGACCTAACATCCATTGATGCGCTCATAACGTCTCATCCAGCTACAGGGGAAGATTGCTTGTACTTGCGTGTTCAAGAATGCATACATGCTCGTGGTGAATTCCTTCATATCAGGGACCTCTTATTACATCGCAAGCACTCGGGGGTGTGTAAACATCACTGGGACCTTCATTTAAGTAATTCCAGATTCTTTAGGTCATGCGACTTGAGTGGAGAAACATTTCCCTCTCCGGATACGTGCCTCGAGTGCTCTCAATGCGGAGTGAATGTTCAGATTCACATGTGTCAATTACCGGCCCCGGGACCGTCGCCGTAACTTTCACCAGATGGCTCAATCTAGGGCCAGGGCACAGCCCTAGGGAAGAGACTTGGGTAAATCATGGGTACTGGAACTGGAGGAAGCACGTCATATTATCGATTGGAAGCGGTCTTATTCGGCAAACGTTTGAGGAAGCTTCAGCGCCTGCCACAAAGAGACCTTTCACTTCGCAATAATATTCTCCTGCGAAACGAAGCATACCGGAAATTCCTAACTCCTAGAAGTGCTTCTCCCTTTGATAATAGTCTCGAGAGTCTTTGGGATTATCGCGGAGATCTTCCTCTAAGCGCGGTACTATCCAATACGTAAATTTATGAGCATGGGGATGAAATATCGCGCATATTTTTCAGCAGAACTCCCAGAGTAAATCCATGATCCTCGTATTCTCTATCAGTCTATCTTTCTACCTAGCTTGCGGGTACAAAATGACTGACATAGGGGTATATAATATAAAAATTTCCCAAGACAACTTTCCTGCCCAGCCCAGATTTTTTCCAGTATGTCCGGGCTTATGAAGATACTCCATGGATATTAAAACCCATGAATAGCTCGTTACGACCAAGAAAATCATGAACGAATCGTGTTTCACGTTCGTGCCTCCACTTGGAATGACAGGATTTCCAGCTGTGGTCGTTCCGTGCCCTAAGTCCGTTATGCCCGCGGAGTTAATCGAGGAATGGCCAGACTCCAAGATTATTTAAGACGCACTCTCTGCTGATGGTTTGGGCTTATTTATTATAAAATATCAAACCAGAAGCAATAATAAAGTCTTTTATAAGGGGAAAAAAAACATAACTCTCTCATAAAAAAATGTCTTACCTAGCTCCCTACGCCGCCGACCATGAGGACACCAATGGACCAGGCGATGCTCGTCCAACAGCCCTCAAAGTCATTCGTGACCAGAAACTCGACGGCACTTTGGCAGGAAAGGTGTTCTTTATTACAGGTGGCACTGGTGGTATCGGGCTTGAGACAGCACGGGCAATCCATGTTGCCGGCGCAGATGTCTATATCACGGGCCAGAATCGCGAGAACGGAGAAGCTGCGGTAGCTTCAATTACCGGCGATGGAAAGCCTGGAAAAGTCATTTTTCTAGAAATGTACCTTCATACTCTCTCAAATGTGCGAGAGGTCGCGAAGAAGGTATTAGAGCTCTCAGGAGGAAAATTGAATGTTCTGGTTTGCAATGCTGGTACGTGAAACTGCAATGAACTTTTCGGTTCTTTGGCAGCTAATCATTATAAATCCAAAAGGCATTCGTGGCTATCCCAAGGACAAAACCACAGACGGCTTTGAGCAGCACTTCGGAATCAATCACCTAGGCCACTTTGCGCTTTTTCAAGTGGTCAAGGACGCTCTCATCGCATCGTCCACTCCCTCCTACAATTCCCGAGTCGTTGTGCTTAGTGCACAGGGACACCGACAGTCTCAGATCCGGTTCGATGACCTCAACTTCGAGAACCGGCCCGAGGAGTACCAGCCTCTTCTCGCATACGCCCAGTCCAAGGTAGCCAATATCTACATGTCGAATGAAATCGAGCGTCAATTCTCCGCGCAGGGCGTCCATTCCACCTCCGTTAACCCGGGCGTCATTTTGGGTACTGGATTAAATCGCAAAACGCCACCGGAGCAGATGGCTGGCCTGCTGAAGATTCCTGCTATAAGAAACGGCCTCAAGTCGGCGGAGCAAGGCGCTGCAACCACTGTGTGGGCTGCTACGGCGAAGGAGTTTGAAGGTGTTGGGGGCAAGTTTTTGGAGAATGTCCAGGTCGCTGGTCCGTATGACCAGACCAAAGGTCAGTTTGCACCTGGATTTGCAGAGCATGCTTATGATGAGGATGCCGCGAAAAAGCTTTGGGTGGAAAGCTTGAAGTTGGTCGGATTGAAGGAGTAACCTGTGCCAACACGTAAAATGATCAGGCAGTCAATTCAAAGTCATTTTCTACCTAGGTATTCCGTGGTGCATGCTTGGATTTTAAAATATGTCGGTCTGTCGGACAGGAGGCTATAATATAATAATTAGTTGTCAATTGGGCAGGCCGTAGATTGAAAATAGACTGTTAGTGTTGGAAAAGCTGCGTTTTGTCTCTAGGTCTTGCTCGTCGATGTGACTCAATACGCCTCGATTCATTGTAGCGAGTCACACATTGGGTGTCTTTATTACACATATTCGAATATTCTTCTGTCATATAGTCGTGGAGGTTTATTATTGCCCATCAGATCATAACCAACCAGGCACCAGAAATGCGTTCATCTCCTAAGAATCAGATTAGATGCATCTCAAAGATGTCCGGAAAATAAACAGAAAATCGGCAGAGCCAGAGATTGTCTACCTCTGAAACTCTTAGAGTCTCGAAGAGCTAGCAAGGAAGAACTACGAGGGTATAGGCGGTTTGCATAAGGCTTTTGAAAGAATGTAGAAGAACAAAAAAAAACAAGAAAAATATGGGTCCTTATCAGCGTATTACCTAGCCGGGTGAACATCAGACGAGGATCTCTCAAGTGAGGTTGAGGTATACGCAAGAGCTCTCCTTTGCGAATATGCCAGGGGAGAAAAATACAAAAAAAGAAGCCCGATGCGGGGATCGAACCCGCAACGTTCAGATTTTCAATGATTAAGAGTCTGACACTCTACCGATTGAGATAACCGGGCATGCTTGGTTGATGGTTGGTGACCAGATTTAGCTTTTAAGCGAGATACGGATCTGGAGAAAGAAAAAAAAGAATGTGGATGCACGGATCATTGATGATCCGCAGCGGAAAAATCAAAAAGATTAGCCCGATGCGGGGCTCGCTATACAATTATCATTCCCTCCTCTTCTTGAAGTGATGAATAACAGTATTCAATTAAAAAAAGAAAGCCCGATGCGGGGATCGAACCCGCAACGTTCAGATTTTCAATGATTAAGAGTCTGACACTCTACCGATTGAGATAACCGGGCATGTTTGGTTGAACAGCGCGGGCAACTTCGAGTACATATAGTTCCTTCACAGGTATCATGCATTCAATCAGTGCTTGAGACTTCACGTTACGCAAGTTATACAAATTCTGATTCGATACAGAGGTTACTTGATTACTATTGACCAAGATGAACTATTAGGAGTGCCAATCCCATGAAGGTAGGGAGATTTTTTTTCTTTTCAGGCGAATGAGAGCGAGATGTCCGGGCCGCAGAGGTACATATATAAATATACATACTCGACGAAGCCTTGATGTGTTCCGGTTAAAAATGAATTTGAAACATGCACCTCACAAAGATGATTCATTTTGATTGACCCAGAACAAAGAATGGAATGATTATCATTGTCAACACTTCCGACTTCTGGCGAGCTTGGCGTCCTCCTCTCACCTATCCTCATCGTAGGGTCATCTCTACCTATCTTCACACGACGCTCACTCTAATCATTCTCTCGTACCTAAGTAGTCAACCATATATGAAGTTGCTAAACATGGAACGAGCAGGGTTATGTAGTTCCCATAGCAATAATGGTGAAGAACAGGAGCAGCCAGCAGCCGCCGCCGTCAACATTGACAACCAGTTACCAGCAGTCAGTTACGAGCACTATCTCTCTCTTTCCCAATTACCTACACCGTGGCTGACCAAGTCCCCTGACAGAACCCAGAAGAGTTGGAACGTGGATACGCGTCAATTGGATATTCTCCATCCTCAACACCGTTCGCTGGTCGCGCAAATGAGGTCTTTCAGTGGATACCACCTCCTCCAACTGAGAAGGAGAAGAAGGGGGAAGAAGAAGAAGAAGAAGATGACATATTTGATACTATGGCACCACCATCCAGGGGATTGGGATCGCGATCGACTATTCATGGACGGATTCCAGGGTTATCGCCGTCATCAGCACCACTACTGTCAGAGGAAACATCCTTACCCCAGACAAACAAGTCGTCATCATCAGCATACCAGGATGCCGAATATGTCATCAACATTGAGCGGCAAGGCTGTTTTATGCGTAGGTCACCCACTGGTCATGTTCTAGAAGATATTGCGCTTTGCGAGCGACTTCTTCTTTCTCAACAACCAACCGACACTCCTCCCATTCAGGATACCATGTTTGAGGATGACTGTATCGAGGACTTCCACCAGGCATTACGGAACCGATCAGAAACCCGGATCCTAGTGGATTTACACCCGCTCCTTATGCCATGCGCCGAGAAGCAGCATATCAAGAAGCGTGGAAAAAACCAGAAATTCCTTGAGGATATTATTGATTGCTTCAATGATCCATGGAACCAGGCAATTTGTGGTCCTAGACCCCAACCAGATGATGCACGCGGGTTGAAAGAGTCGACATTTTCATAAAGCCAGCTGCGAAAACTTAGAGGGAAAGCGACGATATCGTCGCCATACGCAATGCGAAATGATATGTACTTTCCTTATTTGACAGCCGAAATCAAGCCGGACACTGAGCCTTTGGAATTTGCTGATCGCGCAAATATGCACAGTATGTGTATTGCTCTGAGGGCCGTGGTCCGTCTATCCCAAGCAGCCGGGTGCCGTGAAAAAGTCCATCGAAGGATCCTTGGACACCTGAGTCTTGTGATTGGCACCTGCGGACAGGCCTTCGTACGATGATTGAGAAGCAGCTGGAAGAACAAAAGGCACACCTCATCGCTCAACTGGAGCAACTGAGACTGGGGGAAGAGGAATGGTGTGTCGAATACAAGGCAAGGGAAGAGAGACTTTTCGCTCAACTGGACCAGATACAGTGAAAAGGGGTTTAGAGCGATAGATATATGTATGCAGAAAGATATCAATTGGCGGCCGGAGATCACTTCTTCCATGAAATAAAACGAACGCCCAATGACCGAAGACAAAGTCCATATGCAAACGCAAACAATCTGAGTGCCTATGATGTGCTATAAGTTGTTGCTTTCTGGGTGTAATATTTACACCAAAATTAATGACGACGGAAGATAATATGGCCATATCAAGCCCGAATACTGCACTGGTAGCCTAGCCACAAATTCGAGCACGTTCCATCCAAGCCTGGATTCAAGTTTATGAACTGGGTTACAGTAACCCAACTTCAACCTCAGCCTGGCGACACTAGTTGCCAAATTATGCAGTATAGTACTTCGTACAAGGAACAGCTTCAGTATTGATAGGGTCAGATGAAGAAGAAGTTGGAGTAGCAGCAGTAGATGTAGCAGATACTACTAGTGTGGTTGTGGTGGTAGTTCCAGGAGTCTCAGCAGAAACCGGCAACGTGGTGGTGGTTAAAGCTGGGGAAGAGGTGGTACGAAAAGAGGACTTGTGCTTAATCATAGTTATTCAACATCCCTTGTATCACGAAGACAACGATACTTGTATATTCTCTTGCTCGATTCACAATAAGATACATTACTAGACATTCGCAAGTGCCTGGTGTTAATTTTTTTTTCTTGTTTGCCTTTATAAACCTGGTTGAATCCTCCAGCTTGTTCGTCTATTTTGCTTGGTACACCAGATTTATGCCGCCAGGTAGTCGGGGTGATTCAACAAGGATCCCTTCACACTACACGGGCCAGTCGCACAGTTTCCACATTTGCAGTTTTTCAGTGTGCGAAGGCTGTCGAGAAGGCTCGAGCGACATAGTTCATCAACCGATGCATTATTGGGGTTTATCATGCTTGCAATGATGGTGCCGAGATTCATATGTGACAGGAAATGGCAATATGTCTGACAGATACGACGTGCCCAGATGTCGCGACAGCATAGTACTGTTTGGAGGATGGTCTCTCGTTGAGGAATCTCTATATTATTATGTTGGAGTGACCCCTTTGAATTGATACCCGTGTCGCCATCATCATTGCGGGTCACTACTAAGCATATGGTTAACGTTGCTGCGTAGAAATCGTGTTTAAAATATTCACCCAACCACACCCGACCTTGGGGACTATTTGAATCCTCCGATAGTTGCCGCTGAATGACAAGAAGTGCGAGGGAGCATTCCAGAGTGGACCAGTACGATACTGGAAACTCGACATCCGCGTTGGGCATTAGCCCATGGTAGGAGTGCAAGGCTAGTAGAATACGCCGCAAGAAAATTTCCAGCATAAACTTCTGGTTCTGTTTCCATTCCTCCGGTGGTGCCAAGGGGGACTGGTAGTACAGTTGTGATATTTCCTTGAGGAGGCTCCTGAGCTTCAAATCGTACACAAGGACGTCCTCGTACTGCAGCCGCGTGGATGTCGAGTTTGCGTGAATTATCACATCAAAGGCCATATAAGATGACCGTGCGAAAAATATTGACAATGTAGAATCCGTAAATTCTGATAGGGGTCTTATGACGGGATGGTGAAGTATTGAAGGATTCAAGTCTTTGTTGTTCAGGTTCGCTGGCATCTGAGTGTCAATATCAGACGATCGAAATAAGAATGGTGTGCCAGTCAAAATTGAGGTGCTAGCTTCCATCAATGCAATAGTTGTCCACAACTTTCTGCGCATTTCTAACTCAATAAAGGGTGTCTTTCCGAAGTCATGTCGTGGATCTACGTTCAGACCAATGGCCATGGCCATTCTGACAACAGTGCTCATAAGAGGCCCACATGCATCAAGTTCGAGGCAAGTAGACGCAAGTAAGCGTCTAGATAAAACCATCATACTGAGAGTCCGCAATGAAGTGAGCGTAGGGGAGAAGAGAAAATTTGTGCTTCTAAGGCAGGTCCCGGCTCCTCGAAAATACTTGCTCAGAATTTCCTCCTCAATTGGCCTTAAGTTTACACCTCTCGACAGGTGATAACCCAGACCCAGCATCACAAGAAACTGCCCTAACCAACCATCGTCTACTTCTGCAGGGTTTTCCCAAAATAGCTTCAGTTCTTCGTGAAAGGTTGGCGGGTGCAACAAGGGGTGTGTCCTTTCAATTGTATCCATATAGATAGCGATAAGGAACATAGTGGTAGGGCGGTCAGGAACATAAGTCAGAATCTCCTTCTTGCTTGGGGATTGATCCTGATACCCAGATCCGAATGGATAATTAGAGGGGAAAATGGAACTGGTGAAGTTTCTGGCGATATTTCTGAACATCTCTGTGAGAGAAGTTATATGCAACCGCTTAAGCGCACTATCATTAGAAGTACCGTAGCCATGTTGGATCTGCATATAGTAAGTAAGAGGCCTCGAAATTTGGCGTGGTAGCTAAATCACCTGTTCAGAAACCGAGAGCCAATGTGTTGACCCTCGAAGTTTGGATTTCCAGCTCACATGAGTCATCATGTTCATGTCCCTATCGGTTCTCTTTGCGGCATCTTCGGTTCTGGATGACGCAGTTCTTGGTGACTCTGAAGATACCATGGAATTTTCCATTTTGATCCTTGGCAGCAAAACTGTAGGCCGAGATCTGCTGGGTGGCTCTTGACTTGATACAGTAGAAGCACTAGCCTGGTCTTCATCCGACGACACTACACCGTTCGACGGTGTGTTTGTGTTTGAAAACGCAGCGTACTGACAGCTTGCAGCTCTGTCGCTCCATACGCAATGGCGACAGGGATGACCCCGATCACATTTCACTTTGAGCCGACGACAAGGCAAACACGAGAGCGTCTGGCGCTGCCGGCGGCGTACTGGTTTCGACAGCACGGAGCTGCCGTGCAACATGACTTTGGAGGATGCGCTGTGGTCAACCATTTTGCATCGAGCGGTACTAGCGATAGGACTACCATGTCTTTGATGGGCTATCTGTCGATGCGAGTAATAATATATAGTGGAAGGATGCGATGGATGGATGGATGCGGGTTAGCTGCGCTAGTAACCAATGTGGTTTAGCTACCGTCCTTGGAATACCAATGACGCACATACCACATACTAGAAACTAACTTAGATATGGAACGTCATTAGCTATTGGTTTTAGACAAAGGCATGCCTATTCTCAGAACCTATCGTGAAGTACGGGACATCATGACCCGTGCTACAATGTCTAGTTGATTCAAAAATTATTACAGTAGACTCTCTTCACATGATAGTGCAGTTCCTTTGGCAATGTTCCAGATATGAATCGTCCTCGTATCTGACTGCACCCTGACCGGCTGTGCGTTTGACCCCCTGGATTTTGATACCTTGATCCCCTTCACCATGCCACCATTTAAGGATTTGGACAGAGCTAGACGCTTCTTCTTGGAACTCAATACACCATTTACCTCCGCTTACCGCTACCACGGTTTCCGAGGCAGGAAAGTGAAATTCGGGAAGGTAGATTTCGGTGGGCGCATCCTGGCTAGTTGCGTTATCGGTATTAAGTGAGAGCGTAAACGTGCAATTCTTGAGATCAAAGTCATGTTTGAGGACGTCTCCAGTTGTGTAGATAGCACTAGGACGGATGTATGCCTCCGCAGCCCTATAGCCAGGTGTGCTGTCTGGCTCAGAAGGCACTCGAGATGACTGGGGAGAGATGGATGGAGACTCCAAGACATTCTTGATATTGTGGTGGGTAATTTTGCCGTTACTAGTCGAGCTCAAGCTTCGAGAGAATGACGGTGAGTTTCGATTCAATGACGTTGTTGAGCCGGTGGTTATTATAGAAGACTCTATGTTCGGCAGTTCGAGGTCATCTTTAGAAAATATAGATAGGTCCTCTCCGTTCCATTGATCTCCCCATTGATGGTTGTTCTAACCAGAAGTCAAGTCAGTAAATGCGACTATTCGCCTGGCAGGCCGTGTATTACCTACCTCTGTCATATACAGCCACAACGTGAAACCATTCGATCCACTGCCTTCTAAAGCGAAATGATTCGCATCCATGGCGCTAATTTGGCTACTATAATCACCCGTCTTGTATGCACTTTTTTCGTCCATGTCATAGGGAATTCCAATTTCCGTAAAAAGCAGAGGATGATCACCCATATACTCGAAGCTCTCATCACGCAGAAATTTGAGCTGGTTGCGTAAACAGTTTCGAATTGCAGATTCTCCAACTTTAACAGCAAATGCCGGCGTCCAGTACTTGCCGCGGAGAACGCCTATCACATCGACATTGTACAATCGATTCCTGCATTTTCTCAGTTCAAATGCCTTCAAAAGTTGTCTTTCACTGGTTGACTTACCAATGCTTTGTGAGTAGTGTCAATCCGTCATAATAATGCACGGCATGCACCATATTGGGGTCATCGTCTTGCGTCCCCTTCAGCTGTGGTGGCACTTCCATAACTGGGGGTTGACACAGAAGTATACTCTCCAAATGAACGCTTCGAATAGCATCCCTATAAGCTCTGTAGTGTTCCATAAAGTAGGTATTGGTAAAGACGTCGTAGTTTAGGGCCTCTCCTGTATTTGGAATTTTCGAGAAGTAATCCTTCTGCAGTAATTCGTCTGAAGAGGGGTCCCAAACGCCGTGCTGTGCCCATATGCACTCTCCAAGTTTCCACCCGGGGTCTCGTTTCCAGCCATATTTTCCATCGTCATAATCAGTTGGCAACCACGCAGACTCTCCCTCCGGATCAACCAATTCTCGGCCGGTTTGATGAGGCCCGAAACTTCCGAAAGCCCATGTGCTCTGCTCAGAGGGACGGCCGGATCCCGTCAGCATAGCTTGGAATGCAGTTGGAGACGTTCCAAGTTGAAGCTGTTGTTCTGGGGGTATAATACTAATGTCCTGATATCCAACCAATCCTCGATTTGGTTCGTTCAAAGATTCCCATCCAATGATAACGTCGTTCTCTAGATCTCCCGCATCGTGAATTTTCTGAGCAAGGTATTGACAAGCCGAAATAAAATGCCCTTGCAAGTAGTCTTGAATGTTTTGTCCATCAATAATTGCTTTGGGTGCAAAATCACGCCCCGCCCAAAACAAGGTGAATATAGTCTGACATACAAGGCGGGTGTAATTCGTACTCCAAATCATTTTTGGGAAAGAAGATGGATCAGGCCATGTATTGTGAATTAGAGCTGCTTGAGTCTTGTTGAAATTCTTCGGATTGAAGCCTGCAGCATATAGTGTCCATAGAGGAGCACCAGAGCCACCAGAGAATCGGGACCACTGAAAACAGTAAGCCATATGTTCCAGCACAAACAATTGTTATCGGGTATACATACGACATCCTGATGGGGATCCATAAAAACGTAAAAATTGTGTTGCTTTGCGATGCGCAAGACTTCAATTGTATGAGAAATCCACTCATCGTCGTACTTCCCCGGCCCTGAATGCTCAATCGCCTCCCAAGTGAAGATGTACCTGATAGTATTATAGCCCCATTTGCGTAATCGGCCAAAATGTGTTGAAGCTTCGTCTGAACCGAATGGTCGGCCAACAAAGGAAACATTGTCGCCGTCATAAAAGTCATCCGCAACATGAGATGGAACGTCCGGATTCTTCGGGTATTTCGCGTCGCCTGCCACGTTGATTCCTCGCAAGGTGATTTCTCGATTGTAGGTGTCACGGAACTTGTGGCCTTCGATACGCAGACGAAGGGGAGCCATTATTTATGAATGAGCAAATGTGATCGGAGTATGGAACAGTCTGACTTCTCGCCTCCTGTGTAGAATAAAGATCATAAATCCCTTAGACAGAAAGCTTCTACAGGACAAGAGACGAGAAAGCTGGCTGTTCTGAGCAGGTAAAGCGCATGACGCCAATCCCCGTGACAACTGGCGATGGTATGCACGTGATGGAGCTCGATTCGGCACTAGACTTATCGGGGTCGCGATAAGCAGCCACGACCGATCTCCGCTCTTCCTTGGCTCTTTCCCCACATCCACAGCTGTGTTTTAGGCGGGACGATTTTCAAGTGACGATGAACACAGCTGCTGGCCTAGCCAAGAATGTCCGCAAAGGCAGCCCTGAAGGCTGTCAAGGCAGCGCTAGACTCTAAGGATTTTGAGCTGGCAGCTAACAAAGCGAAGCAATTAATCGATCGGGAGCCTGCCAATTATCATGCGTATGTGCCATCAGGACCGCTCCTAGCTACAGGCTAACCTTGGTTTCAACGTCTAGGCATATCTTTCTAGGACTGGCGCAGGATAAGCTCGGTAATGCTGACAGAGCTGAATCATCGTACGTTGCAGCATCTCGCATCAAAGACAATGAAAAGACCGCATGGCAGGGACTCGCAAGCCTGTACGAGAAACAGGGGAGTAATAAACTAGACGCATATCGTGAAGTGACTTTAAAATTAGGACAGATCTTTGCAGAAGGGTATGTAGTTGTCTATATACATTCTAACTTTCGTCATTTTGCTAATTGAGACGGGTGCAAAAGTGACGAGCGAGACAAATGCGTCGACGTTGTGGAGAAGTTCGTTAAATTTGTCCGAGAGAACGGAAATCGTGTACAACGGAAGCAAGCTTTACATCTCCAACTTCCAACATGTCCTCTATATCCGTCTTTGGAGGGAAGAGTCCCGCATCCGGCGGATACCTACTCGAGACTGATAGAACTTACCGAGGCCGAGGAAAAGGAATATATCAATCGTGAAATTGGCGAAAGGCGGACCCGCCTTGGTGCAAGAATTGACCAGGTCACTGCAGAAGTCAAGCTTGAGGCACTTAGCAATACAGAGCTGGACGAATACTACAGGGGTCTGATCGACTGGACTACCGACGATGGGGTTAGGCATCAAAGTGAGGAGCGACTGCTGCAGCGAGCATATGACTTGCTCCTAGTCCTTCCTCAAAACCAAAAATCTGGACAACGGGATAACGTGATTCGCTCTGCACGAGATATGGTTATAATAAAACACCCGTTCAACCTGGCATGGAGGATTGAGCTTGAATGGAAGGATGTCGAAGACTTTGCTGACTGGGACCCTATTCTCCTTCGTGAATACACGGAATTCTTCCCAGAAGATGGCGTGAGCAAGGTGATACAAGGTTTTTTGAAGAGCGATCTTTCACCGTTCCCGTCCGAGACGGAGATGCAGGAATCTACTCAAACCGAATCTAGTAGTGAGGATGCAGATATGACTGTAGAAGACCGCTTGATTCTCATGTCCGATGGCCTTGAACAATCGCCAGATTCCATTATAGCTCATCGAGTTATGGCCCAGCTGTACCTGAATTTAGAGGAATATGCAAGTGCGGTCGATGTTGCGCGAAAGGGCATATCAATCATCGAAGGTGCTACTCGGAAAACGGGTTTAAGCCTTGGTGGCACAATCGATTACGTGAAAATTACCTTAGCAACGGCACTCATTTCATATCAGGCACCTCGCAATCATCCCGAGGCGAAAGGTATTTTTGATAGCATCTTGGAACGAAACCCGAGAAACACAAACTGTTTGCTAGGCATCGGTTTGATCCTACAAGAAGATCACAATTATGAGGAAGCATTCGAGTTTCTACGGCGGGCTCAGGAGCGCGATCCATCCAATATCAAAATTCAATCAGAGTTAGCTTGGTGCACGGCGCTCAACGGAGACCTTGAGACTGGCCTGGCAATGCTACAAGCCGTGCTCACGGAAATAGAAGACAGCAAATCACAAAGTCGAGAGTTCAAGGCGGAGATACTCTATCGAATCGGTCACTGCCAATGGGAATTAGAGCCATCTAGCGCGTCGCGAAAGAATCGCAATGGGGCATATGCTAGCTTCCTAGCCTCAGTTCAGTCTGACCTGAATTATGCACCGGCGTATACTAGGCTGGGGATATTCTATGCTGACTATAAGAAAGATAAAGCTCGAGCAAGACGATGCTTCCATAAAGCTTTTGAGCTGTCCTCATCAGAGATCGAAGCTGCGGAACGGCTAGCAAAATCTTTCGCTGATAAACAGGAGTGGGATCTGGTTGAAGCAGTTGCTCAGCGAGTGGTTGATTCCGGAAAGGCAACTCCTGCACCGGGATCTAAACGCAAGGGTCATAGTTGGCCATACGCAGCATTGGGGATTGTGCAACTGAATAAGCAACAGTACACCAAAAGCATCGCATCTTATCAGGCAGCTTTACGTATATCTCCGAAAGATTACCATTCATGGGTCGGTCTTGGTGAAAGCTATCATAATTCCGGCAGGTATATTGCTGCCACCAAAGCTTTTGAGAATGCCGAGGCATTAGAGAACAATCTTTCTAAGAATGATAATGGCAATGTTTGGTTTTCGAAATACATGCTTGCCAATGTCAAGAGAGAATTGGGAGAATATGAAGATGCAATCAGAAGATATGAGGATGTTCTCGCCATTCGCACTAAAGAATTCGGAGTGGTGATTGCACTTTTACAAACATTAACGGAAAGTTCGTGGAAGAATCTCGAACTAGGTTTATTCAATGATGCAGCGAAGTCTGCACGAAAAGCTTTGGATATATCCGGTTCAATGGCGAAGGAGACGCCAAATGTATTCAATTTGTGGAAAGCGGTCGGTGACGCTTGCGCCATTTTCTCTTACATCAAAGCAAAATCAGGACATGTCTCTGCCTTAGAACTACGCTCCCTCCTAATCACCGAAGGAATAGACGGCGCGTATGATCTACTTACCGACACGGATGACGTGGGGAAAGATCATGCGCTATTTGAGATTTCCAAGGAACGTCAAGCACCCTTATCCGACGCATGCATATACGCCTCTATCCTGGCGTACAAACGAGCGGTGTATGTGTCTGCACACGATATTCATGGTCAAGCCGTCTCTTGGTACAATTTAGGATGGGCCGAGTACAGAGCTTACAGATGTATTGAGGGTGGAAATGACATTAAAAAGGAGAAGCGGCAAACGAAGAAATTCCTCAAAGCAGCCATCCGATGCTTCAAACAAGCCATTGAGTTGGAGGCAGGGAACTCTGAATTCTGGAACTCACTGGGAGTGGTAACATCTTCGCTCAGTCCGAAAGTTGCTCAGCATGCGTTCGTACGCAGTCTACATCTGAATGACCGTAGTGCGCAGAACTGGACGAATCTCGGGGCTTTTTATCTGATCAATAATGATCTTCAATTAGCAAATGAGGCTTTTACTCGTGGACAATCTGCCGACCCTGACTATGCTCCAGCGTGGCTGGGTCAAGGTGTTCTTGCCCTTCTCTTTGGGGACCCATCAGAAGCAAGAGCTTTATTCAGACACGCATTTGAAATTTCTACATCATCGTCAACAATAACCAAGAAGCAATACACGCTAAGCCTATTTGATTGTCTTCTTGAAGACGCTTCGATATCCAACGAATTATCGCACTTGATTCAGCCTTTCTTTGCACTCCAGCAATTGCACTTTCAAGAACCATCCGCGCTCTCATTTGAGCATCTTTCCGCCTTGTTTGCAGAGAGAACAGGCGAGTTTTCGCAGGCCGAGTCTGCTCTTGACGTTGTTTGCGCTGGGGTAGAAGCTGAATACGAAATATCTGAGTCGTCATCATCCCTGATACGGTTTGCACTTTCAAATTCGGACATTGCCCGTGTACATTTTGCCAATCACGAATACGAAAAAGCTGCCGAGAAGGCTGAAACGGCACTGAGCTTGTCTGGAGAGGATGACCTAATGACACTTGAACCAGAGCTTGTTACAAGGCTTCGCTTATCAGCACATCTCACCGCTGGTCTGGCTTATTACTACTTAAAATCAATGGATCAGGCCATCGATATGTTCCGTGATGCTCTCGAAGAGGCAGAAAATGACCCTCATGTAGTCTGTCTTCTTGCACAAGTACTGTGGGCGAAGGGCGGGGAAGAGGAACGAAACGTAGCTCGTGAGCAATTATTCGACTGTATCGAAAAGCATCCGGACCACGTCGCTGCTGTCACTCTACTGGGAGCGATTGCACTCTTAGATGGGGACCAGGATGCTATTGAAGCGGTTCATGCCGACCTCGAAATAATGAGAACTAGAGATGATATTGAGATTCACGATCGTACACGAGTCATCAAGCTGCTCTCCGCGATCTCCGCGATGGGATTTAGCGCAGAGAGCGACATTCCGGAGGCAGAAAGACTAACTGTGGAGGCATCCAAGGCTGTTATGCTTGCGCCTGGACAACCGCAAGGCTGGATGGAGCTTACTGCTGCTACAGGAGAATTGCATACCGCCACAATGGCTGTGAAGACTGCCCTTCGAAACGTTCCTCCTCAAGGTGGATTAAACGCTGCTGACCTGTGCCAAGCTTATGTCCAGACAGGTACCATTGGAGATTCACTGCGAGCTATTATGATTGCCCCCTGGAAAGCTGAGGGATGGGAAGGTCTCGACGGGAGTCTGTCGGATACTGCATGACAAAATCGCTTCCTCTTACGATATTGTATCATAGGTCTTCCACACACAATTTGTGAAATAGATACCGCATATTAGACGCCAAAGCTTACCTAGTAGAAATGAGAATAAGCGAATCATTCTTCCATGGCATCTCCGTCAGTAGAAGCCCCGTTTTCCTCTGCGTGTAAAGCTTCGATTTTTGCTAACAGAACTTCCTTTCTCTTCTCTCGCCATGTAGTGTCCCACACGTCAATTTTTCCTCCTAGCACAGTAACAGTCTCAGGGGTCAAGAGGACCATTCCCCTTGCCACAATGGCATTCCTCAGGATAAATTTTGCCCCGATCGAAAGTTTATCGATACTAATGCCATTGATATTTTTATATTCCAATGCAACAACCTTTGTACCAAGCGCATCTTGTAGGATCAGACGATGCGGTCCATGGCCTGTGGTATTGCTGCTACTGTTGTTATTGTTCCCTGTCGGCCTCAACGCGTTGGATGTGGTTTCAGCGGTATCGACGTTATCCACGTCCACATTTCTTACTATTTCCCTGCCTCGAACAGTTTCTCCTCGCTCAACTTGCTCTATTTTCTCAATCCGAAACCACAGACTGGTCCCAATATCTTCAATGTCAAGAACTTGAACGGGCACTGGCCCCGAAATGCGCCGTTCTTTAACCGCTGGATCGCTGATGTCTCTGGGGAGTGATGCCGATGGAGTCGTTGACGTCGACAGAGAATTTGTAAAATCAGAGGTAAGGATACGGAATAGCGCCGTCTGCGTTAATGCTGAGAGGGGAGCTCGCTGCTGGTTCTGGGGGATGGATGCTAGGAAATTGGATATCCACGTTGGGGACACAGGGAGCGACTTGCTGGCTAAGAGCTGTGCTCTTAAGTGCTCATCGGTCGTCGACATCTTGAGAAGGGTGAATTTTTTGTGGAGATAACATATCTGGTCTTGTAGAGCAGAATGCTGTTGTAGGTTGGGCGAATTCAAGAGTTGGAGTGAGTTGCCTGCAGAGTGTCTACAAAAGTTGTTGTATACAAACCGAGGAAAGCGCGGAGGGCTCCACATGCCCGGACTCCGCAGCCCCAAAGCTCCGGTCTACTATCTGCTTCTGTCTTTCTCTTCCTTTCTTTCTTCACATTATCCTTTTTTGCGTCGCTGGAATCATAATTCTCCAGAGCCTTGAGCGCTTCTGCTTCCAAGCATCGACCGCATTACAACATGTCCGCCATTTCGTCCCCCCGTCTATCTACTGCCTCGTCCCATGCCACGTCGGTATCGTCCCGTCGACCTTCCAGAGAATTAGACACCACGAACCCCAATTCTAGTGTCAATGGACTTGGTATCAATAATCCTGCTTCTGCCGTGCGTGGCGTATCTCCAGCTCAGCGTCGGAATCGCGCTGCTCTCAGAGACTACTATAACATAAGATCGTCGACAGGAGATGTAGCAGGTTCTCCTGCTGGTGCTCCTCGCTCGACTGGCGCAAATGAGCTCTCAGGATCACCTTCAATTACGGTAACCTCCGAGCTGGACAGCCCGGAATTTGACGCACAACAATATATCGACCAACTCTTGGCCACTTCGTCTCTGTCGACGGTTTTGAAAGCAGAGAATACTTTGGTGGGCGATATTCGAACTCTAGATGGCGAGCGCAAGGCCCTTGTCTACGACAACTACTCCAAATTGATCCGTGCCGTCGAAACTATCGGGAGCATGAGACAGAGCATGGAGGAACGAGGAGCTCCGTTGACCATGACAAAGACACTTGGGCCCGCCGTGGCATTCGTTGCCGAGACTGCTGGTGGTTTAATCAAGGAAGGAGAAGAGCTCCGTCGCAAAGTTCAGGATGCAAAAAGTAAAGCAACGGTCAATAAGACAGCCGAACAAGAGACTGTAGAATGGGTCCTAGCAACCCCGAGCCGGCTGAGACAGTTTCTTCATGATGGCAAGACAGAACAAGCACAAGAAGATTGGAAGGAGATTGACGGTCTGTTGCAATCCTGGAAGGATATCAAAGGAGTCGAACAATTGAGGGCAGCGTGTGAGGAAATCATGAAAGAGAGGGAGACAGCATGAGCAAGGCCTATAGTCTGAAGGTAACCCTGAAGAAGGGCCTCAAACCTAGAAGGATACATTCCGCTTTCCTCAACACCATTTCCATCCTCAAGGAAGATGGAATTGTCATCTGCCAAGCATACCGCATCTGATAGGCCAAGCAGAACGCGGCGCAGACAACCTTTTCATCAAGGCGTCTCATGGAAGGCCGAGGTCCACGTACAAGTCGTACTTGCTAGCAAGACAAATAACCGGTCTTTTTATGCTTGTACTTCTACAGAAGGACAATATCAAAGGAATTATATTTCCAAAACCCGAAGAGCTCAGCGATGCTCTAGCCAAGCTCAATTTAGCTTGTCACCTGCCTAGCTCAATGTAGTGTCTATGTCATAGCATTGAATGCTACCTGTATCCACGACCACAACGAATTGTCATGGGTTTAAAGCCTATCTGAGAATCTTCAGTATAACAGCAACTCACAACAATATTTCCAAATTTTGATAGACATATGTGACCTCTATCACTTGCCAATGAGTGTATGGAAGTGCATCATCTACTTTTTACGCACCACGTGACTTTAATGTCGATAAATTCTGATATTTTTGCCCTCAACTTTGCAACCAGCACTTGCTCCACCTAAATTTCTACAATTATTTAATCGCGGATTTTCCTCTTAGTTGCAACTCAGTCCAAATCCATTATACGTGACCTCCCAAAACAAGTGGGATTTCGATGCCCGCAAGCCAGCATGTCATCGGAAAAACCTCAATCAATATCTTCACTTATCACTGAATTTCTGGACCAACCACCAAGCTGTCTGGAATTTTGTCCCCAAGACCCCGATTATTTCGTGATAGGCACCTATCTACTTCATGAAGAAAAGCCAGAACAACAACAGAGTGGTCGAGAAAATGCCTCCTCCACGTCCACAGTCAAGCAGACCAAAACAGGAACTCTTCAGCTGTGGCATTTGAATGCTACTACTCCTCAATTGTATGGAATAACCTAGTAAATTACACGCACAAATGAATATCCAAAATTTGATTATGCTGTGTATGGACTCGAAAGCTTACCTATGCATAATATAAATACTATACAGGCAAGAGAAGCAAGTGGTGACCTTGTCCCATGCTGTCTTCGACTTGCATTTCCACCCACGACAGTCGACTCTACTGGGAATTGCCGGTAGCGATGGGACTGTTTCCCTCTACAGTATCTCCTGTTCTCATCATGACAGTTCCAATTATCCGCACATTCAGCACATTTGGACGAGATCTGTGCACGACGAGGATCCAGGCTCCATTCCATCCTTGTACCTGACCTGGTTCCCGAAAAGTTGGTTTCCGACGACATCGTCGTATCCCGATGGGTTTGCAGTGACGTTTGCTGATGGTAGGACATCTGTCTTTTCTACCCCGCTTCCTGCAGCAGCAGCTCAACAGGGGAAAGAAAGAAACGGGGAAGGAGGACAGCATGATATAGCCAAGGGAAACGGATTAGATTTGATAGAGACTCAATTTGAGGCTCCAAATGGTGTTGCCATTGAGGCTTGGTTCGTGGCCTTGGCTAGTTATACGGAAGAAGAAGCAGCGACAGACGATTCTTCGATAAAGTCATCATCATTCATTTTCACGGGCGACGATTTTGGCTCGCTGAATATACGGAAGTTTTGCGCTCCAGACGAGGAGGGTGATGATGGGACTAGCTCTGATTTATCGTTAGAGGATTGCATGATATCTGACACAAGCGATAGAGCTCGCCATCACACAGCTGGCGTTACGGCTATATTACCATTACCGATTATGAACATGGTCGCAAACGCGCCGATATTGTTGACTGGGAGTTATGACGAGTATATTCGAGTGTATCATGCGAATTCAAGAAGAGGCACGGTTCTTGCAGAGAGTCGGTTAGGTGGTGGAGTTTGGCGACTACAAGTTATCGATACGGAGGAAGCTGACGCTGGAGAAATAAATTTTCTGGTTCTGGCAAGCTGCATGCACGCTGGCACGAGAGTTGTGAAAGTCACCTGGAAGAGGAGACAAGCAACAGAAATTGGCGACTGGGATATACAGGTATTGGCGCAATTCACGGAGCATGAAAGCATGAATTATGCTTCGGGCTTTTGGAAGGGGAATAGATCTACTTCAGATATGGTTTGTGTCTCGACCAGCTTCTACGATAAAAGACTGTGCTTGTGGAAGCTTCAGTTATGAGGATATGAATAAGGGATTTATTTACCCCCTCTTAAGATAGAGACACTCGTAACATGTAAAGGCGGATCATAATACTGAATTCTTCGCTCGAATGCATGGTGATTGAAATTATAGGTAGAGTACAAGGCTAGATCCATAATACTCTAATAACCTAAACAATTGTCTCCAGCTCTCTTGCGTATCCAATGGTGTTTTCTATAACGGAGGCACTCGCCAGAGCGATGCCTTTCTCTGGTCGTTGATCCTCGTTGATGGGTTGGACTGTGCCAGGGGTTTCCGATACAGGAGCGACAGCATCGGACTGGGTTGGGAAATATATGCGTCCGTCCTTCAGATTCCAACCACGTTCTTGTGCGAACTGCACAACTGCACCCTCGGACTCAAGGAAGAGAAGATCCTTTGCATTTGAGATCGGTAGAGATTGGTAAGCTGTCTCAGAACAATCGGCGATTTCCCTTCTGATAGTTCCAACGAGCACCTAAATTTTCAAAAGTCAGCAAATGGAAGAATGATTTTTTTTTAGGAAAAGAAATAAGCCATACGTTTGAGAACAAGCCAAAGTCTTCCGTAGGTACCTCCGAAGACTTCGTTGCACGCCACACCTTGTCGTAGCTGCCTTCCATCAAACTCCGCTCAAGCTCAACTGGGTATTTAATATAGGGATCCTCCTCAACACTGCGGCCGTCTAGAGATGCCTCCACAATGAGCCCCTCAAGCACCGTATGAAATTGCGACGTGTCACCGGAGCTCAACAAAAGCAGAAGGTACAACCCCGTTATCTTGCTTCGTTGGCTTGTCTTCAAAATGGCTTTGTGTGTGTTATCTGAGCTCGCGATATCTCGTTCGAAGTCGTAAAATGGTTGTAGTTGCTGATAGTATCGGACGAAGGATACAGAATCCATCTGTCTGAGTGACGTTATGGCGCCGAGCTCTAGGATCTCGCGAGCCTGGGAACACAGTTGTGGTGAAGTCGTGGTGGAGGGAAAGAGAACATTCTGTTCAAGGAGAGCATGCTTTGCGCGGCGAGATAGTATCTCTGCGGCATGGTCGAGCTTATTCTGTTCGAGGCTCTTGTGAAGCTCAGTGATGATCGTGTTGAGGTCGGACATGACGATCGAGTGAAGAGGCAATCACGTCGAGACAATAAGACTCTATGTTATGTGATAAGCTCAATCTAGGAGATAAAAAAGCAAGATGATTCAAAGATCTATTTCCGATTCTAGTATCTCTTGTTGGCGGTGTATGTGCTGAGATGTCAAGATATGGAAGTTGTCGCCAAACTGCAGCTCCGAATGATGGGGATGAAATCACGTGATTTCGTCCAAGGTACATACCGCTTTCTACGAGCTTCCAGGAGACAACTTGGTAAGCTTACAAGATTACAAGTTTTCTTAAGGCAAAATCATTGAAGATATATCATATTAAATCTCCGCATGTAAGGGATCCTAGAGAAGAATAGTCTATTTATGCAAGTTTATGCTTTCAATGCAAGTTGAGACAAAGCATCAAAAAGCGGCGTTCCCATGCCTGTCACAGGATCCCAACCAGTAGTCGCATTCCAACTTGCGTAAGGAACATATGGTGCAGTCTCTCCTGATTGCGAATCAAGTCCTGTGCAGCCAGTGGAGCCCCCGTCAACAATGTCCGTGAACCCGGATCCATCCAAGCCATATAGCCATGGGTTTAAGAAACCGAGCGTAGACTGGTTGTTCGTTAATCGCACAGAGTTCAAATCCGCGATAATGGCTGCAAAAGTTGGTGCGGAGGCGCTAAAGCATGCATGGTTAGTTAACTGTGCATATGCAGACTCATAGAGTTACTAACCTCGTTCCGTCGACTTGTACGAATCTACCATGGTCCCGCACGATGAAGGCATGGGCCTGAGCAGCCACGTCTGGAAATCCTCGTCCATTAGGGTTGTAGAGACCCTGCCACTGATCACCGAGAACGGATAGGTAAGAGCTAACAGCATTGTCTTGATATGATGGCCGAGAGAAGCGCTCGGAAAACCCACCAGACGAGAAGCTTACTGCTCGCTCTGGATTGATTCGGTAAGTACCTCCGACGGAGGTGACAAATGGACAGGAAGCTGGATAGATGGGGTTGAAAGTCGTCCTGTTGGTGCCATCGTTCGTAAGGCACGCCTCGCCGACTCCTTCATCTCCACTACTAAAGATAATTGACACTCCCCGGGCTCCGAGTTGAGCAAATAGGTTGCATGTAGTATTGGTGTACGACTCAGGAAGAGTCTGTTCATCTTCGCCATAGGAGGTAGATAACACTGCTGGCAACTCTTCATCTGATAGATCTAATAAATAATGGAGTTGTTCCAAATAGGGCTCGTTGGATGAGGCATTAGCGTCAGGTTCACTCAGGTCGGGAACAAGAGGGCCCCGACCGCCGGTGGTAAAGAAGATTGTTGGAACGTGATACGATAAAGCAATCCCATACTGAATGTCCAGACTTGCCTCGACGCTGTCAAGATTTGAGGTCTGGTCGTTTAGGCCACCATTTATAGATTGCACTGTGAAGTTGGAATTCGTCATGGTGGGCGCAAATTCTTCCAAGAAGACTTCAAGGTCATCGTATCTCGCATATTGCTCCAAGTACCCAGAGATACCTAGCTTATTGCGAGAATCTGGACTTGCCTCAAAGTCACCCAGCTTATACAATTCTCGTAAGCAATCTGGCGTAATAGATGTGTTGCAATCAACCCCGATACCTAGCTCAAGTTCCTTTTGGTTGAGAACAAGGCTTTTGTGAGCCTTGTTCCGGCCGAAGTGGGTCGTTGGCTGAATCAGCTGAACATGCTGGTAGACCTCTCTAGGTACTGAGTATTCTAAGGTGCGAACTCTGAACGTGGTTTGTGCTTCATCGTGGTATATATAAAACGTGGTGTTCAGCATCCGTTCTGCTTGTTTCACTGGAACAATAAATTTGACCCAATCACCGTTTACCTCCATCAAATTTTCGGAAACATTTTCTGAGTGCAGCCACGACACGACGGCATCTTGGACCTCGGCGGAAGGTTGCAGGAAGGCTCTGATCTCATCGCGCTTCATGTGCTTGCCGTACATCTCGTGTCCGGGGGTTGCGATATTTAATGCATGTTGCTCAAATTCAGCGGCTCGTGGCTGTCGCATTGCAAGACGGAATTGCATCAACATCGAGGGCGAGGGTCGTGGACCTCGTACCCATCCGCTCGGGACTTTGGTCAGCTGCTCGACGATTTCATATTGCTTTGCAGACGCTGCTGTCACAACCGCCGAAGCAGTCAACAAAGACAGAGCTTTGATAAAAAAAGGATACAGGTGCATCTCACGTGTAACAAAGAGACACACGCAGCAATGAAGCTGGGAAAGATAAAGCTGTAGCTGGTGGGAAAGCGACTCAGCAAACAAAGCTGTGCATGCACCTTCGTTGGGGGAAGGAGGAGTGTTCCAAGCGTGCCTTCCGCCAGCTTTTCTCTCTTGTCTACCCCTTCCGACGAGAGGAATGAGGAATGAGCCGGGAAGATCGGCCTATGGTCTCGGGGTTGGTTGCACTCCTATATATGCACCGCTGGTTTGGCTATTTTGATAATAGTTGGTTGCACGGCCTGCAGGCATCTATCATGTCGTGGTTGAGGTGGTAGGAGGTCGACAAATGGCTTGGGAGGTGGTAACACTCCGAAGTACAAGCCTTTGTGCACAGGCTCGCTCCTGGAGGGTATGCCGATTCAATAGTCGACATTCCTTGCAGGCCGTGGCCGCAAGGGACCGGGTTGACAGTGGATGTTGTCGGAGCATTTTCAATTCGACCATTATTGGTCAGCACGTTCGTCCGACGCATGTACGCGAAAGCATCGCGGTGTGCCACGACGGGCATGTCCAGAGCGTCCGTTCTGTGCCTGGATGAAATGAAGGAAGGGTAAAAGATCTGCCGACCGGGCACGTGAGGAAGAGGTCACGTGGCAACAGACTCCATTGATGTGATTGCTAATTGGCTATGAGAGACCCACCATTCCAATTCTCAAGCAAGTGCAGATGAACCAATTAGAGCCAACAGCCCAACGCAGCGATCGTGAGTTCCAAACCGAATGCTATAAGGGCACATGTTCGAGCGAGAGATCTATCTTCGAGACCAATTGCGCCGCTCCACTATCGCAATTTTCTGAGTCGTAAGACAGCCTTGTAAAAATTCGTAGGAGGTCAAAAAGATGATATGAATTTGGCGTTCTTGTTGTCCATCTGACTATACGACATGGAGGCATAGTTGTCTTCGACCTATGCTTAGAAGGCTGCTCCTAAGCCTCTCTATGACATTCTATTACTCATAAAGAGCTTTGGGCTAGATTTCAAACATGTACATGTTTCGTCCCTTTGACGGCATACAAAGATTGCCGGATATTCAACAAAAAACTGATGTATTTCTATATATCTCAATATAGATAGACACCCCCCAGGACGGACAATGACTTCTTCGATAACTGCCATTATTCGTTCAATTATAAAAGGATCGATGCATCACTCTGTAGCGGATTTGTATTCCAACACAGTCAACAAATTCTGTTATTGAAACTTGAAGAGACACAAGAGACATTTTGTTCTATCTATTCAAATCCAACATGAATAGGGGCGGTGGACAGGGAAGCTCAAGCTCCCAAATTCTTGATATCCAATTCCTTGTTGATGCTCCGGAGAAAGCCGCTCCAGGGCTTCTTCCATGGTCTCTGTTTGCCGAAGTGATATACCGTGGGGATGAGGATTTACAAGGGCTGGACTGGTCTATTGAATATAAGCTGTGTGATGCAAGTGGCGGCTACGAGGCAAGCTTCCAAAGCTTCTCACAGCAGGTGGGAAGTCCCAGTCTGTATTTGCCCATTCCAGTTACCAAACGTGTTGAACCTGGTAAATATCTCGTGAAGGCCAGTATCTGGTTGATGGACGGTCAAGATGTTTACGTAGACAAGGTCGAAGCCCAATCACACATCTTCGAGATTGTAAAAGGCTTCGACAACAGGACATTGAAATTAGGTAAGTAAGATCATCCCTGATTCAACCTGTAAAAATCTCTGCTCACAATTATTTAGGATCAGCAGAAAAGCAGTGTCTGGAGTCCAAGCTTTTCAACATGAATCCTCAAATGAGACCACACTACCAGCCCTACTGGTAGGAATGAATATCTATACAACTTTCACGGCCGATGCCGGGTTCGAAGCGGTGTATTGCCATACATTTGTCTTTCTTGTCACCCTTTTCATTCTCTGGCCTTTGTCAGGAACACGGGGAAACCGATTTTTGGTTTTGGTTGGTCCATAGGTTTATCTAGGCAGGTAGCAATATAGGGCTGAACCATTTTCAGACTTACCTACGTAATTGACACCCTGCTTATTGATCTCAGATTAGATGATAATATCAATCATGGTATGATCTCGCGTTAGTGAAGAATGAGTATGTATCGGTCGATCCAGCTGGCGACTGGAAAAGAGAGAACCTCACAGCTTCCCTCCCCAGAGTTGAGAGTCGGTCCTCTTCTCATCGAGTAGTTTTGCATATTTAAATAGTTATGCGCTGGAATCAATACGCAGACATGTGCAATGATGCTAAGCCCAAAAGAGGCATGTCCGCTCCGACGCTGTGATTGGCCGGGCGACGTCACCTTCCTCTGCAGCTTTTTCTATCGACAGCAACTATTGAATACACACAATATCTTCCAGTCTTTGCTAGTCACATCGCTCCAGATCGCACAAGCACCTCGCAGATACTAATACGTCCAGCGAGCGTTCCCTGTGGCCCCGCAAGTTCTACGATGCAATATTAACCTGTTGAGAGCTTCCGGAGCTTCCCCCCCGCTTAAAGAGCGCCCACCAGGCTCTCTCTCCCTTCTTTGCTTTGACGTGCACTCGAGAAATACCGATTGATCAGTAAGCGCTCAGCTAGTCGCACAAATAGCTGCGTGTTTATTGCAACCAGCGAATAATCACCCGTTGCCAGTCTCTCGTTGCCTGATAGTGTGGATCCGACGTCATCAATACATTGTTCCGGACTTCCACCACGAGGAAGACAAACTCCGGCCTTTCCTTTCGCATAAGAAGAGACTAATCACAGCTCTATCCTCGCACAGCTTCAGTACTGGCAAGCATAATGGCAGATATTACAACCTTGGAAGAGACCCTCTCTCCTGGAACGAAAGGGGGGGTCTCAAAGTCAGACCTTCCTCTGAAAGAGCGTTTCTTTCGTTACTTCCAACAGGAAATCACTGGTACATTAATCTTGCATTACATCTTCATACATAGATTATATGGCTTATTGGTCTCCTATAGCTTTGCAGGAGCAGATGGACCGTCTCGCCGACACATCTTTGGTGGCCGGCGAACGCTCAGATGCGACCGATCACTGTCTAGCTGGCATTGCGAGACTCTCTAACGAGGTTAAGGATGCGTCAAGCTATATACCCACATATGATCAGCGTATCTATGCTGAAGTACGTTGGCTGGCTAATATATAGTCACTAAAATGTATTAACCAGACGTCTTTGCACAGGCTATCAAGGCTCTGCAAGACAAGCTATCGGAGACTCGAGCTGCAGTACAGCCAAGAGCGAAGTTCTCTTTCAAGACCAAGAAAAATCCTTCTGCCATATCACTCTCAGATGCAGCCGAAATTGCCGCACAGGGTCGTCGGCATATTCCTGGTTATCTTTCCCCTGATGACTCGTCTCGTGACTCTTCTATGAATCCCACTCCTGTTTACTCCTCGACACCTGTAAACGAGGTCGAACCACAACAGCTCAGGCCAGAACTCGCACCGACCTCATCACCTGCCGTACTGGATGAAGGTAAAGATAGCTCGCTACTCGAAAAGAGATCAGATATTCGACGGCCGACCTTCTCAAATGCTTCGTCGGTTTCGGTAGATCAACATTACGGCCTTCACATCATGCTGCCATCGTCTGCATCTAACACCACGGTACCAGCTTCCATCACATCGCTCCGCCATTGTGTAGTTGACATGTCGATTCCAACAACGGATGGGAAACCGTTCGACAGTCTCACTGTCAAAGGCGTGAAAGAAAGCCTCATTATATGTGGACAGGTCGATGGACCGGCACACATAACAGGTGTGGAACACAGCGCAATTGTTGTCTCATGTCGCCAATTCCGGATGCACAATTGTATAGACGTCGACGTCTATCTTAGTTGCACCAGCAACCCAATAATTGAAAATTGCAGCAGGATTCGTTTTGGCAAGATTCCCAAAAATTACGTGAGTTGTATTTCGCCGTCATTTTGAAGTTGCCATATACTCATTTATATATTTTTAAAAGGCACTCGGTCAGAACCATCCAGACGGTTCGGATAAATGGGACCAAGTCGAAGATTTTAAATGGATCAAACCCGAACCAAGTCCGAACTGGAGTGTTCTTGACTCCAATGCTGCCGTCCCCGACCAAGTTTGGGCTGAAATAGTCCCCGGCGGACTTTGCTGGTCACTTGAAGACATCCTTCGAGCAACCAAGGTTTTAAAAGAGTGATTCGAATCGATGAGGCACGAAAAGAATATCAGAGACCAATGGAGTCTAATGCAAATTGTCCCCGTGATGTGCCTGGGATTAATGCCTGTCGTGTTAAGTCTAGTTTTTCACTTTCACTCTCAGTTACGATATCAAATCATCGCAAAATATCCTGTTACCAATGGGGGTATCGCCGCAAGGAATGTTTTCTGATCTCAGTATTATTTCATTCCATCCATACGTTCTACGGCTGCCTGACATCTACTTGAATTCTAATTGTTATCGACATGTACATGTTTCAGGAGATTTTTTAATATTCAGATACTTTTTATCTTCGTAATAAGCCATGATACGTAAATAATACGTTTAGTTGAAGAGAAAAAAAATCATATATAAGAAAAGCAGGGTCAAGTGGTGTTACAAGAAGGATATAAGAGAGAAAACGTAACATATAACATATATAAAGTAAAAAGAATGCTGTTTGTCTAAAGAAAGGAAAGAAAGAAAATTAAAATAATGACAAAATATCCTCGTTCGTCTTTTTGCCACCATCATTTGATCCTGGCGAAGTCGGGTTATTGTGGCTGACATTCAAACTCGAGAATCCATTCATCAGATCATCACCACCATTACCACTCAAGCCTGCTAAAGCAGCTGCGTTGCTGCCGCTGCCGCTGGCACTATTACCAAACACGCCGAGAAGATCATCTAGGTTATTGCTTTGCTGGGGAGGTGCAGATGTTGCAGGTGATTCTGTGCGTACGGGTGTCCCCGCAAGCCCTTCTAAACCTGACATGCCACTTGGAGGCTCTTTATCGGCTGAAGCAGGTGCAGCTCCATCGAAGTCGATGTCTAGCAAATTCTCAACATTGGCTTGCGCCTGAGCAGGGGGAGTAGCGCCTGAAACGGCCGCGGCGGCAGCAGCAGCAGCCAATGGGTTCTCCCGCGCGTTTTGGAGTTGTTCCCTATTGAATGTGTCAGTAACCATGTAGATGTATATTTATTTCATATTTCGTTGGTAGGTAGATAGGAAAGGTCATACTCAATAGCAGCTCTTTGCACAGCATCGGCGCCGAAGCGTCCCTGGCCGACGAATTGTTCTGGAGGCTTGTGATAAACTGAAGCCAGTGTTGACATTTCTTCAAGTAGCTTGTCAAGGAGAGTGGGCGGTAGTGACTGGATGGTAGTTGTAATAGGAGGCTTTTGAGACAGAACGACATTCTTGGCTGCATTAGGGTCCGTTGTATTGGATAACAAGCGCCAGTAGACATAAGCTCGATCCCGAATGTCGGGGTTATCGTTTTCTGCAGTTGCAGCCTGGAGAACCTTCTGTACCAAGCCTTGGGCCTTCTCAGGACGCTTCAAGAAAAGCTTGACGACGGCTGTCAAGATTTGTAATTGTGTCTGAAAATCTTGTTAGATCTGCGGGAGAGTGTAAATGGTAGATAAGACGAGGACTTACTTGGCTAAACTCTTCATTGAAGCCTTCCACGAAACCAGCCAAGATATCGCCGGCGTTACTGATCTTCTCCGCATATTCACCGACAATCCAAATGAGAGCAGCTCGAGCGTTGGGTTCATCAAGCTCGTCAATGCACTTGCACAGTGTTGGTATGATACTTTCATAGCCTGGGTATTTTCGGAAAATGTCACGAATAACAACAATAGCTTCCTGGACAACGTAGTTGACCTTGGTATTTATCAAGTCGAGCAGAGTGTTGACACATCTCTCGTTAGAGGTTTCGATTTTGATAGCAGTCTGGCCAATGGCTCGGACGGCTCTCCTAACGAAATCCATATCGACTTCAAGGGCGTACTCCTTGAGCTCGGCCAAAAGTTGATCGACGTTCTTTTCGTTCGCTATTCTCACCATAATTTCAAGCTTCTGGAACTTGACATAGGGTGGGTCATTGTATTTGCAAAAGAAAACACGAAGTTCCTTGTTCAAAATATCCGGTTGCTTTTGAAGGAGTAAATCAATATTCCTCAATGCCACGTATTGCACCTCGGGCGCGGATGAGACCAAAGTCACAAGCGGGGGTGCCATCTTTTTCAGATATGACGCTGCAAGCTCCGGGCTGATATATCTCATATGTAAAAAGACAACCTTGACTGCAGCGAGAACGACACTCGCGTTTACGTGCTGAAATTGTGGGACAACTCTTTCACAGATGTGTTCGGCATCCTTGACATCATTGGTTCTATATTCAGCCAACGAACTCAGAATCGTAACTCGACCCCATTCCGTACATTCATTCAGAGCCATAAGCAGCTTGCGAAGTGTGTTCGAGTTGATCTCTAGCGCTCTTGTTTCGGGAGCGTTTTCCGAAATCTCAGCCAAAGCAGTCACCGAGTTTGCAACGACCATTGGATTTGGATCTCCGATCATTTCCTTCAACGTATCAAGAAAGCCATTCTCGAGGCACATGCTTCGGTTCAAGTCGAAAAGCTTTGCCACACAGATGGCCGCTGTCTTGCGAACGTACGGTGACTCGTCCTTTAGGGTTTTCCTTAAAGGTTCTTCCATGTAGTCCACCATTTTGTCAACTCGAATACAGCCCATTGTTCTAATCGCAAGCGCTCGTATAAGTGGATTGGGATCTTCGGAATCTTGAACGAACGTATTCACCGCCAGAATGCAGAGATCCGGATGGGACTTTGCATAGTTCCTAGTATGGAAAATTAGCGATGTGATAGGCCTATAGGGGAAGCGCAAAACCTCACATCAAATAAAGATAAACAAGTTTTTTCTGATCCAGATCGCCAGTCGCAATGTTCTTCAGAACATCCGGAAATAGAGCAGAGACGTCTTTGCCCAACGTCATCGCCATGATGGTCCTTTGAATTGCATCTTTCCTATGCTCAAAGTCAGCATCTCCGCATTTGCGAGCACACGAGTAAATCGTACCTTTCATATGCATATTGGGACCTGCCAAGAACATATCGTTAGCATTTGACTGCAATAGTTTCTCGGCTTCTTGCGTACACTAAGCCAGCCCTCAATTCAAACGTCTCTCCTTTTCTGGGCACTGTAAACGCGCCTCGGATCCGATTGATCGCCATTTCCAAGCAAGTAGTGCTTCAGCAGCGACCCGGTCGCGCCTCCGCACTGACAATAATATTGAGAAAAGGGCGTGGTTGTGAAGATGAGTGCGAGCGCGGGGCGATGTTCGCAGCTCCCGAAAGGCCGGCACGATGGTGCAGGACACGTGCTGTGACTTGGGAGCAAAGAGCAAAGCTGTGGCAGATTTGCCGTGTTCGGAAATGTCAGTAGCGATGAGTTGCCAGCGTGGTGTCCATGGGAAATCTTCGCTTTTCAGAGTGTATAGTTGATTGGAAGCGTTTCCCCTAGTGTACAAGTTGCCATACGTCGTTCCGCCGTGAGCCAATTCAGGCTCCAAGGCAATTATTTATCCTTGTCTTCCTCACCGCCGAGCGGCGCCCCCAAAACTATCCAATCCAGCAACAACAATAATTCACGCAACTTCTTGCAGCCAATTGAATTGCATCGAAATGGTGAGTGTCTCTGATATTATATCTTCCTACTGTAATTCTTATCTAAGATACCACAGGCCAACCTTCCAAACCTACGACGTCTCTTCGTTGAAGCTCGCTCGGAGGCTGAAGAGAATGAGTATTCAAGGACCGCCGTAAGATTCCTCGCTTTCGTGACTTCATGATGCATTATGGGTCTGATGCTGTGCAGTTCTATAATCTAGTGCTATTTCTCTCCTCTGTCGCTGTCTTCAGTTTAGCAGCGCAGCGCATCAGTGGAGGCAAGGCCCAGAAGTGAACGAAATATTGCCCGCTACACTTGGTTTCTTCTACTGTCAATGCGTGTCGGGTCATCTCGTCAGTCCGTTTCTTCACCATCGTCGGAAAGAAATGCAAGACTCTGGCGGCCCTTCACTAGTCGTCTGCGAGGTTTCTCCTGTTCGGAATCGCTTCCGTCAACAGCACCGCCAGCACCCCATTTGGAGGCGCCTTCTTTCACTGCCTCCAGGTCTGCCTGAAGTTCTCTTTCTTCGCGTATCTGGCGTGCTTTTTCAATGGAATAGCGACCTTTCATGCCTGCATCCTCCAGCATTTTCTTCAAGTGTTTAATCTTAGCCTTGGGGGTTTCATAATCTGCCAACTCGCGATGCCACATCTTGCGAATGCCGCATTTAATTAACCACCCTTGCAAACGCTTAATTTCCGCTTGTTCCGGGTCTACAATCCCGCTGGCCTTTGATGCGCTCTTCGCTTTAGGCGCTTTAGGTGCAGTCTGCGCACCCTTTTGCCGCTTCTTGGGCTTGGGCTTCGGTTCTTCGTCTAGCACAACCGACATTTCACTTTCGGATTGTTCACCTTTATCAGCAACTGACTCTTCGTCAAGCGGCTTCTGAGGTTTTTCGTTTTCGGATTCATCTGATGCCTGCTTTTGGACTGCCGTCACTTTCGATATAGGCTTGGGCGACGTTATAGTACTTTTCTCTTCTTCTTCTTCCGATGGAGAAATGATTTCCTCCGATTCTATGTCACTAGCCACTTTTCGTCGCTTCTTCTTGTTGGGCATAGCTTCTTCTAAATCTCGTTTGGCAGATTTATTTGCCTTGCGATTCGATGTTTTGGAGGATGGTGCGGGTGCTGGGCTTTCACGGGCTGCTTTGTCTTGTCTTTGTGACTTGTGTTCTTCCTGTGCTTCCTATAACAAATCGAACACCAATTAGCCAATTCCTCTCTTCCATTCTCTCTCGGAGACATAAAACACACGGCTTCTTCTTTAATCATGCGATCACTCCTCGCCTTCCAAGTATCATGACATTTAAAGAAACCCTCCTCCAAGCCTAACGCAGATTCTGTCGCTAATCGTACGCGCTTGACGGTTAAATTCTCCAAATTCCCCGTCCGAAAGATATTCGCAACAGCGTCTCGTAGGCCCTGTTCTAGGCTCTCGTCGGAAGGGATATTTGCATCGTTCGTTTCTTCATCTGAGCTATCCTCTATAACAGTTCGTCGAGGCATCGTGCTTGGTATTTCCTTTGTGCACTTCTCAAGAAGCTGTTGAAATATCTGCTGGCCAAAGAATAAAACCGCTGCGATTTGCGTGTTCGTTGATTCGTCAATTTGCTGCAAAGGCAAAACGCGTTTGATTTCCGCGTCGTGACGGGCCCAAAGAAGTTAGTCTGTCTGGCCGATACACTCGAAAGCTGATTGGCTGGGTGTTCATGCAACTATATAACCGTATACTATTCGCGAATTTACTTTCTGCATCCTATGCATAATTGTTAAGTTATGATTATAACTAAGAGTTCGGTAGACTAGTTATTAAATTAACCCCGAAAAGCTTAGGATCTAACAATATCGTCGAAGAGCAAAACATATTGTACACTCGGCAAAGACCGAGAGCAGCCACCTTATCGTCGCTGGAATGCGACGATGTATTTTAATCCTTCCAGCATATATGCAAATGTCAAACTTGCAGAAATGAGCTTTCTGGACTTTTATCCTATGCTTATTGCTGAAATGGTGACCATTGACGGAAAATCTGAGAGTAGACAATGGTCCAACTAACTATACATACGTCCTTGCTTTTCGACCCCAAGGTGAAAAAGAACCGCAAGAATGTGTCCATTACTGTCGACACGGCGAGTGGACTCATTGTTCGGGTCTTTGAACGTGCAGATGAGAATGTGCAGACCATGAATGAAGGAGATATTGATCTGCGGGGAAAATACGTGATGCCTGGCTTGGTAGATGCTCATACTCACGTATTCTTGCACTCGTATGAGTATGTTGGCGATTGGGATCCAACTGCGATCGAATTATGGCTAATCTTAAATCTTATTATTGAATTAGCGAGGCTGGTGCATTGCAGCAGAAAAGAGATGAAAGTATGACAGAAAGAATCGTCCGGGGAGTGAACCACTGCCGGACTGCGCTTCTTGCGGGCTACACAACATACAGGTCAGCATTTCTCATACATATATAATACCTGAATGAAGTAAAGTAAACTAATCTGGGTTTTAATTGTTACAGAGATCTAGGTTCGGAAGGAATGCAGGAATCAGACGCCAACCTACGAGATGCCATTGCTCGTGGACTGACACCTGGGCCTCGACTTTTCGTGGCCACCAAGGTAATTGCCAGCACCGGATCATACGAGTGCCGCACTGAGAACAGCGCAGGTGGCCACTGCTTACCAGCCGGCTGCGATGCTGTAGACGGCGTTGAGCAATGTCGACAAGCTGTTAGGCGGCGTATTGCAGCTGGGGCAGATATCATCAAGTTCTTTGCTGATTACCGGCGAAGGATAATGAGATCACCGCCTTTGCAGCCACATCCATACATCCCCAGTGTGCTTCATCCACCCAAGGAGCCTAACCCAGACTCCATGGTCTTTTCACAGGAGGAGATGAATATGATTGTTGCAGAGGCAGCGTTAGCTCGTTGCCCCGTGTCTGCGCATTGCTGTACCTTGGAAGGAGCACTTGGGGCCATTGAAGCTGGCGTCAATTCTATTGAGCATGCGTATTATGCTACTGATGAGATGTTTAGACGCATGATCGAGAAAAAAGTGATCTTTGTGCCGACCCTTGCCATAGCTGAAAAACTGCACGCTAAACGCTTCGACCAAATCCTGCGTTCAGTAAAGCGTGCTCATGAACTCGGCGTTCGTATTGCATGCGGTGGGGACACTGGTACATACCCACACGGTGATAACGCCAGAGAGCTCGAGTTGATGATTGAAGCTGGCATTTCTGTTGCAGATGTTTTGGAATCGTGCACCCTGGGCGGTTGGGAAGCCTGTGGAGGTGACCTTTCTGGGCGGAGATTTGGTTGGTTTGAAGAGGGAACGCAAGCAGATATCATTGCCCTGGATGAAGATCCGGAGCATGCCACTGATGCACTGAGAAAGATCAACTTTGTCATGAAGGATGCAAAGGTGTGGAAAGCCGGCGGAGAGTCTCAGGGCATGCCCTAACACGGTGGTTTTCCTGCCATTTATATATATTTGAAAACTGGCCCAGAAGTTAAACTATACTTTAATGCTATTTGTCGCAAATAATTGATATAGTGAACATTCGAATAGATGTTTCCGTTGTGGATGAGCCTACACACGTCTTTGCTTCTTTGTTCCCTCGTCCCAAAAATCAGTTCCAATGATTGCGGCTAACGTCGCTTGAGGGTCAGATATGCGCTTTCAAGACGCTGTAAGGGTTCTTGATAGCTTGGGATCGCCGATATGACTTATGAAATGTATGGAACCACGGCCGTTCTAGAGTGACACATTGAATCTTGACAACCCATTCCCGAGCAGCTTCGAAAGTGTTGAGAATAATGGTTCGTCGTCTGCCCACTCTCAGCTGGATAAACGGCCAGTCATAGTTACGAGTCCAGTGGTCAATTCCAAACTGATACAATGACCAGCCAGAGAGTCCGCACTGGGGATTTCAGGGATGTCTCTAATCTTTGGAAAATCACACAAGGGGCGCAGAAGTATCAATGCAAAAATGTCAATGGCTGCAGATTCCAGACCAAGGATAGCAACAAAGTTAGCAGCGGGGGCACATGAAGCCCGGTCATAAAGTCCATGATATTCATGGGCGAGTTGACCTGACAAGTGGTAATGATCGGACTTGCATGGACTCCGTGTCGCAAGCAGCCATTTTTGAATACAGCGAAGTTGGGCAACTTCCCCAATCACGACACATCTCTTCAAGAGATACTATGATAGTAAGATAGATAGTACGAAGAGAGTGCAAAAGTACGTCGGACAAACCCGTCGCATCGATGCGATAGCCCGGACAGATGCGCCGGCCGTGTAGTCAAGATCCACCGGTGCGTGTATCTACATCTACCATTTAACTGTGTCTACTGGTCCCAACCACGTCGGGGCTTTCTATGTAAGATTGGTTAAAAGGCTTTATAAAATCTCAACACATTTCAGATCAGTAGGCATTTATCTTACAACAATCATGGAGGACAGTTTGCGGATAAACCAACTCTTTGCTGTCCAGGGCCGCTGGGTAGCAATCACGGGAGCAGGTAAGCCCTAAGAGGTGATCGGGATCTCATACAAGGATTCTTGTTATGAACCAACCTTTGCTGACGGCGATTAGCCAGTGGTATTGGTCGCATGCTTGCTCGAGGTTGCACAATGAACGGTGCAAATACTGTTCTCATAGACGTCAATGAAGATGCTTTGGCCGAGGTAAAAGCCCAGTTGGAAGGGCTTTCCTCAACTTCCGCGACAAGTATTGAATCGCAAGTTCCCTTTAGCAACCGCTGAATTTGGATATTGTACTAACAGCCTTGAAGGATTCATGGTGATCTCTCAAGTGAAGACGGGATTGCAAAGGTTGTAGAAGCTATCAAAGCCTCCCATGACTCGCTAGATTGTCTTATTCATTGCGCGGGAATACGTTACATGAATGAAATCACCTATACTCCTGGCGAATCTTTAAACAAGCTTGAGGCTGCAACGCTCTCTGCACCGTATGCAGGCTGGGAGAAAGTTTTGCGGGTCAACGTCCTTGCTCCATACTATTTGACAGCTGGTTTGATAAACCTGCTCGGAGCTGCCGCTGCAAAAGGCGAAGGAAAGGGCAGCGTGATCATGTTCAGCAGCCCGGCTAGTGTCCACAATCACCAATTTGTGCCCACATACCAGACATCCAAGGCAGCTGTAGATCATCTGGTTAGGATCATGGCCGCCGAGTTTGCAGATTTCTACAGTGAGATGGATCCGTTCCCCCCCCCTTATCAGTAGAACTTTTCATTCCTCGTCTGCACTTGCTTTAGCTAATTGGTTAATACTGCAGTTCGTGTCAATGCTATCTCACCTGGGATTGTCCCCTCTGGGATGACCACAACAGATGCTAATTCTAATCTGCACCTTGCTGCAGAAGCCCCCGCTGGAAGAGCTGGCAACGAAGAGGATATGGTGGGAACTGCTCTTTGGTTGATGAGCAAAGCCGGTTCTTTTATGGATGGGAAGGTGATTCGTGCCGAAGGTGGTCGCTTATTAATTCTCAAAGGAGTCACTTCTAACTCGGATTGAGAATTATGCAAGGCATATCAAGTTCACGCGCAATCTAGACGAAACAAATACAAATACGAGCCCACGCCAAAAAAAAAAAAAAAACACCATTAAATTTCTGATCAGGAAATCCTAGTATAAAGTCATCGTGGTATTGCTATTAATGCCTCCGCTTGGTTTAATAACTCTAATTACCTAGATGTACCTATACATAAATGAACTGTGCAGCCGAGCTGTTGCTGTTTAAGCGAATAGAATTGGCCACGTCCCATTTGATCTCTTTTTTGCTCGCGTTTCTCCTAATACTCTTCTGTCTGATGCGGTCAGATTCCACCAAGTATATGGCTCCAAAATTATATAAGCACTCCGTAGGAAGTACCTAGGTATAGAAAAGGGGCTGGCTAAACTCGCTGTCGCGACTTACTCCACCACCAGATTTGTTACATAGCCTTGCATCAGTACTGAAGTCAGGAAGTTTGTGCAGTACGACTTTTATACTTTTCGGAATCCTTGGTTGGAAAAGGCACATGTGCCACAGGGCTCATCTTGAATGCTTCCACGGGTCTGTAATCGGCAGACTAGGGCGACCTGCGAGGATGATGACATTATGTCTCTTGCAACATCACTGCATCTACTTGTCAAAACCCACCAGGATACTATACCCCTTCATTGAACAGCTTAAAAAGGACGAGCGAGCAACTATGATCTGGCACACATTGCAAGGTGTGTATCTGTTGCTATTCTCGTTGCTATTTGCATGGTACAAGAGAAAAGACCCTGCGATATTTCGTCTTAATCAGGACATTCTCCTGATGATTTTTGATCATTTGTCTCTAGTTGACCAAGCCTGCTTTTCACTGAGCTGCAAACGGTGCTATGATTTATTTGGTCATTTCGCACAACGTGATGAATTCAAATTCCCGCGACTCCTCAAGATAAAAGTGCCATGGCTGTGCGTGGATAAGCCAGAGGTAGCACGCAACCAGCTGCTGATTCAACTTGAGGATCGCCGCTGGGCTTTCTGCGGTGCCTGCTTGAAGCTGCATCCACGGCGAGAATTTCCTCGACATACCCTTAAATATCCTGCGCTTCTACGCTCATGTCACCATTTAGCAGGAATAATTGATTTATGCCCATGCATATCACTAACGCCTAGAGATCGAGCGCGACTCATTAAAGTAATCAAGTCATCGCCAGTGGGTTATCAGTTGAAGGGGCCGTTACAAGTGTGTGTCGATAAGCAACGATATGGGATGGGTGAACATTTCCTTAGGCATACCTGCTCAATAAATACACATGTTGATCGGCGTTCGGTTGTGGAAACTTCGATTGAGATGGCTATATCTCTCGATGCAGAGGACAAGCCCTGGGTAGACATTACATATGTCTCTCGCTATCATGCTTATGGACGAATTGAAGACTGGGTGGCGCCTATATTTGTTTGCCCACACCGAGATCTATTTGTCTTCATTACATCGTCCATGTACACAAGCACCTGTGATATCTGTGAGTTTAGAATGCATTGGTGTCCGGGTAGATCTCATGGTAAACGTCCTATTACTGTGAGCGTTCGATTGGCCCCCGGACGAGCTTTGGTCTGACAATTGTCGATTCGTTTCAAGGAATTTTGCCCTTTACCGGGACTTTTGGTATACATGCTTCCTTCAGCATTTGATAGGAGTGCCCGTGCTAACCCCAGCGATTGTAGGTATAATGTGCCAGGCTATGAACAAGGGAAGAGACATGTGAGGTAGGGGATGGGTTTTATATGATCGTTTGTCATCTTTCATTGATGAAACAGAGGGGGGTTTTTATTATTTTATGGTATTTGCTTTCTGGATAAATTGCATTGCTATACCAATCGACTAAACGATAGACATTCTATTTTTCAATTGTCATTCTCCTACTCCGATGTGACCTGGTAGTCCGTCTCCTCAGCCTGGTGAAATTACATCCTCTCTCACACTGCCTCTATGCATGCGATCCATTGCCTTCGATATCATAGCGATTGTACATGGGGGTTTGTCATTGCTGCTATCGTCTCATTACGATGAGGGCTGTCAGAACGATATTGTCGAGTTTCCAGGTATCACTTTCAGAGGTTGTACTCACCGATAGCCGATCAAAAGTTCTCCAAACTCGGAATACGATGCGTCAATTGCACGTGCAGGCTCGTCTTAGCTTCGCCGTAAGGCTACTAGTCACCAGCACTGCGTAGAAGTGTGAGTTTGTCGCTGGTGCCCTACTCCGATCTATGGAGGTGAGCCCCTAAAGATGGAGCCCTCCGCGAAGGAGGAAAAGGCCCTCGTGGTTGCCCACGCCAGCAAGCATGAGTTGAAATGCACAAAGCAATCAAGTCATGCCGCCTTTGTGGCCTGCATCCTAAACCTTGAAATTAATCTCGCGTCTAATTGGCCTCAGTTTGTAACGGTAGCGCCGCTCCCTGGGAGTCCCACGCTCTGCGGTTGCAGTACCGAGCTCAGTGGGTTGCACTGTGACGTTCAATTGAATACAAGTGGGGTTCCTTGCGGATTGCCCCTGTTCAGGGACATGTCGCCAAGTCTATACAGAAGCAATCGCCCTCTTATACAAAAGGACCGTATTCCAATTTTATGGCCCTGAATTCTGTAATTTTCTGGATTTAACATCAAGCATCCCGACTTTCAAAGTCTTACACATTTTGCAATAAATCAAAGGTACCAAGAACTGCACGCATATATTTTTCTCCACGGAAATTTCCATCAAGTACTCGACTTTTTTGATGGGCGCTATGTAATATTTTACAAAACTCCCGCGGAAAGGCCTTTAGAGCGGGTTGAGCCTAAAAAGTATGGACATTCGTATCTACCTCTTGGCTCTTTCAGGTGATGAAAGGATCTAAGCACCATACTATGGGACGATGACCGTGGGATCTACCTAGGTGTACAAACTATATATCATTACTCAAAATGCCTGATAAGAAGGGGTCCCGCGCAGATCTGAGGCTTAGATACGTGCGTCCTATTACAGTACCCCTGCACAATTCCTGCAAATCTTCCGGAAATAAATCTATACTCTTCGATGCATCACCACTCTTTGAACCGTAGATTATCTAGACATTCTCATAACCTCATGTAAGAGCACATCGGAAGAGGCGTTTTTCTATTGACCGTGATAGCGGAAGGGTCAGAGCAAATGGCCTCGTTTAGGGCGATACGAACCAGAAAGCCTACAATTTGTATATACACATATAATCAAGAAGTTATTCACGATATCCCGAGCTTGGAATGGTTGCAATCACCGTCTGGCTGTTGTGAAATTCCTTTGAACTGGATAAATATTCAATAATGGACAGACTTATAGATTTGGATCGAATAAGCCCATTCTATATGTGTTGAAATAGATTCTTCTGTAGTTTCTTTTACGAGTTAGGGCTTTTTATTAGGGCAAGTGTTGATTTGACAGACAGAACGCTATTCCTACTATAGTTAGACCATAAAACTAAGATAACCTCGGCGGGCCTAACCAAATTGATCGCCGGAATTATCGCGGCCCGCTCTATTTTGGTAGCATCATTATTAATCCTTAATACATTAATCTCTTTCTTTTCTCTCTGAAATTTTCATTTACCTTTCTTTGGAAAGCACGTATCACTTTCTATGTGCTTCCAGACATTCGTTTAGTATAACTATACCCCAGCCGACTTGCGCAAATTCCGGGAAGCAACAAGAATATATATCCCTTCTCGAGGGTGATCAACGAGGATAGGATAGATAGGTACAATGAGCGACACGACGACAGGAGCAAGTAGCTCCACCTCCTCCAATCCAGTTGGAGAAGGTCAGAAGCTACCAGGTGTTGTGCTGGATAAAGACGGCAAGCCGTACGTTGATTCATTCGCCAAATGGTGGTTCTTTTCGTTACTACTCACTAACATGCAATCTAGATGCCGATTATGCACTTCTGCTGCCTCCTGGCGAACAATGGCCAAAAAGGCTTCGGCTGGTGGTATGGCAGCCGGTGCTGCTGTTGCAGCTACCAGCTCTTCTTCCTCTGCATCATCAACATCAACATCGTCGCCATCCTCTTTGCCATCATCGCTTACCTCCTCAACAACGGCAACAACAACAACAAAACCAGAATGCCCACCTGACGTCGAAGAACTCGGCCGTTCAACATGGACACTCCTCCACTCTCTAACAGCTACCTACCCTACGCGCGCATCCGCCGAACAACAAACCGAAATGCGTTCTTTCCTAGGCCTTTTCTCAAAATTGTATCCTTGCTGGGTATGCGCCGAGGACTTTCGGAGCTGGATTGCTGATCCCAGTGGGAAAAATCAGCCGAGATTGTCGAGTCGTGCCGAGTTCGGGCAGTGGATGTGCGAGGCTCATAATGCCGTGAATCGTAAGTTGGGGAAGAAGGAGTTTGATTGTAATTTCTGGGAGGAGAGGTGGCGGACTGGTTGGAAAGATGGGCGATGCGAATAGAAAGAGAAGGAAGATATTAGACAAGCTGGTGTGAATCCATTGTATTGATTTGTATAATACTGAATCTCTTCTCATGACTGTGTATATAGATGACCATTCTACATAGATACTGTATATTAGGAATATGTATCCATAAATTTTCAACAGCATAAACAGAGAGCAGCTCTAAAACGCGCTTTTAAATCAAATCCTCTCAGACATGATGGAGGTTAGCCCGCATTCCCTCCTGAGTCCTCTGTTTTTCGAAAGAATACGAGAGAAAAGAATACAAAAACTTCCACCTAAGTCCTAAGAATAATTTGCGCCTCTTTTTAAGTCCTCAAAGAAAAAAGAAGAAACAGGCAAAAATTATATAAGAAATGAAAAGAAAGAAAATATGGCTTATAAGCCTTCATAACGTCTTTACATCAATCTAGACCTTTACAAACCCGACACGAAAAGCCGTAAACCACTAGCAGGTGCACCGATTTCGGTTACTTCCGAGATGCGACACACGGATCCTTTATATTGTTCATGATACTTAGCTCCGGTATAAGGATCCGATACACTGGGAGATCCGCCGTAGATTGGCGTATAAGATGCTGCGCAAATTTCGAAATCCGCAAATTGGTCAAAGTCCACTTCAATCTTGTCGTGCGGGTTGCGTTCGCATTGGGTTTTAATCTTCTTAGCCTGTAACCGGTGTTAGCGTACCAAAATTGGGCAAGGTATATGAATGTGAAAGTAAGTTAAAACTAACTTGTTCTAGCAGTTTCGGCGAACCACCGTTGGCAATCATTCGGTTGGCAAAACTCAAGGCGGATGAATAATTCTTATTCTGGAATGCCAACTTCATCGCGGCCATGAGAGCTAGCTGGCGATGCGCGACCTCTAACTTAGGGATAGTGAAATATGCCGAAAGTTCGAGCGATCGCTTCAGATTCTCCGGTGTATCCGTGGGAAGTGCACGGCGTGCAAGCTCAATCGACATGGCGAGGATATATTCTCTGGCAGTGTTAATTATCTTTTTCGCTTGTTCTACCTCGCTTTCGGAAGAAACCACGTTGACGAGCAATGTATGTAAGATGCGTTTGAAGATCTTAACGCCATCCTCAAGTTTATTAGACCGCATCGCAGCATACCCTTCTTGCAAATCCACGCTGGCAATAGTCTCAAGGTCTCGAGGAATAATGGGAAGAACTTTGCGTGAGTCTGTCTCATCCACTGTTCTCCGAACGTAATTTACTAATGGAGGCAACCCAGTGGAGGCAGGTAAGTATGTCTTCGAGGCGGTGTAAATCTCCATGAATCTTGGCTTGAGAGGCTCGAAGTGAACAGCACCAACTTGACGATTGAGAAGTTGCATAGCGGTGTCGAAGGACCCTGCTGCCACGTGGTCCGCGGCCAATGGCGAGTTTCGAGCCCAAATGTCAGCCTCTGAAATTGAGGCTCCGGCATCCGCACTTTCGACATTGACGAAGTCATTTTCTTCTTCAACATTGATCTCATCACCCATGTCCCATCCACCAACATCTTCTTCCTCTTCCTCGAGCAAATCCTGGCCTGCTGCTGCCACCGCCGCCTCATCTTCTTCCTCAACGTCAAGCGGTGTCTCTTCTTCATCAACACCACCGACTTCACCAAGAAGGGCCTTCTCAAAGGCAGAATGACCAGCAGTTTTTGTGGGCCAGTTTGCCTTGAACGTAGAAACAATAGGTAGTGGTGTTCGAAGCGTCTCACCAATAGTGGGCAACTTAATTTGGTCCTCAGTCAAGCCACAGGTTTCTAGAATAGACTCGGCTTCTTCAGTCAATCCGTGAGCTTTGGCAGTGACATAAGCGAGGGGATCTAGTACTATCAGTTATCATTCGATGCACATAGTCCCTACGTGTTCAAACTTACACATATCGACTTCCTTAAACATTTCAATCCTGTCTTCGACATCGCCCCTATAGATCGCATTTTGGAAACGAGATGTGAAGTCAGACCTATGTGTGGCAATCTTAGCCATCCTTGAAAGCTTCTCCTGGTCTCCTGTTGAGAGATACAAGAAGGAGAGTTTGTCAAACAGTCTCTGTTTTTGGTATGTCATTTCAACAGTCTGGTGGTTGCCGTGAGCCAGTGCCTCAGTGGCTAAACGACTCCACAGTTTAGGACGGTCAATCTCCTTGGCTGTCTCGATAGCAACCTCCAAGTTGCCACACTCAATGGCCAATTCGAAACGAGTTTGAGGGTCTTGAACAAACTGCAAAGCAATCTCTGGGTATCCTTTCTTCTGGAGATATGAAATGATACTTTGACCTACCAAGCTGGAGGTTTTGATAAGATGAAGCATTTCGTCATAATTCCTCTTTACCAATGCGCTCTTGAAACGGAACTCCGTGGGGTCAATTTCGAATATCTGTGGCTTTGCGTTGCGGTCAAGGCAATAGACATGTCGACCCTTTACCTTTACCAGGTAGACAGTCTGCTCCAGGGTGCGGATGATGCCATTGTCACTTCATTCATGTTAGCAATATCACAATAGAACAGTTGTGATGTAAGACGAAAGAAAAACTTACCCGTTCAACAATGAGAATTTAATATGGTTGAGACTGGAGTAATACAGAATGCCAGAGTCATCCCAGGTGGCACTCTTGATACGGATCGTCTCATGAATGGAGCTGAGTTGTTGAAGATTCTTTGTAACAATGGTGACATTGTGTTTGCTGAGCAGTGCTGCATGTAGACCATCATTTGACCAAACAACATATTTAACGCCAGACACAGCAAGTTCGGCCAACTGCTTCTTTTGTTGGATGTCGAACAAGACGACAGAGGTCGGTGTGATGAAGAGTAAAGCACCAGAGCCACCGAAATAGATATCTGTGGTGCCAGCTGGGGTTTTGATAGATTTGGTGGTTGAGTTGCTCAAATCCTTAATATCGACGGTCTGGTTGGCTTGGTTGAAAACTGCAAATCGGTTTCGGGCGACAAATACAGCCGAGTTTCCTTGCCCACGCAATGAATTTGTTGGTTCAACAGCACCCGTACCATCACGAGGTAAATGAATAAGCTCATAGGTGCCATTCTCGGCAGGGGTAGTAACCAGGATGGCACGTTCGGCGGGGTTATAAGAAACTGTCCTCAAAGGAACCCATGGCGCGCCAAGTTTGCGAAGAGAAAGCAAGGGTTGAGATTCGGTGTTCTTCGTGAAGTCGTATGATTTCACGTGTTTCTCCTTCGTGATATAGAAAAGTTGATTCTGGTGAAGAGTATGTGCTGGACGTTCCCTTTCCAGCTTGAACACCATTACACCAGTATCATGGCCCGCTGCGAAAAGATTAATCTTCGGGTGGGCAGCTATAACCCAGAATCTGTCGAGATCACGCTTGAATGATTGCACTGAGGTCCGCTTGTTAAGGTCCCAAACACGTATGGTCTTGTCTTCGCCGACGGAGAGGATGAGATCTTGGTGAGGATGGAAGATACACGCTGAAGCGTTCTGGAAATGGCCACGGCATGTGTCAACCTCCCAAGCTTTGGTATCTAGAGAGGAGTCAGCAAATATATGCGCCGTTTTCGTATTGGACTATGAACTGACCGCTCATTCTCCACAGCTTAACTAGTCGATCGTCGCCAGCTGAGACAATCCTGGTTGAAAAGGCTATCAGTTAACTTCCCTTGGCGCTACAGAAATATAGCAAGCAGACTTACAGTGGAAGCGTTGGGTGGAATGCACAAAAGTTGACACCTCGGTCATGACCTTCAAGAATAAATTTGACAACGGCATCGGTGTTACCAAACATGTCTGCTTGACTATTTGCCCTAGCCATCTGATCTTCAAAGTTCATTGAGGTCGGTGCCGAGTGTTTCTTACGCAAGCCAGAGATGTCCCAAACACGTACAGACTGGTCGAGGGAGGCGGATACGATCAAATCTTCTTTGGGGTGAAATTGGGCGCACCAAACATCTACACAAGGGTCAGTGGATTACAGCAGAGAATAGGAAAGTAATACTGACAATGGTTATGTCCGGTCAAAGTAGCAATGAGACTTCGATTTTGCCAGTTCCAAATTCGAATTGTTTGGTCGTCAGAGCATGACAGAATCCTGTGTAATTTGTTAGACCAGGCTCCGAGATTCGGGGTCCACAGGTAAATAAAGCTTACCAAGGTAGTTCGTGATGAAAAGAAACAGTTCGGACATCTAAAAACAGTCAGTGACAAGTCATTGTTTCCCAGTTCGTTCCCAGCTTTATCGTACAGTCAAGGTGGCCTGCCAAACGTCAGTAAGCTTCTCCAAATTAGGGGTTGGCCCATGCAGAAGAACGTACCTGATAGAACAGCAATGCTCTTGCGACTTTGCAGAGACCACAACCGAATTTTATAATCATCTCCTCCACTGACGAAGATATTCTGTGTCGGATGGAAAGCAACCGATCTCACGGGGCCGTCATGTTCCTCGAAACGGTCGATCAGGGTGCCCATGCGGTAATCCCATAATTGAATTGTGCTAGAATGGAGCGAGACAAGGAGCCACGGGCGCGTGGGATGAAAGGCAAGGCCTTTGGCCCTCGAGGACTTGCTTTCAAACTACAGTCGAGAGCATGTTAGAACAACACGATCGCATTGCCAGTGGTCCAAAACAAAGAGGGGAACGGAGCGACTTGCTTTTGTGAGCATTGTTGGGGAAGACATGTTGGGAGGCCGGTGCTGCACAGCAGCGAGCTATACAGGCCAGTCAATGAGAGAAACAATGCTAGAAAGGCCGCATGAACCCGCGCGCGAACGATAGTGACAGGCAAGAAGATGCGGATGAGCTGAGTGTCTGGACTCTGTCTGTATACATGCCAGCTTTCACTTGTGGTTGCCGTCGGAGAGCGACTAAGCGAGTGGGCCCGACCAATAGAAATGGCAATGGCGGCTGCCTCAATTGCCAGGGGGCAATTCAGCCACAGCCAGCACGGAAGGAGCTGCTAGTAAGAACGTACCTACCTCACAGCTTTTGCAAAAAAAGACACTCGCTTAATCCCTCAATCTCTACGCGACCGACTCACAAACGATGGCTTGGGGATCTTTCTGCAATCCAGTGCTCTGATGCCTCGACAAGCCGTATGTACGCAACACGAGAATGCGCCATTGTTTTGCAGCCACGATGCCTGCCCCGCATTGCCCTCCTCCGCCTACCTAGGCATGCTCAGGTCTGCCAGCCCACCCTCTTGAGAGGCCATCACCGTCGTCCATTGGTGATTTCTTTGGCATTGGAGCATGGGAAAGCGGCCGTCAGCAAGATCGTTCGCCTGCTCTCCCGGTCCATCATGCTCTAGCCCGGGGCGCCCGAAACCCGGCCCTCCACCTCGCAGACCCTTTGTCACCTCAACGGCAGATCCAATTGATGACGGCAGAAACGAGATCAATACACCGAGAGAAAATAATGACGATTACTTTGGCCATGTATCAACGGAGGATTTTATTGCTCAGGACGCCGGCTATGATGCTGACGTCGAGGTCGTCCGGCCTTTTGCTATTGAGGAGCCTGATGACGAGACGGATCAGACTCCCACATCGGCACCTACACCGAATCTGCCCGAGGCAACCGAAAACTGGCAGAAAGAGTTGGTGAATTCCCTACGCGGTCTCTACTGTGACTCTGATAGCAACGACACACATCCACTTATCAGGCGAAAGCGAGGTAGGAAAAGAAAGCCAGATCCTTCCATGGCTTTTTCTCAAAGCTCTCAGAACATACAAAGCCAACCGTCCAAGGATTGGGATTTTGACACGCGAGTTGGAAGCACTGTCTTGAGCCCGAAAAGACGGCGGAAACAAAGTACGCATACTAAGGAAGAGATCGAAGTTTCCCACAGCAGCCTGTTGGCCAGCAATGATGCGAGCACAGGCTCCAGTCCTGCAGTTCTATCTACAAGTCCTCATCGCAGTGACAAACCGCATATGCCAAGCTGTGATGTTCCCGCAATCGATCGAATGGACACCAGTTAATCATACTCGTCCTGAGTTCCACCCTCTTTCTGTAAAGCGCCGCGGGTATAGCTTCATGACCGTTGAATCTGCGCTCGAAACATACCCTTGAGTCTGCTTTATTGCGTCGAAGGTATTAATTCTCAAGTAGACTCGCTTGGAAGAAATGAACTTTGTCACATCGTAACCTCGCCGTCCAATCACCATATGTACCACTATCTACCGCCCGATCAAACCGCCGAAGAGCTTAACATAATAAAAATGATGATATCAGATTACTTATCGATCGAAACTTCCTATAAAGCGATATAGTGGAGTGAAGCGTTAGGTTGGTAGCTTATATAATAACAATTGCTGGAAGGTCGTTCTCCTAGTGTGACGTCAGTCGTCCATCACAAAGCCCATTGGACCACTGCTCGACTGTCCAACTCAACCATTTCAATTATTTCCAGTCGTCGCACTCAATTGAAGGTACGTTAATGGCAGCTTCCGAAACGAATGTGGAATTATGTTTCTTACTTTCTCTAGGAAATTTCCTCCGCGATTCCCAATCTACAAGTCCATCATAATGCCGGCTAGAACATCAACACGTCAAGCAGCTGTGAAAGCCAACCAAGCCTTTGGCCAGGGTGCTGGCACCAAACGCAAAGGGCCGGAATCTGGCCATTTGCCTCCCAAGAAAGGGAAGAAGGATTTGAAGCCTGATGAAGGAAACAATTATGAAAAGCCTTCAGTGACCGAAGAGACACAGGAGATCAAATCTTCCGAAGACCCTTCTCAGGCACAGACTACAGTGAACAAGCAACCTACTGAAGCTCCTCCCAAGAGGGCTGAAGAACCGGAACAAAAGGATGCCGTGGTAGAAGAGAAAAAACCCGAAAATGTCGCCAATGGTGAGAGTTCGTCTTCCGAATGAAAGCGTGGTGGTTAACATGTAGTGTCTTCAGGCATGGAGAATAATCCGACAGGCGATGAAAAAGAAGAGCCGGACCCCAAGCAGTCCAAGGCAGCTATCAAAATATCCCCTGAAAGGGAAGCCGTCCTCCCTTCTAGCATCCTCGAAAAGGGCATCATTTATTTCTTCTTTCGCCCACGTGTGAATGTTGATGAACCTCATAGCATCGACGATGTTGCGCGCAGTTTCTTTGTACTACGACCTACACCTAAAGGTGCAGAGATAAAAGGCGGGCCAATCGGTGACGACGACCATTGTCGACTCATGATGCTTCCAAAAAAGAGATATCCCTCTTCAGGAAAGGAACGGGACATGGGATTTGTGGAAAAGGCCAAAGTCACCTTGAAAACACTCCGTGAGACATTAATGACAACGAAATCATACGAAACGAAAACGCGCGGAGAACGGACAACCCCAGAAGCACAGCCATATGCCGAGGGTGTCTATGCACTCATCAAAGAAGGCAGCAGCTCCCATCTAGCGTATATTCTTACAATTCCGCGGGAACTTGGTGATATACAGAGCGATTTTGGTCTATATGACCGCGGCAGCTTCGTCATTCAGTCGAAGAGTCCCAAGTACCCCGGTCCTGCCACTGCTCGGTTGCCTCAAGAGCCTGAATATCCTGAGAGGTAAGATAAGAAAAGTCTTGATTATCCTAATTCTGATGACACATAGTTTAATGCTCATTGTTCTCTTTCTTTTTGCTACAGTGTCCTTGAAAAGTTCCAGCATTATCGTTGGATTCCTACGGAGCCGGAGCTTCTGGATTATCCCAATGCTCAGTTCCTCATGATAGGATCGGCCCAGAGCCAGCTCGGGAGAGCCGGGGGAGCTCACGTTGATGATAAGGGCACGAAGAAAGACCCTGCTGAAGAGCTTGGTCAACTAGAGGAAGAAAATGAAGAGAGAGTTGAAACTCTGGCTGGTAAGCTTTTTCTATGTTGACTTTTGATCTTAGTGCTTCTAAGCCGACACTGATACTATGCTTCACTGATACAGGTGACCACTCCATCTTTGATGACTTGGGTGTTGATGTTAAGCGGCATGAAAGCTTGCCATCAGCTTGGGAGTGATCAACCAGGAGTACCATGAGGGCAAAATGTTTTCTCTTCTATATACTGATGAGATCATAATGTTTGTAATAAAAAATTTGTACCTGCAAGATATTTCTTGTGAATCACATTTCAAAAAAATTGAATTAGTAGCAACTTTACACTGATCTTTTCCTTTTCCTTCTGCTTACCTAGAATGCATCTACAAACTTATTCCAAAGGATTGTGTCTAGTTTATCCTCTTGATCTCTAGGTGTGTAGTCCTCCCTCCATTGGCTCGGTCCCGCAAGCATTCGCCACCTTGGAGGCTTAGATGGAAATCTTGAAAGCGTACGCTTCTGCCTGTTAGAAAGCTGAAATATTAGGCCGACATCAAAATCATCGGCGATAATTACCAAATTAGGCTTGGGGAGTTGTTGTGGCTAAGTCCGATCGCCATATAAATTGCCAGCTTCTTCCAGTACGCATCTCAGTGGACATACCGCATTACCGAAAAAATATTAGACAGAGACAAGGATAAGCATTCCATTATGTCGTCTCTCCCAGGTATCCCTCGAGAAGCTTCGAAGTTGCTCAAGCCAGGCTATGCTCAAGCACTTGGCTTTCTGCAAAATACCGTGGGTGTTGATCCGCTCACGCTGGTGAACGCCGGTCTGGTTCTTGCTGGGCTTTTTACCTTCCTGCGCTATGTTTTTACACGCATTGTTGTCTTATGGGTGACGGTTCGAATAAACGAAGATGATCAGCTCTATCAGAGTCTGATGAGGTGGATGGCAGACCATCAATTTATGAACCGCCAATTTCGAAGTGTCAAAGCCGTGAGCGCCTCCAAGAGTTCTTGGGAAGATGAAGAGGAGGCACTCAAGTCTATGATTGGCAACAAGAGTCTTTCTGGACCAGATCCCAATAATCTAATCAGCTATCGGACCATTGTCGGACGCTCGCCAATCACTTTCCAGCCATTTCAAGGCAGGCATCTCTTCCGTCGCCATAGGAGTTGGATTCTCTTCCAACACAAGGTGCGAGAGGGCCATGAACTGGTGCCTCTAGACAAAGAACAAGGTTTCATCCAGCTACAATGCTTGGGATCCTCCTTTGCACCTATTCAGCGTCTGCTGGAGGAAGCGCAATTGTACCATCTTGAAAAAACAAAGGCTACGACAACAGTGCATAGAGCTATCTCTAACGTACGAGATATGATCCGCTGGACGAGATTCAGCGCCAGACCCTCCCGGGACATGTCGACGGTTATCTTTGACAAACACGCAAAGCAAGAGCTCCTTCAGGATATAAATGAATATCTCCACCCGCACACAAGGCGGTGGTACGCAAATCACGGTATTCCGTACAGGCGTGGCTATCTGTTTTCCGGTGCACCTGGTACTGGGAAGACAAGCTTAACATCCGCTTTAGCTGGTATTTTTGGCCTGGACATATACGTGCTGAGCTTGCTGGATCCTAACATGAACGAGTCCGCATTGATGAGGCTGATGTCAGAAGTCCCTGCTCGATGCATCGTGCTATTAGAGGACATTGATGCTGCCGGCCTTACTCGTCCGGCGAGTGAGCCTAGACCAGTGAGACATGGTCGAAAGTACAGGGGAGAAAAATTATCTACCGAGTCCGACGTTTTAAGTATGATTCAAGGGCCTGATAGAGGCATCTTGGGCAACGACAGTGCGGCCACATCGGTTTCTTTGTCGGGTTTGCTCAATGCCATTGATGGAGTGTCTTCACAGGAAGGGCGCATCCTGGTCATGACGACAAACTCTCCCGAGTCACTGGACAAGGCGTTAATCCGGCCTGGACGAGTCGACCTGCACATTGCTTTTGAGCTTCCCACCAAAGTAGACATGAGAGAATTGTTTATGGCTATGTACCGAGACGATACATTGTCCGTTGCCACGACGCAAGCCAACGAAATAGCCATTATCAAGAGCAAGGAGCAAGAAGAAATAACAAAGCCTACCCATGACCTAGAAAGTCTAGCTATGAAGTTTGCCGATTCAATTCCAGAAAGAAAATTCAGCCTTGCTGCTCTGCAGGGATTTCTTCTGTCATATAAGAGAGATCCCAAACAGGCATGCGAAAATGCTGCGGAATGGGCACAAAATACACTAATGAAAATGGCCGAAGAGAAGGAGGATAAGCAAGAGCGTCAGGGAAAATTGACGGAATAGACAGAGATACCCCTTTCTTTCGTTTTGGTTGTAACATAATGGGCATTCTTGGTGGTAATGGCCAGCTTTGGAGCCTTGCATTTTAAAGACGATCTCTTATAATGAGAATTCACAGCCAGAATACAACTCGCTTCTCAAGAGATACTTATTGAACAACTTAAAAAGTATAATATCTAGGAGCAACCTGGTATCGCTTCACCATGTTATGATTAGCACATAAAAAGAAAAAAGGTTGCCTTATACGATGGGTAAGTCAAGCAGCCGAATGCAGTTTCTTGATCAAATCTTAGATATTCGAATCATCAATAATAATCTCAAAATCAAATTTTTTTTGGTTATTTTTCTGTTTCGTTTGCTTTTTTGTATTATGTAAAAAGATATATCAAGTACAGTAAAAACATTAAAAATATTGATATTTGAAATGTACCCATTTGGAAGAGAAAATGCAAGCCTCATATCTCTCTTTCTCGTCATAGGCACAGGTGAAGAAAAGAATAGAAAAATCCCTAAATCATTCAGAAAAATAAACCTAACTCCTTTTCGCTAACACCGAGGGTAGTGATGGTCAACTGAATGACCATCTCAAGCCGCTAGTTTATAGGAGAGCGAAAGCTCCTAAAGCAGCTACCATAAGTCCGGCAACGGGCTGCTGGTGGATGGTCGAGGCAGCACCAGTGAAGACTGGTGGGCTGGTAGACTCGGACGTAGTAGGAGCAGGGGTAGAGCCACCCGACTCAGCAGGAGTAGATTCGGGAGTGCTCTCAGGAGTGGTTTCAGGAGTGCTCTCAGGAGTCGTCGCAGGGGTTGTCTCCGGAGTTGTCTCCGGAGTTGTCTCCGGGGTACTCTTAGAAGTAGGAGAAGGAGAAGAACCCTCTGATTCAACAGGAGGGGGGTTGGTAGGGGTGCCAGTACCAATAGGGACCACAGTCACGACAGTGCGAGTGACAGTGTTGGTCTCGGTAACTGGCACAGTAATAGTCTGGGTGCCGGAGGTCAAGGTTTTTGAGATGACTGCGACTTGTTAGTAATGAATCGTGGTTGTCAAAAGGGAAAAGCTTACCTGGGCACTCAGTGGTAGTGATGGTCAGAGTCTTGGTGATACCACTTGGCTCAGTGTGAGGAGGCGGCACGATAGGCTTGGTGCGACTCTTGGGTGGAGGGGTTGGCTTGGGCTTGGGCTCAGACTCAGGCTCAGTGTGTGGTGGCTCAGTGTGGGTAGGCTTGGTGTAGGTAGGCTCAGTGTGTGGTGGCTCAGTGTGGGTAGGCTTGGTGTAGGTAGGCTTAGAGTGAGACGGCTCGCTGTGGGTAGGCTTAGAGTAGGTAGGCTCAGTGTGTGGTGGCTCACTGTGAGTGGGCTTGGTGTAGGTAGGCTTGGTGTAGGTAGGCTCACTGTGTGGTGGCTCACTGTGAGTGGGCTTTATGTAGATAGGCTTGGAGTGAGACGGCTCGCTGTGAGTGGGCTTTGTGTAGGTATGCTTGGAGTGAGACGGCTCACTGTGAGTGGGCTTGGTGTAGGTAGGCTTGGTGTAGGTAGGCTTGGAGTGAGACGGCTCGCTGTGAGTAGGCTTGGTGTAGGTAGGCTCACTGTG